CCACGGAGGAAAAATGAAACAGGAAATTTCCTTAAATACTTTCGTATATTAAATACATCTTCAGAAGGTAATATATATATATATATACGAAAGTACTTAAGGAAATTTCCTGTTTCATTTTTCCTCCGTGGTCTGATATATATATATATATATATATATATATATATATATATATATATATATATATATATATATATATATATATATATATATATATATATATATATATATATATATATATATATATATATATATATATATATATATATATATATATATATATATATATATATATATATATATATATATATATATATATATATATATATATATATATATATATATATATATATATATATATATATATATATATATATATATATATATATATATATATATATATATATATATATATATATATATATATATATATATATATATATATATATATATATATATATATATATATATATATATATATATATATATATATATATATATATATATATATATATATATATATATATATATATATATATATATATATATATATATATATATATATATATATATATATATATATATATATATATATATATATATATATATATATATATATATATATATATATATATATATATATATAATATATATATTTTTACAAAAGATAAAACACGAACCATTGGGTATAAAAACATGAGAATGGAAGTAACTGCAGAAGGCCTATTGGCCCATAGCATCAACACTTCCTCTTGATGCTTCTATAATGGTTCGGAGTCTTGAAGTGGGTAGAATATAGTTGTGCATTAATTGGCTGTTGATTGTTAGTGTTGACTTTTTAATGTGTAGTGCCTCGCAGATGTCGAGCCGCCTGCTATCGCTGTATCTATCGATGATTTCTGTGTTTGTTAAGATTTCTTTGGTGATGGTCTGGTTGTGGGAAGAGATTTTCTGACGGACGGCATGGCCTTCTTTGCCAAAGAACAGGAGGATGGCATGCAAGACACAGCGAGGTTAATGACATTATTAAGAGAAGCCTTGCCACAGCCGGTTGTCCAGCAGAGAGAGAACCCCGTTACCTAATGTCCCGCAACTCTGATGAGCCTGTCGGTCGCCCAGACGGGATCATGGTGAACAACTAGAAGAATGGTAGGCAGTTGGTGTGGGACTACGTTTGCGTTTCAACTTTGGCTAACACCTATGTTGACTTCAGTGCTGCAAACAAATGAAAGAAGTGGAAACTGCTCATTTGTTTCTGCCTCGGCCGGAAATCAAACTCGGGCCCTTAAATAGATCAGATATTATGTACCCCGCCCTGCCCTGGTGACTCTCTATTACTCCCTCATCTATCCATATCTCAACTATGGTATTTGTGCTTGGGGCTCTACTACCCAAAATCATTTACTTCCTCTAATTACTCAACACAAAGCTGCTATTAGGACAATATCCAACTCTGGCCCCAGACATCACTCGGTACCCCTACTCAAATCTCTGAATATGTTAGACATTAAGTCACTGCATATTCTCTCATGTGTATTATACATATATAAAACGCTGAACTGTAATGCCAATCCTGACCTCAAAAGCTTCATAGAAGGTTGTAACAGAACCCATGAGCACCACACCAGAAATAAATACAGTTTTGATATTCCTAGAGTACGACTTAATCAAACTAGAAATGCTCTACAAATCAAGGGACCCAGAATGTGGAATGACCTTCCCAACCATGTTAAAGACTGTACCTCTCTCAACCAGTTTAAGATAAAAACGAAGCTATACCTAATAAATTCCCTGTAACCTACCTTACCCCTCTATTGTCAACCAATGTCTGTTTTTTTTATGGCGCTGTCGACAGAATTGTATTTGTGCTGCTTTTTCAGCCATGTTCCCCCCTTTTTTATCTCTTTTTTTTATTTGTTCTCAACTCGCTTTATTCTTTATGCTCAATTAGTATTAAGCTTTAGTCATTTAAGTTTTTCATGCCCGAAACGCTTTGCGTAATAGTGGCTTTAGGCATTATATGTACTAGCTCTATCTATAAATCCATCACTCTTTGTAAAATCTCTTGTATGTATGTACCTTACCTAAATAAGCATTTGATTTGATTTCATTTGATTACTACCCCAGAGCACTGTCCACTCAACCGTGAGGCCCCAATGTATGTATGTATGTATGTATGTATGTACTCGCCTAGTTGTACTCAACTAGTTGTGCTTGTGGGAGGTTGGGTTACTGCTCGTTGGTCCCGCCTCTCAACTGTCAATCAAGTGGTGTACAAGTTCCAGAACCTATTAGGCTCTATCATTATATTTGAAACTGTGTATGGAGTCAGTTTACACGACATCACTTCCTAAAGCATTCCATTTAATAACTACTGTGGGTGTGTGTTTATTTTGCGTGTAGGTTTGTGTGTATGTATGTAAATTCGTGAGGCTGTGCTTGCGACATATCAACCACGATGTCCTAAACATCATAAACAACGTACAATAACATTAATATACTTTCTAAGTGCACGCCATCTGTCGCCAAAGCACGTTTATATCACCAAATTACTCAACAACTTTCACTCTCCAGTCACTAATTTGCAAGACGCACCATTATATAACTACCAGTAAGTCCACAGGACTTTCACTTGTAACTAACCTACTTCACTCATGTAACTCTTCCTGTGTCTAGTTGTTAATGTTGCTTCTTATTTTCTTGCTTTTTAGAAGGGGAGAGGAGGGAAGTTGGGTGATCGATGGGGGGGGGAGGGTGGAGAGGACGAAGAGGCGAGGAAGACAAAAAGAAGTGACGGAGTCGGGGTAAACAAATGGAAGAAAATGAAAACTAAAAAGTGAAAAGAAAAATGAAAAAAGGGGGAGAGGAAGAGGGAAGAGAGGTGATGTGTGGAGAGGGGAAAGAGAGAAGACAAACAGAACGAAAGAAAAACAAAGACGAGCAACAACACAGACAAATTTTGGTCAAACAAATAGACAGAGGCAGAGAAGGAAGATGGGGCGGGGGGGGGGTGGACGTTTGAAGAGAACAGTGGCGTATCTAGTTAAAATAGCGCCTATGGCAAGCACTGAAATTACGCCCCTGGCCAAGCACCTGACATTATACAGATGTAGAGTCACAATAACGTGGCTGAAAAATGTTGACCAAACTAATAACTAGAAATTGAAGAGACGAAGACATTTCGGTCCGTCCTGGACCATTATCAAATCGATTGTGATAATGGTCCAGAGCGGACCGAAACGCCTTTGTCTCTTCAATTTCTAGTGTGTGGCTTGGTCAACACCTGACATTACTATCTCTCAGATAACTTTACCATAAAATCAGATCAAAAATATCAGTCAAGTTCGTTAATCTTTTAATTTGCAAATTGTAACACTACATGAAAGGTACAATTGCATCTTCCTTGATTTCACAAATGTAATTTGCTCGATGATGTGGTCAAAGTCAGTTTTTTTTCATTTCTTCTGGTTAGTACATTCCCAGTGCTATGTGGTCGTGATGGCTTGGTGCTTTCCCCTGATCCCTTCCCTTCCCTTCTCTTTCTACACTGAGCAGAGCCAGATAGCAGAGTCTGCCTTGACCCATGGAGGCTCTCAAATACCAAAGTGTTATGTTAGTTTTAACTTGCTGGATGATCTCTTACAGCTGGTGATGGAATTTACGATAGTTAGCATTATCTGAATAGCAGTGCCAAGATTAGGGACGACGCTCTTATCTCCATACTGAACAATAAATTCAAGTAGCTCTTCAGGTCTTGATATTTTCACGTTGTCCCGACTAACATGAAATCCCGTGAAGTAACGTTTTGCAATCCCAAATTTCTTCATATAGCTCATGTCTATCAACATCACAGCTGTACAATTCGCTTAATTTTTCGCACTTCTTTAGATCGCTTGCAAAGCTTGCACTTCTGCTTGCAATTTAATATTAAATTTCTAAGGTTACATTTGGATTCACTTACATCTGTAAATGAACAAATCCACAAGGGCCGTAATGAGGGTTCGAACTTCACGGCCCTTGTGGATTTGTTCATTTGATGCATCACGCTATTGTGATTTCTGTGTGTACAGTTACATCTGTGCTTGAAATTCTGTAGACAGCTCCCAATGTTAAGTGTGTGTCTGAACCTTTGATTTTGAACTGGGAAAATATATACTCACCAAAAGTGGCTTTACTTTTGATAACTTTCGAGCACGATAGCTCTTGGAGGTAGTAAATTGCTATACCACCACTGTGTTGGCCTACGGTTGTGGGTAGCTAATGGTTTTCCTGTATCCATGTCCCAGTTTACGTAACAAATTAAAATCTGTAGTTTAGTCTTGCAGTCAGGCACTAACATCATTGTGCTTGTTGAGATCTTGCATTTAATTTAATGATACACTAAGTTTATTTGCTAATACATTGTTGACAAGGCTTGCTGTATAATACTTGCACTTATGGTCATTAAAGTGTGGAGTATCATAGAGACTAGATAAAAGGTTTAATTCAGGGTCGACAATTGATTGCATTCAGAAAGCTGACTGGAGGGAGATATAGACTTACTACTAGAAATATATTTATATATTTTACAGACAGAATATTTAATTAATAATGCATGTAACTTAGAGTTAAATAATAACACTAACAACAACAAAATTAAAATAAAAGGAAAAATTCTACTAAAAAAATAAACCTTGCAAACAAGTATTAATATACGACTGGACAAGAAAGGTAGTATGTTGGTACACCAACATACTTACTGTACACATAAGGTTTTAGATCTATGTCAACAAGTACTTTCTCCTCAATAGCCCCTATTCATAAATAAGACACCGATGGGGGAAGCCCATGGTGACACCCTCTACTTGTACATCATATTGTTCGTATTTGTACTCCATAAGCCGAAGATTGGGTTGTTAGTATTTAGCCTCATAATGAAAATAGTATCCACCCTCGTTGGGCACACTTGTGTATCGGCAGGGTTTTGTTCTCAACCTCAGTTCTAATGTGTGCCCGCAATATATGTTTCCCTAACTAATCTATACTTGTTTCTTCGTGGTATAGGATGGTCACGTGGCTTGGCGGAGAAGGATCGGGACGTACAGCGGTCTTCATGGACGTCCCGCGGTGGAGTTGAATCATGGCGCAGAACCTACCCGGAGCCACGGGAGCGCCCTCGTCACCATCAGAAGGCCCTATTATACACTGTGTGGGAAGAGCCACCTCTGCTGGTGAAGGAGTCGTTGACAAAGGAGGAGGCGACCTGGGTGCCCGAAAATGAACCTCTGGAGATCATCAAGAAACGCTACTCTTTTGGTTCCAGACAGTTCGACTACAACTTTAGCCGGTCTCCAGCCCTTTCCGTGAAGACTATGGGGTTTTACGACGCTGATCCTCCGCTTGCCTCACACACACCCTTACACCTCACCATGGAATATCCCATTCACAATCCCAGGCACGAAGTAAGCTCCACCCCAGGCTCCGGACGACCCCGCAAGTACTACCTGACTGGTGTGATGGAAGAAATGCCTAGGGAATCAGATTACGGTCAACCACACGTTCGTAAATACTATCTCCAAGCTGACACTAAGGAGATGTTTGCAAACGACAAAGAAATTCAAGTTACCAGCAATGAAATTGAAGATTATGCTCAAGCATATGACCTCAATGCCGTGCTACCTCCGTCACACAACACTGTGGCTGAGCCACCCACCACACACAGTCCGCTTGACTCACTCACACTTACACGCTTTTCACCCTACTTCCCTCCTACAGGATACGACCAACCCCCGCCATCCAACGACACACCCTTCACATACCACCGGCCAGCTTCACACAACAATCCTGATCCTCCACCGGCCTTCAGGAAGTACTACCTCCTTACCAGCGTCCCTGAACCCCACTCACCGGCCACAGCTACTGATGAGGATGACGTGCTAGACTCACCAGAAGAGTTTCCACGAGACTCTCACAAGTTGAGTTCATTCGATATTTACGAAATGGTAAGTGTCTTCATCCTGGAGGTATTGACGGGTGATAGTTACTGATTCACTGATAAAGTAAATGAACAACAATAAACACAAATCACCCTTCATGGCATTATGACTACTTGACAATCTGCAGTTCAGCTGTAAACGTCAGTTGCTTTAATTTGTATTATTATTAGTAATGGTAATGTCTTCTCACATACAATATCAGGATAAAAAAAACACACTTGTGTATTTGTGAAATTTATGTAAGGAATTTACACTAAGTCTCTCTCACACTCTCCTGAGTGCTTTGTCAAGGTCTGAGTGTGTGGTTAGGACGAGACTTACATCTCAACGTCTAAAGAAGCTGCTATCCTGTTGTTGTTGTTGTCCTAGATTCAGCTACTCGGAACTAAACGTTTCAAGTAGTACGGGCTATGGTGAACCCGTTGTGGACTTACCTGGCACAGGAGCGGGGCTGTAACTTACCTGTTACTCGTTGTTGTTGTTGTTTAAGATTCGCAAGGGGGCATGAGACGCAAATATGCAAAAATGAAAACTGGTTTGATTTCAATCAAACTTTTTTTTACGAGTTATATATGAAAAGGGTTTCATTTGGTCCAAGTTTCAGCATCGTAGCATAAATAGGAACGGAGAAAAAAAATATTGAATTATGTGTCAAAAATTTTCCAAAATGGTCAAAAACGACTATCAAACACAAGTGTCAACTGAAATCTTCTCTATGACTCTCAGCTATCACAATAGCATATATTAAACAATTATAATTAGTTATATTAAAAAAATTAAGTTAAAAAAATTAAGTTAAAAAAATTAGATTTTTTTTTCAATTTTATTTTTCTTATTTGTTTATCGAACGATTTGCATGAAACGTATTCACCTGACTGCACGTAAGCCTATCTGTAAAGGTGCCAATTTTGGAAGAAATTGGTTGATGTCAATCTCAGCCACAGATGGCAGAACCCTAGAATTTATTTTTTTCTTATTTATTTTCAAATACATAAACATTCCTATAACTTTCATTTTTTATTCAATTTACATGAAACTTACACCTTATATGTAAAGTTTATATTTTTAAAATCTGGAGCCAGCGTTTTTTCCTAAGTTCATTTATTGATTGATTGATTGATTTATCATAGCAATAAAAATTATTTATTGGAATATTTTTGTTTTTGGGTGGGGGGAATTTGACTATTTGTATTAAGGAAAACTAAACATGTTTTGGAAAACCCGCGGCATCAGATCCTTTATTATATGCTAATGTGTCAGAAAAGTGTCATAGAATGATTATATCTGAAACATGTGGTTGTAGATACTCACTTGAAAATGTGTCATATTCGTTGAAAACAAAACAAAAATTAAATCTCCCTTTCTCCCTTTAGGTAGCAGTACTGAAACTTGGAACAATTGCAGTCCTTTTCATATACAACTAGTCAAAAATTATTGGTTGGCATTGAACAACTTAAAAAAAAACAATCTTATCATCTTCATCATGGGTCGAGTGGCGTCGTTGGTCTTGATGAGTAGAACTGTCGTCGCTTTCAGAGTATGGTTTTCTTCGTTAACCTGCCGCACTATGGTGTCGGGGACCTCACCCGCTAACCAGCGGTTCAGCCTGTTTACAAATATCGTTTTCGCAGCAGTGATTTGTCTGGGAGGAATTGGTGAGAGGTTCGCCTCCTGTTGTGGGACCCGGCGTTCCGGATCCAGGATCTTCTGTAGGTCCGCTTTCGTTGCCAAGATTACCGTGGCCTCGCTACGATACTTATGGACGTTAACTGGTCCCACTGATGTTGCCTTGTCAATGGCTGCTGCAATTTCTCATTAGACGAAGTCAATCTCATTAGACGTTGAGATGTAAGTCTCGCCCTAATCACACGCTCAGATTTTAACAGAGCACTCAGGAGAGTGCGAAAGACTTAATGTAAAGTCTTACATAAATTTCACAAATACACATGGGATTTTACACTACTACTATTACTAATGCTATTACTACAACTATTACTACTACAATTACTACTACTATTAGAGTTTTATTAAGAATATTATAATTTTCTCCAGCTTCGTCAGCCAAGAAATGCATCGTCCAGAAAAAATGTGTAGTCTGCACTATAATTTGTGAATGTGTCCCCGAGACTCCCAGTGCTACTTTGACTTGTGATCACGACTACTGATCATGACAGCCTCAGGGTGTTCAGCGGCCTCTAGCGTGTCTCAGCTCTCACGACCAGCTGGACCTCTGCGCCCCATATCGTCACGGCCTTCGCAGGAATCGTTGGGCTGACCTTCAGATTTCGAGCGCCACCCTAACCTTTACCTAAAACCGGTTTCAAAAATTCTACTCCCGCAGACCCCTCCATATCCACCACAACCCGGTTGGGCCGGCACCTCTTACATAAACCTCTCCAGCTCCCTCTTCAAAATTTAAACTTTTCTTCCACTAGCGTTTTTTTATATTTGCTGGAAGATTCAACATTTGAGAACTTCTAATACCGATAGTGTTCTGTGATTGTGCCTCTATGCCACCTCGATATCTCTTCTTCACTTTATCTATTCTACATTTCCTACCACATCTTTCGCTCCAGTAAGTTGTAATTTTATTGTACAGATTTGGTACCTGACCTTCCACCTTCCATGTATATATTATGTAATATCTTTCTCGTCCAGGCCCCACTCCTGTGCCAGGTAAGTCTACTACGGGCTCACCATAGCCCATGCCACTTGAACTTTTTTTTCCCAGTAGCTGAATCTATAACAACAACAACATTTACCTGAATTTACCTGAGGGGCCATTAACACTAGTGTCCTCGATGAGGACAGGAAGCCGACGGCTTGTCAAAGCTCCCCCCATTTGTTCTGATAAATTTTCAATCTGGATTTTAAATTTCAACAGGGTTTTGGCATTTGCGACTTCGGCGGGTAGGCGGTTTCATGAGTTTATAACCCTGTGGGTGAAAAAGCATCTCCTGTTTTTGTCCTGGATTGTATCTTGTTGAACATGAAATTGCTTCTTCTTTGTGTTACATCTGACCTGTAGAAGAATTTGTCTGGATCAATATCCTCCAAATTGTTCAGTATTTTAATAGTTTCGATGAGATCCGCCCTGTTATATATGGTTGGCAGTGTTGTTAGTCATGTGGTCCTCAACCGCTCCTGGTATGAGGGTCAATTCAGTTCTGAAATTATTTTTGTTGCTCAATGTTGAACTTTCTCCGAAGCAACTAAGTCTTTCTGGAGATGAGGTTTCCATGCCTGGCTACAATAATCCAAGTGACATTATGGCACCAGAGATATATACAATTGAATAACTACTTTCTTTTCATTAAAGTGAAAGGTTCGCTTGATTATTCCCAAGGTTTGGTTAGCGTTTTTTACTGCAGCTCCCACTTGTTATGCAACTTTCTGTGCATGATGTATTCTAACACCAAGGTCGTTTTCTTCATCAGTCTGCTTCAAGGTAATGTTGTTAATTTGATAGTTGTGACGTGGATTGTTATGTCCCCACATGCAAGGTCTTGCATTTTTCGATACTTAAAAGCATTTGCCAGTCTTCTGACCATTTGTGGGGTTCATATAGATTTCTTTGTAAGGCTTCACTATCATTTTCACTTCGCACTTAACCATAAATCTTAGTGTCATCTGCAAATCTGACGATACGGTTTGTAATTTTCTCATCTTTGTCTCATGTATATGGCAAAAAGGGTTGGTCCCAAAATAGACCCCTATGGCACCCCACTTACCACATTTCTCCATTCAGATTCGTTTCCATTTAGCACTACCTATTATTTTAACTATTATTTTATCCATTCTAGTATTCTACCATTTGTTTCATGTGCCTGTAATTTCCTTGCCAATCTTTCATGTGGTACCTTATCAAAAGCTTTAGCAAAGTCCATGTATACCACATCTACCGGCAGTCCTTTGTCTGAATAGCTGGTTACAGTTTCCATAAAAAGTTCGTTAGGCAGGATCTATTTTAACAATCCTATTTTGCGTTGATCTTATAGAATTGTTCATTGTGAGATGCATGAATGATTCTTTTCCTTAGGACTCTCTCCGTGAGCTTGCAGATGTGTGAAGTCAAAGTGGTTGGACGGTAGTTTTCTGCTGGGCTCTTTCTGCCTTTTTTTGAAAATAAGGGTGACATTTGCATATTTACAGAGTTAGGGAACTATACCTTGGTCCTAAGATATTCTGAAAAGAAGTTTTAGTGGTAGTCACAGTGCATCTGCCAGCTCCTTTACGAGCTGGGATTGAATTCCATCCACACCTGAGACTTTTGAGTCCTTTTAGTTTGTCAATGCTCTTCCTGCTTATATCGGACGTTATGGGTCTATCCCTTAATTCGTTCTCTTCACCTCCAAACATTTTTTGTGAGTAATGGGATGTTGTCTAATCTTTCTAGAGTGATTACTGATGTATATTATTCATTCAGAATGTTTGCTGTCCTTTCGTTGTCTGTAATAACTTAATTGGTTAGTCACCGTGGTATTGGAGAGGTGTTAGCTAGTGCTGTGATATTCTCAGGATGTGTTGAGTTATGAGTGGCCGGTGTCGTATCCAATAATGTGCATTTCTTCATCTCCTCCCGTATAAGTACTTTAAGCTGCGAAACTAGCTCACCGCAAATGTAGGTTGCTTAGCTTAGAGACTGTACTTATGGCCGTTCCCGAGTCCATTATTGCTATAATAATATATTAAACTGCGAAACTATAGCTTATCAAGACTGTAACTTGCTTTGCTAAATGAATTTTAGGGTTCAGTTCCTGAGCCCATTATGTGCCTCTGTAACCTTTTCCAGTATCGCCCACGGGATGGGTATGGGATGCATAATAAAGAAACTAAAAACTCCTCCAGTAATCTTGTACTGTTTCTATATGTCTACTCCCATCTTTTCTCTCTTCTACTCCACTTTTGTCGGCACCTATAAGAAACCTTCGGAATTTTCCGACTAGTCATATTTCCGTGTATAATGTTTTGTTCCTCTTGGATGGATAGCTTTACAGGCGAGATCATAACAATTCCTATCATCACTAGCTACAATTCTGTAATTAGATCACTACAGTTGTAACAACCACATATTTGCTTAGATAAACTGGCAGTGCTTGAGCCCCTGTGTGTGACTCCGCTCTGCCGCCGCCCACTGGTCAGGCGGGATGTAACATATACAAATTGGAACCAAATGTAAATAGATAAGAACAAATGTGAACTACTAATACTAATGAAATTTGTGGTCCAGTTCCTGAACCCTTAAATTGTGTCTAACCCTTCTCTCACAGCCCACGGAATGGGCGAGGATTTGATAAACTGTTAAAATAAACTAACTAAAACTGCAAATAGATTGTTGAGATATATATATATTAACAAATTCTATAACTATTTCATAAATGTTGTAATTTGCTTAGGTAAATGAATATTGGGGGCTCTGAGCCCATTGTGTGCCTCTGTAATGTTCCACCACCGCTCGCAGGATGAGTATGGGGTAATAAATAAATATATTAATATAATAATTCAACTTATTATTGTTATGAATACTTTATTTTAAATGTTTAGACTTTCTGATAAATATCTATAATTTAGTACAGTAGCCTTATACTGTTCTTCTTCTCTTCTTCTTGTTGATAGTAGGTGCAGTTTGCATGAATAATAATAATAATAATAATTTTTATTTAGGCAAAGGTACATACATAAAGAGATTTTACAAAGTTTGTTGGCTTTATAGATAAGAGCTAGTACATACAATGCCTAAAGCCACTATTACGCAAAGCGTTTCGGGCAGGGAAGGGTTTGTCCTCCCGATGACTGCACCAGTACTGATGTTGTTGGACGCGTTTATGTTGAAGATGATCGGAGCTACCAAGGTGCTTGTTGCGTTGTGCTGTAGATAGAGGAACGGTGATTAAAACAGAGGTGTGTGTTAGAGGGAGACTTGCCGCACCGTAGGGCGGTGTGTTGTGTTTATGGCGTCAGCTGATCCTTGGTGTTGCGACGAGGTAGTTGTTTTCTGTGTTTAGCTGTTGGTGGCGCCAGGTATAAATGTGGCGCGGGTCAGATGTGACCCAATTTGTTGGTCGATTGGAGATATTTAGCCAGTGCTTTGACTATTTGGTATTTTACTGAACAGTAAGGTAAGATTTGAGGTATTGCAGGGAGTGTCCTCTGACTCCATAATGCTGTAATTTAAGAAGAAGGTTTTGGTGGTTGACAGTGTCAAACGCCTTACGCAGGTCCACAAATAACCCAACAGGGAACTTATTTTTATCAAGAGCTGCATGTATCATATTAATCATACTAATAAGTGCATCGTTAGTGCCTTTTTGGGGTCTGAAGCCATATTGACAAGAGCTAAGTATATTGAGTTTGGCTAGATAATAGAAAGCTGCTTGTAGATTAGTTTTTTCAAATATTTTTGACAAGTTTGGCAGAATTGATATAGGTCTGAAGTTGTTAACATCAGTGGGATCACCACATTTGTGGACAGGGGTTACTCTCGCTTTTTTTAAGAATGTCTGGAAAGGTTTGGAGTTCAAGTGACTTGTTGAAGAGCAATGCAATAGCAGGAGCTAAAGATCTGGAGGCTTTTTTTTGTAAATAAGAGTTGGTATCTCCTCAAGGGCACTAGACTTGGTTTTAAGGGAAAGGATTATGTCAGTAACATCAGTGGAATTAGTAGGTGTTAGGTACAAAGACTGTCGATAGTTACCTGTAAGATAATCCTCAATATTAGTACTGAAAGATGGAATATCATTTGCAAGGGATGACCCAATGGAAGTGAAGAACCTATTGAACTCAAAAGCAGTATGAGGCTGAAAGCAGACCATCGTTATTTGACAGGAGTATTAGTTTGTTAATTATAATCTTCTTTGATCCCAATATTTGTGAAATTGTGCTCCATGTTTTCTTAATGTTACCCTTTGTGTGGGTAAATTTATCTTCGTAGTATTTAATATTGGCTCTCCTAATTATTTTAGATAGCAATGATGAGTAATTCTTCGAAAATTCCTTGGAGACGATTCCTAACATATACGTCTTCTCAAGGTCATGTTTTTTTATTAATGGATTTAAGTATTCCCTTTGTAAGCCAAGGATTGTTTAGCCTTTTAGTTGTGACTTGTTTCGTTAGCATGGGACAGTGGGTGTTATAAAGGCTGAGAGTTTTTTGAAGAAATGATTGCACTGCTAGGTTGATGTCCCCTATGTTCCCTAATTCGGATTCCCAGTTGATATCAGCAGCAGCAGCTATAAAATTGCCTATAGCAGTTTCATTGTGCAGCCTTAAGCTTATCTCCCTTGTCTCTAGAGGTGGTTTGTTAATGCTGGTTAGGAGAAATGTGGGGTAATGGTCTGTAGTGCTATCGATGATTATCCCTGAAGTAAGTGGAGAGGTTATGTTGGTCCAGATGTGATCAAGAGCCATGGCAGTACTATCAGTGATTCTAGTAATTGAAATTGAAATTGAAATAAGTTTATTGAGGTAAAATACACACAAAGGGATGAGGTAGCTCAAGCTATTCTCACCCCAATCAGTACAACGTGTTAATATATACATAGACACACATCACAAACAATAAACATATTACCAAACATTCTGAGAGGTAAACATATACATTTCCTCCTTCACAAGTAGTATGGTATCAGACGTATACACAAATACTTTTATGACCTAGGTATACTGTATAGACAATTTGCAAGACACCTGCAGATAATTCAACAAAATATTACAATCTTGGTGCAAAATTTTTATATCTCTCAAGAATATCATCAACCTTTCCGTTGTGACACATCCAGGCTATTTGTTCAGGAACAGTCCTTATCTTAGTGTTTCTATATACATTAATCAACGGACAATCAAGAACATAATGGGCCAGGGTGTGAGACCTTAACATACCACATACCCCGTGATTCTAGTAGGTCTAGTGATTAAGGGTATGAGGAAGTAGGAATTCATACAGTTAAGGAAACTAGCAGCAGGAGGGTTATCAGACTCGCAGAGGTCAGTGTTAAAGTCCCCAGAAATAATTAAGTGGTTTTTGTTCAGTCTGTTCTCTAGTATAAGATTTCTAAGGTTAGAGTTAAATTCAGTCACATCAGTGTTAGGAATCCTGTAAACTGCTCCCACAGTCAGGACAGCATCGCTACCCTTGACTCTGAAACAGGCAAATATATATACTCTCCATAAGGGTCTCTAGATTTAATTACTTTTAAGCAAGTCAGTTCATGGTGGTAGTAAAGAGAAGTATCACCACCTCTTTGTATAGGACGAGAGTTGTGAATAGCTGAGTAGTTAGGTATATTGTTGACTTGAGTCCTCTTTTAACCACGTTTCAGTAAACAATAAAAGAGAATTTGTTGTCAACTGTTTGAATCAGGGCATTAACATCATCAAAGTATTTGCTTAGAGATCTTACATTCAAGTTAATTACAGAAATTTTTTTTCTGGGGGCCAGCCCCAGGCATGACAGGGCGGATCTCATCGAAACCTTTAAAATGGTGATCCAGACAATTTCTTCAAAAAGGTCACATGTAACACGAACGAGGAGTCAAAAAGCCACAATGTAGGACAAAAAACCAGATGCTTTTTCAAATTCAAATTTTTATTCCGGAAAAATTTTCACCCATAGGGTTGTAAACCCGTGGAACCGCCTACCCGCCAAAGGCGTAAATACCAAAACATTGCTGGGTTTTAAAATACAACCGGAAAAGATTATCAGGGCAAATGGGGGGAGCTTTGACAAGCCGCAGGCTTCTTGACCTCATCGAGGCCACTAGTGTTGGTGGTCCTCGGATAAAATTCAAGTAAATTAGGCCTATATTTACGTCAAAATCGCTGCTCCAACACTGAAAATTACTATATCCATATTACATAAAACTTATAACAGATCAATATGAACTATATTTTTTAAACAAAAATAAACTTTAAAATATTTAATGTGTTATTGTATACTCTATAATATTGATATATATGTACATAAATATATAAATATATAATTGTGAAGGTTGGAGTAAAGTATTATATAGGAGGTGTAAGTGTGCGGGTGGGCGCAGGTGAGGTGGTGCGGGCCACCAAGTTATCAACAACTCGGGTCTTCCTGCCAACAACCTTGCTGTTGCTTCGCCTCCCTTACTCTGGTCTCTGGACACATATTTATAACGTGAATGAGTAGTTACAAAGGTCAACTTGTTTTTAGTATCTTTTCCTTGTAGTAAATTGTTACTATAAACGGTATTTATGAAGAGAATTAATATGTTGTGATCGTGGGAAGAGAATTAATATATTTGCTTAGTGGATTCTAGAAAAAGCAACTTCCTATATTTAATACAATAAATTGTTAAACAAAGCTAAGGTAACAGTTTCTATGTTGCTACCTGTTTTAAGCGGTATGTGGACGAGACGTCTTGTGTAACTACTACTACAACTGACTCTAAATTGACACACAATTGTTAATATTGTCAACAAGAGTGTGTGTGTTTTTAAGTGAATATATATATACAGTGGTTGTCTCGCTGTATATAAATATCTCTATATATGCAAATAGACGTCTAGTGCAAGTGACTTCACTGCATGGGGTTGCTGTTTACTTGTAGTTTTTGGCCTTCCCTGTAAGTATTCCCCAAAATATTGCTGGAACAACCGTGGACATTTTCAAGATGAAACTAGATTTATTCCTTCAAGGAGTGCCGGACCAACCGGGCTGTGGTGGGTATGTGGGCCTGCGGGCCGCTCCAAGCAACAGCCTGGTGGACCAAACTCTCACAAGTCAAGCCTGGCCTCGGGCCGGGCTTGGAGAGTAGAAGAACTCCCAGAACCCCATCAACCAGGTGTCCTCAATAGGTTTGAAGCCACACACTGGGAAAATGACTATCCATTCATAATGTCTGCACAGGTGGTCTATCCATTCCACACGTGGAACTCGTCGGTAACCGTCATGTCCCTAATATTATAACAGATTCCGAACAAGGTCTTTAAATTTTGTCTTCAAAGAGGTCACAGTTTCAGTGCAGTTTATATCCTTCAGCAACCTGTCATACAGTGTAGGAGCACAATGAGACAAAGCTCTGGCACTAATATCCTTTAATGCATGTGGTACTGACAGTCTATACTCATCCAATGTATACTTTGTATTATAGAGGTAATTTCATGTTTCTCAACTTTGTTACCTAAGTATTTTGGTGTTCCAGTAATCACTGCTATACTGTATATGTCAACACAGATCTTAAACATAATTCTGGCTTTAGTAGGTAACCAATTCAGGTCAATTAGAACAGGAGTGATTCTGTCTCATGGTAGTAAACCTATTACGAGTCTCTCGGCTTTATTGAAAAAAAGAAATTCTTCAATAAATAGTTTTGTACACCTTATCATAATGAATTATAATGAATTACAATAGTCTAACCTACTTTTAAAGAGGTTATTAATAAATTTTTAATTAATTTTTCATTCAAATATTTCCTGATAATTCCAATACAGTATTTCCTAAGTTATAATTATCCAGAAAATGTTGCAATTTTCATCCATCATTTTTTTAGATTTCCTGAAGGAATCATTTTTCAACACCATGAAGTGATATGATATTGGCCAAGCATGTCCAACTTAACTACCCACATCACACCAATCACACTTTTTATTTATTTATTTATTTATTTATTTATTGATATATATACAGTACCTGTACAAGAGTTCTTACATTCTTGTACGTACAGCCACTAGTACGTGTAGTGTTTCGGGCAAGTCCTTAATCCTATATTCCCTAAAATACGACCCCTGCGAAGAATCGTTTTTACAACCAAGTACCCATTTTACTGTTGAGTTAAACAGAGGCTACAGTTAAGGATTTGCGCCCAGTAAATCCTCCCCGGCCAGGATACGAACCCAGGACAAAGCGCTCGCGGAAGGCCAGGCGAGCGTCTTATCACTACGCCATGGAGACTGATAATGTCAGTCTGTAACATTACTGACATCACCTTCAATTATTGTGAAGGTGTAATTACTGTACCTAAGTGTAGTTACAGGATGAGAGCTACATTCATGATGTCCCATCTTCCCAGCATTCTTTATCACATAACACTTTGAAAACTACTGACGGTTTTGGCTTCCACCACCATCTTATTTAACTTGTTCCAACTGTCTACCATTTTTTTTTTTTTTTTTGTGAAAGTGAATTTCTTAGTGTTTCTTTGGCAGCTTTGCTTAGCTAGCTTAAATCTGTGACCTCTTGTTCTTGAAGTGCCAGGTCTCAGGAATTCTTCCTTATCATTTTGTTGATTCATGTTACTATTTTGTATGCAGTGATCATATTGCCTCGTATGGTCTCTGATACAGCCTGTTCTCCAACAATTCATGGTACTTGTACAACAGTTCCATGAAATTCTTCAGATGAATTATGTATTTTTTAAGCACTTTCATGTACAGTATGTTATTACAGTATTGTATTAATCAGCCCTGAAAATCAGTCTCGCCATCTGATGGGAAACGCCCATTAAGTATCAATAGCAAGGAACCAAATTTGGAATAGCTTATACATACTGTATTTTCAAATTAAGATTTTGTTGTAAAATCCCATTTCATGTAACTCTTGAAATACTGTATAAGAAAATGTAAATCTGTGATTACTGTAAAAAAAATTTCACACTATCCTATTGACTTAATTTATAGTGACTGCTCTCCTGTGTTTCAGTGTGTAGTGAACTGGGAGACTTGCCATCATGAAGGCCACCTTTACTACTGTGGACTTGCTGGCCATTGTGGCAGAACTCAAGGAAAGGTAGGTATGCCAACTGAAGTGTTACTCTAAACGGAACACAAACAAGTGTTTCGTGAAGATTAAAGCTTTGTGAAACACGAACATTGAAGTGTTTCAACACACAATGTTGTCATGTTGACCATTGACACACGAAGTGTCATCGGAGAGCGAAATTGTTCCAATGGTACTAAAACACATCATTGGCACCATGACAGTAACGTTCCAATGATGCAATGCCAGTCATGGCACTATGACAGTAACGTTCCAATGATGCAATGCCAGTCAAAATATTTATGAAATCTTCATTATTGTGTGGACAGAGCATATTTCGGCCATTAGTGAACTGACCAGAGAGCTTCCAGCTTGCTCATTAGGCCTCACTTGAGACAAACACAGCATTTGTATATTCATTGCTGTTGCACAAAATCTCAGGCTTTGAACATGTATAATGAATCAACTTAGTTTCTATGATAGAGCCACAGAGATTTTATTGGAAAAAGATAGTTGGGTTAACTATATTCATCTGGAGCTTAAAAAAAAAAAAAAAAAGCTTTTGGCAGTCCAACATAAGAGATTGTTCTGGAAACTGGAACATACAGGAGGAGTGACAGGGAGGCTTCTAACGTGGATGAAAAATGTTCTAACCAACAGAAAAATGTGGGCAGTAATCAAAGGCAATGCATCAGATTGGAGAAATGTCACAAGTGGAGTGCCACTGGGTTAAGTTCTTGCACCAGTAATGTTCATTACAGTATCTTCATAAACACCCTTCCAGAAGAAATACAGAATTATATAAACATGTTTGCTGATGATGCTAAGATACTAGGAAAGATAAGAAACTTAGACAATTGTCATGCCCTTCAAAAAGATTTGGACAAAAAATCAGTGTATGGAGCACCTCTAGGCAAATGGAATTTAATGTGAATAATTTTACATGTTATGGAATATGAAATAGGAGAAAATAGACCATATATAACATATAACTTACTTGAAAGAACTTTAACAAATTCTGATAATGATAGAGATCTAGGGGTGGTTCTAGATAGAAAACTGTCACCTGAGGACTACATAAAGAACCTTGTGTGAGGAGCCTATGCTATGCCTTCCAATTTCAGAATTGCTTTTAAATACATGGATGGTGAAATAATAAAGAAATTGTTCACAACTTTTGTTAAACCATAGTTGGAATATGCAGCAGTTGTATGGTGCACATATCTTGAGAAGAACATCAACAAACTGGAAAAGGTGCGAAGACATATAACTAAATGGCTTACAGAAAACTGCACTGGTAATTACAGTACAAAGTTCAAATGATTTGAAACAATTCCAGTGTGAACGCATGCTCAGACATATTGGAAATCTTGTGTAATTACCTAAGTAATTACCTAAGTGTAGTTACAGGATGAGAGCTACGCTCGTGGTGTCCCGTCTTCCCAGCGCTCTTTGTCATATAACGCTTTGAAACTACTGACGGTCTTGGCCTCCACCACCTTCTCACTTAACTTGTTCCAACCGTCTACCACTCTATTTGCGAAGGTGAATTTTCTTATATTTCTTCGGCATCTGTGTTTAGCTAGTTTAAATCTATGACCTCTTGTTCTTGAAGTTCCAGGTCTCAGGAAGTCTTCCCTGTCGATTTTGTCAATTCCTGTTACTATTTTGTATGTAGTGATCATATCACCTCTTTTTCTTCTGTCTTCTAGTTTTGGCATATTTAATGCTTCTAACCTCTCCTCGTAGCTCTTGCCCTTCAGTTCTGGGAGCCACTTAGTAGCATGTCTTTGCACCTTTTCCAGTTTGTTGATGTGCTTCTTAAGATATGGGCACCACACAACAGCTGCATATTCTAGCTTTGGCCTAACAAAAGTCATGAACAATTTCTTTAGTATATCGCCATCCATGTATTTAAATGCAATTCTGAAGTTAGAAAGCATAGCATAGGCTCCTTGCACAATATTCTTTATGTGGTCCTCAGGTGATAGTTTTCTATCTAGAACCACTCCTAGATCTCTTTCTTTATCAGAATTCTTTAAAGATTTCTCACATAATATATAGGTTGTGTGGGGTCTATGTTCTCCTATTCCACATTCCATAACATGACATTTATTAACATTAAATTCCATTTGCCAAGTGGTGCTCCATATACTTATTTTGTCCAGGTCTTTTTGAAGGGCATGACAGTCATCTAAATTTCTTATCCTTCCTATTATCTTAGCATCATCAGCAAACATGTTCATATAATTCTGTATACCAACTGGTAGATCATTTATGTACACAATAAACATCACTGGTGCAAGAACTGAACCCTGTGGTACTCCACTTGTGACATTTCTCCATTCTGATACATTGCCTCTGATTACTGCCCTCATTTTTCTATCAGTCAGAAAATTTTTCATCCATGATAGAAGCTTACCTGTCACCCCTCCAATATTTTCCAGTTTCCAGAACAACCTCTTATGTGGAACTCTGTCGAAAGCCTTTTTTAGGTCCAGATAGATGCAGTCAACCCAACCATCTCTTTCCTGTAATATCTCTGTGGCTCGATCATAGAAACTGAGTAAATTCGATACACAGGATCTTCCAGATCGAAAACCATACTGTCTGTCTGATATTATATCATTTCTCTCTAGGTGTTCTACCCATTTAGTTTTGATTAGTTTTTCCAATACTTTCACTATTACACTTGTCAATGATACAGGTCTATAATTGAGGGGGTCTTCCCTGCTGCCACTTTTGTAGATTGGAACTATGTTAGCCTGTTTCCACCCGTCTGCTACGATTCCTGTACACAGGGATGCCTGAAAGATCAGGTGAAGTGGAATGCTGAGCTCAGATGCACATTCTCTCAGAACCCATGGTGAAACGCCATCTGGGCCAGCTGCTTTGTTCTTACCGAGCTCCTTGAGCATTTTTTCCACTTCGTCTCTAGACACCTCTATGTGTTCTATGTTGTTCTCTGGAATTCTTATTGTATCTGGTTCCCTAAAGATTTCATTTTGTACAAACACACTTTGGAACTTTTCGTTTAGTGTTTCACACATTTCCTTTTCATCTTCCGTGAATCTATTTCCCATTTTCAACCTCTGAATATTATCCTTTACCTGCAATTTGTTGTTTATGAATTTATAGAATAGACCTGGTTCTGTTTTACATTTGTCCGCAATCCCTTTTTCAAAATTTCTTTCTGCCTCTCTCCTCACTGCCGTGTAGTTGTTTCTCGCATCTTTGTATCGCTGGTATGTTTGGGGGTTCGGCCTCTTCCTGTATTGATTCCATTTTTGTGTCTTTCGGTCTCTAGCCCTCTCGCAATTTCTATTGAACCAATCCTGTTTCCTAGTTCTGCATCTCTGTTTTGGTATAAATTTTTTTGTGCCTTTATCATATATTTCACAAAACTTGCCATACATCTCATTCACTTCCTTGCCTAGCATCAAGTCTGTCCAATTATACTCACTAAAAAATTTCTAAGGTCACCATAATGTCCTCTCCTGAAGTCTGGTTTTTCAACTGCTTCAACCTCCTTATTTTCTTCCAGCTTATAACGCATTGCATACTTTATTCCCAAAAAGACATGGTCACTTTTACCCAAGGGAGGAAGGTACTGAATGTCAAATATCTCTTCCTCCTTCCTGGTAAATATCAAATCTAGCATGGAGGGAACGTCCCCTTCCCTCATCCTCGTAGCTTGTTTAACATGTTGATACAAGAATGTTTCCAGGATGAGGTCTACAAATTTACAGGTCCAAAAATCTTCTGTTTTAGCTTCATATGCTTCCCAGTCTATGGATTTCAAGTTGAAGTCACCGACTATCAACAGTCGTGATCTATCGTTATCCGCTCTCGCTATAATCTCTCTCATTATTGTTATAAGACCTTCACGTTTACTATCTAGCTCCTCCTTTGACCATGTGCTGCTTGGCGGTGGACTATATGCATTTATCATCATTAGTTTATCATCCTCATAGCAGATCTCTAGTGCTATTATGTCAACTTCTTGTGGATTGGCAGTCATTATTTCCTTCACCTTCACCTTTGTGAGTGACAAAAGAAGGGAGGGCTGCTTGGCATGCATTTTGGCATGTGAAAAATTGCCATTCTGTTACCTTTTTATACTACTGAGAAGGCAGGAAGCGCCCAGCTATTACGACTATATATCACTTGGAAAAGATATGGATTTGGGATGGGATGGGACTAAGGAATGGTTCCCAACCATTTGGATGGTCGGGAATTGAACGCCAACCTGCACAAAGCAAGACTGTCGCTCAGCCATTCAGCCCAAGTGGTTGGGCACTTGGACTGGACAAGGAGGAAGTATTTAAAGTCTCAAATGGTAGGTAATACCCATAGGCTTTACTTCTGATGTACTATATAATAGTATCCCGACTGCCTTGTGATAAAAATCCCACTGGCTCATAAATATTTAGCCAAACGTGGAAGATACATTTTTTCATCTTACTGTCAATTAGTTAAGGTGACACCTGACCCAGGGATGAGTTTGACTTGTACAATTTTTGTCCTTTGCACTTAGTGGGACATTTTGCTCTTACTGGCTGCTTCATCCTTACTAGAGTACTCAAGTGAAAATCACCAGACTGTCTTTATAACATTTCTCTTGTTTCATATAACTGCATCAGGTAAGTGGTGATAATTTAGTGGTACATTTAAGTGATAAATTTTTCCTGCAAACATATTATGATAAGTTTATTCTTCATTACAGGGTCATTGGGATGAGGGTTGTGCAGATTTATGATGTTGACTCCAAAACGTATTTGATAAAACTTCAAAAGCCTGATCAGAAGTGTATGTTGCTAGCAGAATCAGGTGCTCGCTTACACACCACTGAATATGAATGGCCCAAGAACCCAGCACCTTCAGGCTTTTCTATGAAGGTTTGTTCATTGTATATTCGGTAGCACAAGGTTATTGTGGATACTGTCAAACATAAGTACAGTGCTGTATTGTTTTATCAACACTTCAAGCACTTGGTGATTTATCCTCTGTATTTAGTTTATACATTTTAGTATCCTTTATATGTTTTATATTAAACTCTACAAATACTAGCCACAATTTGATAGAACATTTGTAATGGAATAAATAGTACTTTGTTGAAATTATTTATAAGTAAAGCAGTTTTTTAATTGTGCTCTTTGCACATTATAATTGAGAGTATTTATTAATGTTTTCATTTATTTAAATCTCTTTCAGCTAAGGAAACATCTTCGCAATAAACGGCTTGAGGCTGTGAACCAGCTCGGTGTTGATCGTATTGTTGACTTGACATTTGGGTCTGGGGAGGCAGAACACCATGTCATATTGGAGCTTTATGACCGTGGCAATATTGTATTAACTGATAACTCGTATACCATTCTAAATATTCTCCGTCCACGAAAGGAAGGGGAAGATGTTAGGTAGGTCTGTAGAAGTTAATGATTACAGTACCAGTAAACATGATTCTCTAAGTTAAACCATGGGGTCATACTAAGAAGGGGCTTATACTGACCCACAACTGATTTTAGGTCTACACATTACAATCCATTTCACTAGCTTAAATATAAGTGTAAATATATTACAAATTTGATGCAACATTTTTTTTAAACAAGCTATTTAAAAGGTTTATGTACGTATATTTTGTAATAATTCCCTAATTGAGATCATTAACGTGTTTGGTGCCAGGTCCATAAAAATGTTTATCATATCCTAGTTATTTCAAATGTACAGTACTGGCATCCATGTATAACTTTATTTACCAGTGATAATGAGCACGTAATTTATTAATTTATACGCAGATAGCAAAAATTACCATGCACGTAGAATATAGCTGGTTATAAATCTGTCATATATTGGTAACTGGTCAAACTAGTTAATAATCTGAAATGTTAAGTTTAGATTACACACTAAAGTATTGACTACACCCTAAGCAGTTAAAATTTTTTAGACATTCTCAGGAAAGGAATACTGATGCTAAGTTTTTTTGCTTCCTGAAAAGATAACCTTTTATTTCAGATTTGCTGTGCACGAGACATATCCTGCAAATCAACCACGGATGCCCAAAGCTCCTCTATCATTAGAAGACCTAAAGAATGCGTTATCTTCTGCTAAAGAAAATCTAACTTTGAGAAAGATACTCAATCCTTTATTAGGTTTGTATAATAATTTTTTAACCCTTACATTGCTCCAGTCGCTTGAGAACAAACAGCGCATGTGCTCAAATTGCCTTGATATGTTTGACCCGTCTGCTCAAATCACCTTAAGATGATTTAAGGTGCCCCATTTTATTTAAAAGCTCCACCCATTCTAGGAGAATGCCATTTGACACTTAAGACCCCTGTTGATCATTTGTCATATTTTGAAATAATCCTGAGTTCCTTAGTTTCCTCTCAGGGCAGTAGTAAAACAGTATGGACTATGTCCATCATCATCCAGTGTCTGAATCTACAGGGATGCCGTGCTGGTAACCATTGAACTTTAACAACAGCAAATGAGTGATTTCCATATATATATATATATGTGTGTGTGTGTGTGTGCACGCACACACACACACACACACACACACACATGTATGGAAGCATGTATGGAAGCGAAGAAACTGAACAAAAGGGCGTGGAGGAACTTCCGGAATAACAGAACACCAGAAAGCAGAGAGAGATACCAGAGAACCAGGAATGAGTACGTCAGGGTGAGAAGAGAAGCAGAGAAAAGTTTTGAAAATGATATAGTAAACAAAGCCAAGACCGAACCAAAGCTACTCCACAGTCACATCAGAAGGAAAACAACAGTGAAAGAACAGGTATTGAAACTTCGAACAGGCGAGGACAGGTATACAGAGAATGACAGAGAGGTGTGTGAAGAACTCAACAAGAGGTTCCAGGAGGTCTTCACAATAGAACAAGGTGAGGTCACTGTGCTAGGAGAAAGAGAGGTAAACCAGGCGGCCTTGGAAGAGTTCGAAATTACGAGAGAGGAGATCAAGAGACACCTGCTGGATCTGGATGTTAGAAAGGCTGTTGGTCCAGATGGGATCTCACCATGGATACTGAAAGAGTGTGCAGAGGCACTTTGCTTGCCACTCTCCATAGTGTATAGTAAGTCACTGGAGACGGGAGACCTACCAGAAATATGGAAGACGGCGAATGTGGTCCCAATATACAAAAAGGGCGACAGGCAAGAGGCACTGAACTACAGGCCAGTGTCCTTGACTTGTATACCATGCAAGGTGATGGAGAAGATCGTGAGAAAAAACCTGGTAACACATCTGGAGAGAAGGGACTTCGTGACAAATCGCCAACATGGGTTCAGGGAGGGTAAATCTTGCCTTACAGGCTTGATAGAATTCTACGATCAGGTGACAAAGATTAAGCAAGAAAGAGAGGGCTGGGCGGACTGCATTTTCTTGGATTGTCGGAAAGCCTTTGACACAGTACCGCATAAGAGGCTGGTACATAAGCTGGAGAGACAGGCAGGTGTAGCTGGTAAGGTGCTCCAGTGGATAAGGGAGTATCTAAGCAATAGGAAGCAGAGAGTTACGGTGAGGGGTGAGACCTCTGATTGGCGTGAAGTCACCAGTGGAGTTCCACAGGGCTCTGTACTCGGTCCTATCTTGTTTCTGATATATGTAAATGATCTCCCAGAGGGTATCGATTCATTTCTCTCAATGTTTGCGGACGATGCTAAAATTATGAGAAGGATTAAAACAGAAGAGGACTGTTTGAGGCTTCAAGAAGACCTAGACAAGCTGAAGGAATGGTCGAACAAATGGTTGTTAGAGTTTAACCCAACCAAATGTAATGTAATGAAGATAGGTGTAGGGAGCAGGAGGCCGGATACAAGGCATCATCTGGGAGAGGAAATTCTTCAGGAGTCAGAGAAGGAAAAAGACTTGGGGGTTGATATCACGCCAGACCTGTCTCCTGCAGCACATATCAAGCGGATAACATCAGCGGCATATGCCAGGCTGGCCAACATACGAACGGCATTCAGAAACTTGTGTAAAGAATCATTCAGAACTTTGTATACCACATATGTCAGGCCAATCCTGGAGTATGCAGCCCCATCATGGAGTCCATATCTAGTCAAGGATAAGACTAAACTGGAAAAGGTTCAAAGGTTTGCCACCAGACTACTACCCGAGCTGAGAGGTATGAGCTACGAGGAGAGACTACGGGAATTAAACCTCACTTCGCTGGAAGACAGAAGAGTTAGGGGGACATGATCACCACATTCAAGATTCTGAAGGGAATTGATAAGGTAGATAAAGACAGTCTATTTAACACAAGGGAAACACGTACAAGGGGACACAGGTGGAAACCGAGTGCCCAAATGAGCCACAGAGATATTAGAAAGAACTTTTTTAGTGTCAGAGTGGTGGACAAATGGAATGCATTAGGAAGTGATGTGGTGGAGGCTGACTCCATACACAGTTTCAAGTGTAGATATGATAGAGCCCAATAGGCTCAGGAATCTGTACACCTGTTGATTGACGGTTGAGAGGCGGGACCAAAGAGCCAGAGCTCAACCCCCGCAAACACAACTAGGTGAGAACAACTAGGTGAGTACACACACACACACACACACAGACAGAGGCAAAATGTGTGCTATTTGTAATTATAAGTTTTAGGCTGTCTTTTTTCTCTTGGGGGTGTATGTGGGAGAAACCGTTTTATCTGTTCAGGCATCAGACATGGCCCCACCTTTGTTGATGTTTGAGCTTGATTCCTCGGCTGCTTTTTCCCATGTTCCCTTCTGAATACTGTTGGAGTCTTCAGATGCATCTTTTTCAAGAGGTCTTCGTTGTCCTGCCTTCCACCTTCTCCAGTTTGGTCAGACTTATTTTGGTTCCTCTTGTTGGATCAGGACCTTGTTTCCTTGATGAACCCAGCCTCTTTTGAGTTTGGGTTGGCTTCATTTTTGTTAGTTGCCCTATGGAGTTCCCGGTTCTTCCTTACTTGTATCTTTTTTAAATCGTGGACCACATTCCCAGGTGTGAGGTCCTCGGTACTGAGTGAGCCACCAAGGCTGGCGCACGTAGCATGAGCTCACAGCATTGCTGTTCAGCTTGTGACCACAGCATCGCCTAAAAATGCCATAAAATATATGTACATGCTATTATTTAGCAATGATAGTATTACAGAAGACCCCTGACTGATGAAAATGACCAGGATGCTGATAATAGCAGGATTGTTGTGATAATTAGCGCTGTAGTGGGAGGAGTAATCTTGGTGAGGAGGGAGGTAGCGTTGTCTGCTGATTCTGACCACCTTTTACTGTCTGGACTAATTATAGCAGCATAGTTGTTCGCTATGGTGAACAAAACATACAGATACTTATATATAACGTCTGTATATAGTGAACAAAATGTAGATACTTATAACATGTATATATAGTGTAATAACAGCAAAAGAAGTATGGGGAGACACCATTTTAGTGAGGGAGGTGGCGACATCTGCATGATTTATCATGCTGGGTAGGGGGTGGCCACTGTGCTCTTTGGGCACTATACCAGCTTAGATGAACAGTTATGGTGAACAGAACATGTAGATACTTATATATTACATCTGTATATAGTAAATTAAAGTAAGAACAGTATGGTGGGAGGAGGATGGGGGCGAATGAGGAGTCATTGAGGGAGGGAGTGGCGGTGAGAGGCTGACTGGCAGATGTGGTAATTACCTAAGTGTAGTTACAGGATGAGAGCTACGCTCGTGGTGTCCCGTCTTCCCAGCACTCTGTCATATAACGCTTTGAAATTACTGATGATTTTGGCCTCCACCCCTTCTCACCTAACTTGTTCCAACCGTCTACTACTCTGTTTACAAAAGAGAATTTTCTTATATTTCTCCGGCAGCTTTGTTTTGTAAGTTTAAATCTGTGACCTCTTGTTCTTGAAGTTCCAGGTCTCGGAAAATCTTCCCTATCAATTTTATCAATTCCTGTTACTATTTTGTACGTAGCGATCATATCGCCTCTTTTTCTTTTATCTTCTAGTTTTTGCATATTTAATGCCTCTAACCTCTCCTTGTAGCTCTTGTCCTTCAGTTCTGGAAGCCACTTAGTTGCATGTCTTTGCACCATTTCCAGTTTGTTTGTGCGTCTTAAGATATGGGCACCATACAACTGCCTCATATTCCAGCTTTGGTCTAATAAAGGTCGTGAACAATTTTTTTAGCATTTCGCCATCCATATATTTAAAAGCAATTCTGGAGTTAGAAAGTGTAGCATAGGCTTCTCGCACAATGTTCTTAATGTGGTTCTCAGGTGACATTTTTCTATCTAGAACCACCCCTAGATCCCTTTCTTTGTCAGAATTCATTAAGATTTCTCACATAATTTATAGGGTGTGTGGGGTCTATGTTCTCCTATTCCATAATGTGGCATTTATTCACATTAAATTCCATTTGCCAAGTGGTACTCCATTTACTTATTTTGTCCAGGTCTTCTTGAAGTGCATGACAATCTTCTAGGTTTCTTATCTTCCCTATTATTTTAGCATCATCAGCAAACATGTTCTTATAATTCTGTATTCCATCTGGTAGATCGTTTATGTAGACAATGAACATTACCGGTGCATTACCGGTGGTGGCCACACCTCACTGCTTTTTGACTTGCAATATCAACTTAGTGGTTCGTTATGGTGAGCAAAACATGCAGATACGTATATATAACCTGTGTATATAGTGTAAAACCGACAAAGTATTTGTTTATTGTTTTATGAACACAATAATTGAATCAATAATATGCACACCATAATTTTGAGTACAGAGATGATTCACACATTTTATTATATAAATATATCACTCTACACACTATTGAATAATATTACAGCAAAAAAAAAAAAGAAGAAAAATCAATTAGTCATTGAAATATTTAGGTAATTATCTCTTTGTGGCCACTCCTGTCTGACAGCTGGGGCTGAGCAGACCGCCTCGGACGCACTCTGAGTCAGCGCCTCTTTTTGGCCAGACTTCCCCGCCCTATAGCGGGCAAAATAGGCCACTTACGCTTTTTTTATTATTTTTTCCGTGATAAGGGAACACAAATTAACAGGTGTAGAAGAATTTGTTTTTTGTTTTTTTGTTGTGTGCCAATGGCCAAATAGCCCTTAGGAACACAAGAGTTAAAGTTAACTTTTAGAATTGCCTTGGCATACAATAATTACTGATTTTTTTTTTTTTTTTTTTTTTGTTTACTTGTATCACCAAGAATGAGAGAATGACAAATTTTCTATTTACATTTTCCACTTGTATTGCATATTAGCATACAGTATTTGTTAAATCGTAAATTAAATGGAGTATGTATCACTAAACATAAAAAACAGTATATGCAACAGTGTGTGATTTTGTAAATTCTAATCTACCTGACAATTTTCATGATTATAGACTGTGGTGGTGGTGTGCTGGACCATGAACTGCTGGAGGCAGGCTACCCTACTGGTACTAAGCTAGGTCATCCCATGAAAAGTGATGATGACCTTACACAGTTACATAGCGCTGTGATCAGAGCACAGGCTGTTGTTACACAATGGACTACAAGATCGCAACCACAGGTGAGAGGTGTAAACACACACAAATTTAAATATATATGGATGTAAATATTAAATTTTGATTTTTAAATGCACTAATCTGTGAAGAGAGATAAGACCTCATGTTATGTAGATAAGGTTTCATTTCAAACCTGACTAACTGGTTTCATTGTATTTCAGGGCTATATTATTAAGAAAATTGAGCACAGACAAAAAGCAGATGGTAGTACAGAGGAAGTTCCTATTTACCAGGATTTTATGCCGTTTCTTTTTGCCCAGTATGCACAGTCCCCTAATGAACGCTTCCCAACCTTCAATGAAGGCAAGTTACATAATGTATTTTTTTGCATTTAATACATGAATATCATTTGCAGTATTTATGATTAAAGTCTATTGTCTCATTGGTACCTTGTAATTTTATCTTTGGCTTGCTGTATTATAATACATTATATCTTGGTGTTATTGTATTTCAGCCTATACAGTACTTTAACTACCTTTTCTTGTTTTCAAGAAAGGGTGATTTAGGGAAAAGCAGAATATTTGTCATTGTTTCATCATACCTGCAGATGTAAACAATCCAACCATGTAAATATTTGACAAGTTATTTTTGTTAATTGTTTTGTTAATAAGGGGGCCTGGCGGCTGAGTGAACAGCTCTTGAGATTAGTAGTCCCGAGGTTCCAGGTTTGATCCCGGTGGAGGCGGAAACAAACGGGCAGAGTTTCTTTCACCCTGATGCCTCTGTTCCCCTAGCAGTAAATAGGTACCTGGGAGTTAGACAGCTGCTATGGGCTGCTTCCTGGAGATGTGTAACAAAAAGGAGGCCTGGTCGAGGACTGGGACATTAAGCCCCAAAATCATTTCAAGATAACCTCAAGATAACCATCACTTAATCCTTTGGATGGAACCCCATTTTCTTAGAGGGCCTGCTCGCTATTTTCCTCTAGCTAGAGACTAATACCTGTCAAACCTTCAGTATCACACCAGGCTCTTGAAATTCACAAGTGCCTAGCGGGATACACCCCACAAGAAAAGTTCAAGCTACCTTACGTCTGCTTGAGATACGGACAAGTAAGTTGAGTATTCCCCATCACAAAATGGATGCGAGAAACTAACCAAGCTAAGACAGTCGCAATGAAAGGGACACTGTCATGCTGTTCCAAACCATGCCCAATCATAACTAAACCTGCAATGGAACCAACTGGGACTACTGCAAATTGCTATGAAACTTGAACCCTGCCAATTGCAAAAGAACGAGATCCCTGGCCTGAGACCAGCCGACCTGCTGGATACCTCCACCATCCAGTTATTGAGGTAGGCCAAGATACAGATTTCTAAAAAATGAAGATCAGCAGGAAACAGAGCTTATACATCTGCCATAGCATCCAACTCACCTCGCAGCTGGCAAAAATGCAAAGCACAAAAGGACTTGCAAAGCACCTGCCAAGTGCCCACATGCCAGATCAGGGTCTGCAAAAAGGAAGGCATCAAGCTCCTTAGAAAATGAGCAACTCAATAATACCTGAAACACAGACCCCACCTGATGTCACTTGAGTGTCCAGGAATAAGGAAAGAGTTAAGAAAAAGGTGAAAGGTAAGAATAAGAGAATCAAGTATAGTAAAGGTAAGAAGTAAGGAAAAAAGAATAGGAAATGGTATAAATATGAACAAGTTAGAAAACGTTAGGAAAAATAAATAAATAAAAACTGTAAGAGACCAAATGGTAGAGGAGAAAAAACAGTAAAGTAAGAGACAAAGGAAAGAGAGGCTATGGCAGATAAGGAAAACCCCAACCACAAGGGGGTTTTCCAGGGTCATTGCTCCCTGAAACCTCTCTGAAGGGGCCAGGTTCTGGCACTGGTCCCTGGTAGGTCTGAACTCCTTAGCTAATGTCCTGGTCTAACATAACATACATTAGCCCGATAAGCTCCAGGGAGCCTCTGGGGCTCACCCAGAAAATGGTGTTTCATTACATTCAATTCTGGTTTTTTGTATAAGAATAGTAACAAATATAAAGAGTGAAATAATAAATATAGCCTCTTTTGGTGATGTAACAAAATTGTGAACATGGAAGTGGGGATAAAAAGATTTTATAATCATTAGTGTTTTCTCCTTTCTGCACAGCCTGTGATGAATACTTCTCAAAAATGGAGGCTGGTAAGATTGACCACAAAGCAGTGCAGAAGGAGAAGGAGGCACTTAAAAAGCTAGAAAATGTGAAACGTGACCATGAACGGCGACTTCAAGACCTCAGTGACACGCAGAAGACAAATGAATTGCATGGCCATATGATAGGTATGCTACTGTTGATTTTTAGGCATTTCTTATAACTGTTAATTACAGTTAATGTAATTATGTACAGTAAAGTATCCTTTTCTTCCAGTGTCACAAAACTGAATATCTCAGTACAGGGTGTCCCTAACTTTAAATAACATTGTGTCTGTAAAACCATTCACAAATCATTTGTTTGGTATTTGAAAACATCCATAACTATAAGAGAGAAATAGGAAAGGAGCTAAAATGTTTGACTGTTCAAGTCTTCGTCAGCAACTAGACTCGACTGGAGGAGCAGAGCCACATTCATGACCTGACCACCAGGCGGTCAAATCCAAAGAGGAAACTGGTCACCACAACAATGGGACAGGGAGTAGTGTTGGATAGAATGAGAAAACAATTCAGAAAGAAGAGGTAGGGGAGATAATTATAAATTTATAATGAAAGACAAACTAGATCAAAAAGCATCCAAAAATACATAATATGAATCTGATTGGTGGAACAAGGCATAAGAATAGTTTAAAGTGAATGAAAACAATCTAGATGTAATACTTAAGATGTGAACTATGGATCAAAATACCCACCTGTTTTTCCATTCTCTCATTTATTTAATTTGAATGAAATCCTGGATGAATTGTAGAGCATTGCATTATGTCGGAAGAAAAGCTAAAATTTTGGTCTTCTAGGGCAAATTGGGTATGATTATTAATCATCCATAGAAAACAGACAAATAGAACCTAAGAAATACCAAGGGAGAATAGTAATTCGTGGCAAGTGGAGAAAAAATTATCCTATCATGAGGATAATATGATAGGATATTATCCTATCGGTGCGAACACCAGTAGGATAATCGGCCCTGAATACTAAAGTACCCAGTATTCAGGGCTGCAGAAAATTATAGAATTAAATAAACGGCGTAAATATCAAAATATAACGAAAGAGAAACTATTCCAAGAAGCCTAAAAACATACATACCAGTAATATCCATCTAATGGGCAGAACAGGGCATAAGGGTAGTTTAAAGTGACATGAACTATTGATAAAAATAACCAATTGTGTTTTCATTCTCTTGTTTTTTAATTTTAATGAAATCCCGGATGAATTGTTTAGCAACACATCGTGTAGGGAGAAAAACTAAACTTTCTGGATCATAATACAAACAAGTACTGTACCATTATTAGACATCCATAGAAAATGTACAACTTGATCCAATGATATGCTAAAGGAGAATCATCACGAGCCGCCAGTATTCATGACTGCGGAAAATGACATAATCAAAAACTGTAACTGGCAACCAAAACCTATGAAATCTTAATTTGCAAAAAGTGTTATTGAAGTCCTATCAACAAGAGCCACCAATATTCAGGTCTGCAGAACTTACTCTAAAATCCCAATAAAATACACTGGGGTCTTGATTTACGATGGTAATCTGTTCTCAGAGACATATTGTAAGTCGAAATATCGTAAGTCGAAGCGATTTTTCCCATAAGAAATATAGGTACTGTAATTGAATTAATCCGTTCCACACCCCCAAAAATATTAACTTGAAAATACATTTTATACTGAATACAATTGTTTTCTCAACTACAATACAGTACATATGTTTATCTTACCCTTATGGAGGACTCTTGATGGTGTATGGAAGATGGTGATGAGGGGGAGGAGGAGAGATGTTACTGTTTGGAAAGTCTCTCCTTCCATTATAACATCAGGCAGTGATGATTTCTCTGGGGTACACTCTCCTACGTTTTGCCTGCATACCACTAGGACCTGGTTGTGGTTCACTACTTGTTTGTCGCACTAAAAATTTGTCTAGTGACACTTGTTTTTCTCTTCGTTTTAACATTTGTCTGTAATGATGCATCACAATGTCATTGAAAAGGTTAAGGCAACGGCCTAGTACAGCTTGCTCTGGGCGAGTCGTTTCAACAAAAGCTTGCATTTCTTCCCACAGTCTACACCACTTCCTAATTGTTGAGGAAGGGATATTCTGTACTGCCTCCTCCTTCCCTGAAGAAATTTACTCAGCTGCCTTTATGGTCATCCTCACATGTATTTTTATATATTGAACCTTACCACTGACTTTCTTGGGACCCATGGCATGGTATACATATAATAATCAGTTTTATGTTCAAAAAGCAAAAAAAAAAAAAAAAAAAAAAAAAAAAAAAAAAAAAAAAAAAAAAAAAAAAAAAAAAAAAAAAAAGCGTGATCGTCACTAAGTGGGCGGCTCTAGTAAACTGAGGCAGGTCAGCCCTCGCGACCGGGAACCATGCGCTCGGTCGACCCAGTCGACGACATTATCATAATTCGAGTCGCATTTTCCGATCAAATTTATATCGTAACGCGAATTTATAGTAAGTCGGGCAATCTTAAGTCGAGGTGCCACTGTACAAGGTATAGGGATGGGAAACATCCCAACTTAGCATCGGTTCCTATTGCAAAACTACCACAACTAGCAAAACATTTTGCACCTCTCCAATTAATAGTATAATACATAAACTAGAATGTAAATATAATGCACTAGCATGTTGGATAGCTCTAATCGCATATGGATGTTGGAATAAATGCAAACTCAAAGATTTTGCAGTTTGTCCAAGGTCCACAAACTCATAATTATTGCAGGGAATTGAATACACACACCCTGCTGCAGACAGGGGTGAGTTGTTGATTAAATTGGATTTAAGCGTATTATTATTTTTGAATGAGCACCACATTGATACTAACCCTTTAACTGCGCAACGCTCTTGCAGGCTCATATCTGGAGGTGTGCTACGTGCCTCCGGGTATTTGTATTTTTCACGTTCCATTCAAAACTCCCGCGGCTACATGGGGTTCACATCAGTTTCCTCAGGGCTCATGTAAACAGATGCTATCTTTAAAAAAATCGTGGTCCACATTCGCGGGTGTGAGAGCCCCGGTAGTGAGTGAGCAACCAAGGCAGGCACACACAGTATGAGCTCAAAGCACTGCTGTTCAGCTTGTGACCACAGCATCGCCTAATAATGTCAAAATATATATATAACTTATATTATTTAGCCATGATAGTATTACAGATACAATACTAGTGGACCAAACTCTCACAAGTCGAGCCTGGCCTTGGGCCAGGCTTGAGGAGTAGAAGAATTCCCAGAACCCCATCAAACAGGTATCAAACAGAAGAGCCTGAGTGTGATAATGACTGTGTACAATGTTCAAATATTAGTGATTCAATGCTGTTCACGATGTTCACAGCACTAGCCACAGCACCACAGCATTATTTCGTTCATCTAGGAATCATCAAACGACTTTTTAGGTTCCTTTATAAAATAAACTTGTGGTCAATTATGTATTTACAGGATTTTGTGACCAGTATTGTAATAACAGCAGGATTGTGGTGATAATAAGCACTGTGCATAGTATTGTGGGAGGAGTAATTGTGGTGAGGGAGAGAATTAAGGTAGCCTCGCTGTGTGGCAGCCACTCTTTGTTTTGCTCATCATACTAGCTTAGTGGTTCACTATGGTGAACACATTTGTACATGGGTATATACCATGTGTGTGTATACAGTGTAGTAACAGCAACAGGAGTATGTTGGGAGGAGCTATTTTGGTGAGGGAGGTGACGTAATCGTAGCGTCGTCTACTGGCTGCTGTGTGATTTCTCATGCAGTGTATGGTGGCCATTGTAAAGTTTGGACAATACCGGCTTACTTGCATAGTTCTGGTGAATAAAACATGTAGATAGGTATACATAACATGTGTAAATAGTGTAATACAAGCAATAACATTATGGTGGGAGGAGCAATGTTGGTGAGTAAGATGTTGGAGGAGTGAGGGAGAGACTGGATATTGGAGGAGTGAGGGTGTGGCAGCTGACACTCGTGGAGTTCTGAGTGTGTTCATGGTGAATGTATATAGAGTGTGTGATAGTGTATAGTGTGTAAATGGACTGTATATACATAAATTAGCATAATACAATGGAAATATGTGCCGGAAATGCGTACACATGTGTCATGCATGTAACACGGTGTCTTCGGACAGTACGCATGTTCTATTGCCATAATATAGTATACGTGTTCGTTATACATAGGATTGACACGTAAAAGCATATAAAATGTATTTGGAACTGTGCGCAGAAACTGAACAAAAATATATTCGCGGCAACTCGTGCATCCTGCCCTAAGCGCCCTACCGGCCCCGGGGGCGTATGCCACGGGTGACCAGGGAATGATGACGTCATGCCCGATCTTACAGACCCCATAGCAGCTAATACACTTACAATTTCGACCTTCTGTTACTATACCCTTACTCAGGGAAGGATTTTTGACACTTTAAAAACAGAAAATAATTTTTTCCAGAGATTTTATTTCCTGTGCACTGGGGAGGTGTCATATTTGGAGGCCGCGCAGTTAAGGGGTTAATGTTCTTAAGAACTGGGGAAAGTTCAGCTAGTCCTAGTACCTCTCCTGATCAGCTGTCTTTGAAACCTATTTAGTTTTTTGTTTTTGGTTATACAGTACTGTAATAGACTTTAGGTAAGTGTGATGACTCGTGATATGAATTTTCTTGGCAAACTAGTGGGGAGGAAAAGAAAACAAAAGGCCTAAATGAGATGAGTAATTACTAAGTGTAATTACAGGATGAGAGCTACCCCTGTGGTGTAATACTAGCATTCTGTTGTATGACACTTTAAACTATAGTACTGTACTGATGGTTTTGGCCTTCACCACTTGTTCTATCTGTCTACAACTCTGTTGATGGACCTTCTAAAAAACAGTTTTCAAATATAGTTTGTATTAAGGAACATGTTGCCATAGGTGACTGGGGATACTTTTCTTTAACATCTTCATACAGTCAAACTGTATCTAGATATGAAATTAGTTACACATGTTATACAGTATGTCTGTTTTATGTACAGACACATTTATGTGATCAGACTATTTACTCATAAACTGTTAAATATATGTAATTTACATTACTGTACTGTCTTAACATACGTGTTGCGTCTGATTTCAATACTGCATGCTTTTGCCATTAATTTTAATTTATTTGCAAATTTTCTTCATGTTTTTTCAGAACTTAACAAAGATTTAGTTGATGCAGCAATTCTGGTGGTCCGAAGTGCTGTGGCCAATCAAATAGACTGGAGACAAATTAGAGAGCTGCTTGCAGAGGCTCAAGCGCGAGGAGATCCTGTAGCTCTACCTATCAAACAGCTCAAACTGGAGAGCAGTACTATGACACTCTTACTCAGGTATGTTAAGTAATATTTCTGTGTGTTATTCAGGCAGTTCCCAACTTACAAATGGAAGGCATTCCTAATAGGTGTTTAGAAGTCATTTATTTGGAACTTGGAACCAAATTTCCTGTTGGAAATTGAGGGTTGTTCGTCGTCCGTGCCATGTGGTGACTGATCCGTCTGCCTGTGACATCTTCGACCCTGAGTCATATGGGATGTGAGCCTGTCGTGTTGCTCTCGTTTCTGGCCCTTAGGTGGAGTCTTCAGGTAAGGACCACTTGCATATTAGGTTTTCCAGGTTGCAGCAGTCTGGATTTGTGTACCTGGGTGGAATTCCTGGAGCTTTCCCGTTGGTGTTATGATCTTAGGGTTAGAGGTGTTGGTTTTCTCCCATGGTTCTGTCCGCACTTCGTCTTCCTTCTTCTTTAGGTATGGTTCACCCTTCCTGTCACCCCCTCCCTGTTTACAACCCCCAAAGTGTCTACAGTTTTTTGGGTTTTGAGTTTAGGATATGACTCGATCAGCTTCTGCGGTTGCCCCTTGGGCGTGGAGGTAGGTGAGCCTTTTCCTTTTGGACTCCACTTCTCTTGTCTCATTGATTCTTTGTTCCTTCGGGGTTGAGTTCGCATTGGTCTCTGCCTGATTGTGGCTGGCTGCTGCATTTGCTCAGGAAACTGAGGGCTAGAGACAGTGGACAGCATGAGCCCCATCCCCTTCCCTACCAAAATGAATGGGTGGGGGGGGGGGGAGGCAAATGAGTGCATGCTTCTTTTGAGAAATTTTAAATCATGTACTGGTATTTACATTGTCCTGCTTGATACCTGCTTGATGGGTTTCTGGGAGTTCTTCTATTCCAAGACAGTCCAAGATGGCTGCCTCTCACTGGAGGTACTAAGAGTCCATTTCGTACACAACCAGCCTCGTACACATTTAGAATTGGTTACGAAAAATCAAAGAGTTTTCTCGGTTGGCGCAGTTTCCTGCCGACCGAGAATACTCGGTTGGCGCAGTTAAGTGGTTAATGTGGCTACCTGAATATCGACGTAGCCGCTATGAACGCGCTAAGAAAAACATTCGTAAGTACCTTCGTGAATCTGGCTCCAGGTACCCAGGTTTACTGCTAGGTAACAGGGGGCATCTGGGTGAAAGAAACATTTTGCCCATTTGTCTCCGCCTCCACCGGGGATCGAACCCGGAACCTCAGGACTACGACTTCGAAGCACTGTCCACTCGGCTGTCAAGCGCTTGACAGCATCCTTAAGGCTTTAACACCCCCATGCGCAAGAAAAAAATTATAAAATTTTTTTTTTTGTCTTCTAAAAATGTTCATTTGTGTTCCCTGAGCACGAGAAAAGAAAATTGTAGGTGACATTTTTTGGCTGCAATAGGCTGAGGAAGTCTGGCAAAATGTAGGCGTTGACAGAGCAGTCGTCAGAGGCGGTCACCTCCACCTGAGCTTCCAGGTGAGAGTTGCCACAAAGATATTATTTCCTAATTCTGGGAAATAAAAAAAAAGTGATTTTTCTTAGTTTTTCAGTAATATTATTCAATAGTGTGTAATGTGATATACAGTATTTATAAAATGTGTGAACCATCGCTATACTCAAAATTATGGTGTGCATATTAATGATTCAATTATAATTACCATAACGAACCACTTAGATGGTATGGTGAGCCAAAAAGCAATGAGGCGTGGCCGCCAAACCAGCGAGCCAGCCACTCGCCACCACTTCGTTCCTCAACAACACCTCACTCGCCAACATTCTCCTCCCACCATACTGTTTTTGCTTTTATTCACTATATACAGATGTTATATATAAGTATCTACATGTTTTGTTTTCCACAACTGTATAACTGCTGGTATGGTGAGTTCGGGCAATAAAAGACGTCGCTACATACACAGTCAGCTGGCGGCTGCCTCCTTCACTGGTTCAAGGCCAGATGCACTAAAATTTCTCCCCCAACAATACTGTTTGTGGTGTTATTACACTATATACACACATTATATATAAGTATCTACATGTTTTATTCACCATAACTGTACAACTTAGCTGGTAGGGTACCCAAAGAGCATAGTGGCCACCCTCTACACAGCTAAACAAGTCATGCAGATGACACCACCTCTGTCACCCAAATGGCTCCTCCCAACATAATCCTTTTGCTGCTATTACACTAATACACACATTATATATAAGTATCTACATTTGTGTTCACCATAGAGAACCACTGAAGTGGTATGGTGAATGCAGACAATAACAGTTGGCCACACAGTCAGTAGATGACATTATCTTCCTCCCTCCCTCAGCATCACTCTTTCCACCATACAGCACAGCACTAATTATTACAACAATCCTGCTATTATCAGAATCCTGGTCATTTTTATCACAGTCAGAGGTCTTCTGTAATATAGTATTGTCATTGCTAAATAATAGCAGTTACATATTTATTTTCACTATTTTAGGCGATACTGTGATCACAAGCTTAACAGCTGGGCTGTTAGCTCAAGCTGTGTGAGCCAGCCTTGGTTGCTCACACAGTACTGTGGCTCTCACAGTGGAGATTGTTGCCCACTATTTTCTTTAAACTTGCATTTGTTTACAAGAGCCCCGAGGAAGCCGATGTGAACCCTGTGTAGCCGCGGGCCATTTGAATCATGGCCGGCACCCTGTGTCGTATATGTTTGCCATGCGCATGGTGGGACACGTTACTCCTATTGTATATATATGCCATGAGCAGTTTAGGAGTTAAGCTCTTATTTGCTTGAGAAATGTTATCATCAAATAATTCTCTTTCAGTGATCCATATGATTGTGATGAAGATGACATCTTATTGGACTCGGATGAAGAACGTGAAGAGGGAAATGATTCAACAAAGATGCGTCCCATGACAGTGGATATAGAACTGGAACTCTCTGCAATGGCCAATGCTCGAAAGTTAGTTATGGTATATACAATGTTGAAAGACTTTTCACAGTCTATACACTTTTCTTTCATATTTACTTTTATGTAGTGATATCACATCGGGTTTATGTACTTGCAAAAAATTATTATAATAATATATTTAAATACTTGGTCTTATAATTACTTTATTTACCTAATTATTTATCTAATTAGTGTACTTAACCCTTAAGCTGCTAAGGGGTCCTGAGGAGATTTACACCCCTGTGTGCAAGAAAAAAAAAATTCTAAAAAATTATTTCGTCTTCTAAAAATGTTAATTTGTGTTCCCTGAGTACGGGAAAAATAAAAAATAAATCGTAGGCGACATATTTTGGCCCAAATAGGTCGAGAAAGTCTGGCAAAATGTAGGCGTTGACATAGCGGTCGTCAGAGCTGGTCAGCGTCACCCGAGCTGACAGGTGGGAGTTGCCACAAAGATGATATTACCTAATTATTTCAATGTCTCTGATTTTTTCTTAGTTTTTTTGCAGTACTGTAATATTATTCAGTGTGTATTGTGATATATAATAAAAGGGGTGAATCATCGCTATACTCAAAAGTATGGTGTTCATATTAGTGATTCAATTATTATGTTAATAAAACAATAAACAAATAGTTTTGCTGTTATTACACTCTATACACAAGTTATATACAAGTACCTGCATGTTTTGTTCACCATAACGAACCACTAAGTTGGTATTGTGAGTCGAAAAGCAACGAGGAGTGACCTCCACACACCAGCCAGCCACTCGTTGCCACTCCCTCAACAACGCCTCACTCACACTTTCTCCTCCCACCATCCTGTTTTTTATTTTATTCACTATATACAGATGTTATATATAAGTATCTACATGTTTTGTTCAACACAACTGTACAACTAAGCTGATATAGTTAGTTCAGACACTAAGACCGAAACGCTTTGCGTAATAGTGGCTTTAGGCATTGTATGTACTAGCTCTATCTATAAAGCCAACAAACATTGTAAAATCTCTTTATGTATGTACCTTTACTTAAATAAAAATTATTATTATTATTATTATAAGAGATGTCACTACACACAGTCAGGTGGGGGCTGCCTCCCTTACTCATTCAAGTTCACACGCACTAAAATTTCTCGCCCAACAATACCGTCTGTGGTGTTATTACACTATATATACAGACGTTATATATAAGTATCTATGTGTTTTGTTTACCACAACTCTACAACTAAGCTGATATAGTTAGTTCAGGCACTAAGAGTCGTCGCTACACACAGTCAGCTGGCGGCTGCCTCCCTCACACATTCAAGGTCACACGTACTAAATTTCTTCCCCAACAATACTGTTTGCAGTGTTATTACACTATATACACACATTATATATAAGTACTGTATCTATATGTTGTATGCACCGTAACTGCACACGTAAGCTTGTAGGGTGCCCAAAGAGCATAGTGGCCACCCTCTACACAGCTAGACAAGTCATGCAGACGACGCCACCTCCGTCACCCAAATGGCTCCTCCCGACATAATCCTTTTGCTGTTATTACACTAATACACACATTATATATAAGTATCTACATTTGTGTTCACCATAGAGAACCACTGAGCTGGTATGGTGAATGCAGACAATAACAGGTGGCCACACAGTCAGTAAACAATGCTATCTCCGTCCCTCAGCATTACTCCTCCCACAGCACTAATTATCACAACAATCTTGCTATTATCACAATCCTGGTAATTTTTATCACAGTCAGGAGTCATCTGTAATACTGTCATCTTTAAATAATAGCAGTTATATATTTATTTTGACATTTTTCGGCGATGCTGTGGCCACAAGCTGAACAGCAATGCTGTTCGCTCATGCTGTGTGCGCCTGCCTTGGTTGCTCCAACAGTACTGTTGTTTTCACACCGGAGAATATTTCCCACGATTTTGTTAAAAAATGACGTCTGTTTACAAGAGCCCTGCGGAAGCTAATGTGAACCCCGTATAGCCGCGGGTCATTTGAATTGTGCCTGGCACCCGATGGCGTATATATATGCCATGTGCACCGTGGGACATGTTACTCATGGCGTTTATATATGGCATGCGCAGTTTAAGGGTTAACATGCAGGATGCACTGTTTCTCAAGGTGAGATATTAAATTTCCAAAACATACTTTGCCAGGTATTTTGATCAGAAACGTCAAGCAGCAAAGAAGGAACAGAGAACAATTGATGCCTCAGCCAAGGTGCTTCAATTAGCTACCAAGAAAACCAATCAAACACTCAAGGAGGTGGCAGCCATCTCTAACATCAATAAGGCGAGAAAAGTCCTTTGGTTTGAAAAATTTCTATGGTTCATTTCTTCTGAAAATTATTTAGGTGAGGTATATTAATGCATTTTTATTGTTATGGTGATGAAAGATGTGTAGTGTGAGTTCTGTACATAGAGATAAGAGATAAGATCAGTCATAGAGAAACATGCTGGGTTTAAAGAGACCAAAGCCTTAAAACTACCAAGTGAACTCCCATGAACATTGTAAACAAACAATCATATCTCAAAACTAGAGTGAGCTTGTTAGCACTCCTTCCCCTCCCCAGTCAGTTGGGGAGGGGAAAAGATCAAAGAAATGTAGAGATCAGGCACCCTGAAGCTCTAGATCTTCCCTGGTCCTCGAAGCCAATTCTGAAGTAAATGTCAAAAGACACTGACAAACCTGGAAGGGAGGGAGGGAGGGAGGAAATTGGGGAGCTACCGGGGTTCAATGAGAAAAAGAGGCATTTCATTACATTCATCGCTGGTTTTCTGGGAGGCCCCATGTGGCTCCCTGTAGCTAACTACCCACATAGAAGGAAAACAAATGGGGCATTTACCAGATAAGTGGGAGCACCGCAGGAGTTAGGATGAAGAAAATCACCCAGACGAGAGAAATGACCCAAAGCTGGGGCCCCAGAGACATTAATAAGATATGTTAAAGGAGACCATGGAGTGATAGCCCACAAAATTAGGTTATGAGGAATATCAGGAAAAGTAGGACGATGGATATTCAATTTTCTATCAAACAGAATGCAAAATATAAATTAATCAAATAAAATAGAGTCCAAGCACAGTAAAAAGCTCCTTTCCTCAGGGTACAGTCCTTGCACCAATGTTTTTTTTATTCAAGATTTTCTATAGAGAAAAATGCAAGTCACAGCTTTGTTATTTTCTGGGGGGTGCCCTGTAGGCTCCCTGGATATATATTAGATTTCTGGCATCTGTCAATGTGCTTGGAGTTCTAGGCCTACCGGGACCATGAGCCAGAACTTGACTCTCTGAGAGGCACGAGAAGCAATGGCTTATAGAAACCCCCGTGTAGTTGGAAGCATTCTATGTCTGCCATCGACCGGGTCAGGCACCCAGAAAGGTAAGTGCTGCAAAACAAACCTATATACTTGTGAAGACATTGCTACAAAGAGCAGAACGAGTGGACAGAACTCCCCAAATGAAAACAAGCAAACTAATGTGACATCACCACGTTGACACGCTGCTGTCTGCGCAACCCCTTTCCTTCCTGGGAGGGGGAAGTGGGAGCCCCAGACCTTCACGCTGGCTACCCACCCTTCAGTTCTTGGTTGATGTGATACTGGCAAGGTCGTGTGGCTCTGGCTTCAGCAATTGTTTCAGTTTTGTGCCTTGTGGTGTGGTGCTGTTTCTACAGTTGGTGTGCAAGCCAGGAGAAAATTCTTCAATACTTGGGCTGCATGCACCTAGGGTTTCCTTCCCTAGGTGCCCTGTAAGTACTGCCCTTGGGGCTTGGGGCCTCCTTCCACAAGTCGCCTTGGGATCTCCCTCCGTTGTGTCTTTTGCTGCTCTGTGATTGACCGCTCGAAACCCCGTCAACTGGGGTTTCTGTGTTCCTCCCTTGTTTGTCTCTGGGTAGAGGGTAGTTTTTGTCACTGGTAGGGGCGCAGGGTACTGTGCAGCTAGTTATCACCTCACATGGCCGCCGGCTCTGTTCCGCCTGGGTATTTTGTCCTCATGCGGGAGTTTTCTTTTTCTATCTGGGGGGAGCCCTTTCGGCTCTCCAGAGCTTACTAGGCTGATATGCTAATGTCAGACTTTGGCATCAGTCATGTGTATGGAGTTCTGTGGGCCTACCGGGGACCACGAGCCAGAACCTGGCTCCTTCAGAGAGGCATGGGGAGCAATGGCCTATAGAAATCCCCGTGTGGTTGTAAGCATTCTATATCTGCCATTGACCGGATCAGGCACCCAGAAAGGTAAGCATCCCAAAACCAACCCCTATTTTGGCGAAAATATTGCTACCAAAAGCCGAACAAGTGGATAAAACTTCCCTAAAAGAAACGAGCATGACGTCACACGTCGCCGCACCGCTGTCTGCGCAGCTCCCCCCTCCCCAGGAGGGGGAAGGGGGAGCCCCAGACCCCCATGCCGGGTATCCACCCATCAGTTCTCAGGCTGATGTTAGAGGCGGAGGTCGTGTGCTTGGCTCCACCGTTTCTAGCACTGTGCTTTGAGTGTGGTGGCTGTCTTCCAGGGGTGCGAGAGCCAGGAGTTATTCTACAGTACTCGGGCTGCATGCGCCTAGGGTTCTCGTCCCTAGGTGCCCTTGGAGCTTGGGGTTCCCTTCCACAAGTTCCTCAGGGGTCTGCCTCTGCTAGGCCGTATTACTGCTCAGGTTTCAGCTGCCCTTTGGGTGCCTTGGGGTTTTTGTCCTCTTGGTTTACCTTAGGGTAGAGGGTAGTCTTGTTTGTCTCTGGGTAGAGGGTAGTTTTTGTCACTGGTAGGGGCGCAGGGTACTGTGCAGCTAGTTATCACCTCACATGGCCGCCGGCTCTGTTCCGCCTGGGTATTTTGTCCTCATGCGGGAGTTTTCTTTTTCTTTCTGGGAGCCGGTCGGCCGAGTGGACAGCACGCTGGACTTGTAATCCTGTAGTCCCGGGTTCGATCCCGGGCGCCGGCGAGAAACAATGGGCAGAGTTTCTTTCACCCTATGCCCCTGTTACCTAGCAGTAAAATAGGTACCTGGGTGTTAGTCAGCTGTCACGGGCTGCTTCCTGGGGGTGGAGGCCTGGTCGAGGACCGGGCTGCGGGGACACTAAAGCCCCGAAATCATCTCAAGATAACCTCAAGATAGGGTAAGAGGCAGCTTGCACTGGTGGTGCACAGGGTACCTGCTTGATACCTGCTTGATACCTGCTTGATACCTGCTTGATGGGGTTCTGGGAGTCCTTCTTCTCCCCAAGCCCGGCCTGAGGCCAGGCTTGACTTGTGTGAGTTTTGTCCACCAGGCTGTTGCTTGGAGCGGCCGACAGGCCCACATACCCATCACAGCCCGGTTGGTCCGGCACTCCTTGAAGACAACAATCTAATTTTTTCTTGAAGATGTCCACTTTTGTTCCGGCAATTTTTCTGGTGCTCGCTGGTAGGACATTGAACAACCGTGGACCTCTGATGTTTACACAGTGTTCTCTGATTGAGCCTATGGCACCTTTGCTCTTCGTTGGTTCTATTCTGCATTTTCTTTCATATCGTTCACTCCAGCACGTTGTTATTTTACTCTGCAGATTTGGGACCTGTCCCTCCAGTATTTTCAATGTGTATATTATTTGGTATCTCTCTCGTCTCCTTTCTAGTGAGTACATTTGGAGAGCTTTGAGACGATCCCAATAACTTAGGTGCTTTATCTCGTCTATGCGTGCCGTATATGTTCTCTGTATTCCCTCTATTTCAGCAATCTTTCCTGCTCTGAAGGGGGAGGTGAGTACTGAGCAGTACTCAAGACGGGACAACACAAGTGATTTGAAGAGTACAACCATTGTGATGGGATCTCTGGACTTGAAGGTTCTCGTAATCCATCCTATCATTTTTCTGGCTGACGCAATACTTGTTTGGTTATGCTCCCTAAACGTTAGATCGTCAGACATCATTATTCCCAAATCCTTGACATGCTGTTTTCCTACTATGGGCAGATTCGATTGTGTTTTGTACCCTGTATTATGTTTCAGATTCTCATTTTTGCCATATCTGAGTACCTGGAATTTATCACCGTTAAACATCATGTTATTTTCTGCTGCCCAATCAAAACTTTGTTAATGTCTGTCTGTAGTTTTTCAATGTCTTCAGCAGAGGTAATTTTCATGCTGATTTTTGTATCATCTGCAAAGGATGACATGAAGCTGTGACTTGTATTTTTGTCTATATCAGATATGAGAATAAGGAACAGCAGTGGTGCAAGGACTGTACCTTGAGGTACAGAGCTTTTAACTCCGCTCGGCTCGATTTTACTTGATCAACTGTTACTGTGTGTTCTGTTCGACCAGATCGGTACTGTGCAGCTTGTTTTCACCATTTACAGCGGCTGGCTCTGTTCCTAAGGGTATGTTGTTCTCTTGCGGGGTTTTGTTTTTCTTTTTGTTTTTGCCTTGTAGGGGGGGGGTCTGCCTTGCTTCCCCCTCTTTTTGGTGCCTGACCTGTGCACAGTTCTCTTCTGGTGGTGCCCCCTGCCAGGTCCCCATGAGTGTACACGTTCCTGGGGTTCAGCTTTAGACAGTTGTTTGGTAGTTTTGGGCGCCGGTTAGCAGTACCCTGCCTGGCATTATCTGGGCATGAGTTTCCATTAAGCGCCTCAGGACCCTGGGAATCCCCTGGGGGCGTGTGGGTCTGATGGATGTGTCCCCGGAGTTCCCCCCCCCCCTTCGCTTCGTGCGAGTTCGATGGTTGCTTGGTCCCTTTGACTCAGGATTACCCTCACGGGTTTTGCCTCCGTCAAGCTGCCTGTTGGGTCGGTGACACCTTCGGCCTGGCGTCATACGAGTTCTGTTACTTGCTTGTGACTCGGTTTACCCACTCTCAAGAAGGTGTTCCACGGGTACAGGCGGCGCAGGCGTTGCATGCTTGGTTTAGGTTGGTTGCTTACCTGGATGCCCCAAGGCTGCCCGGTTTTGCTTATAGGGATCCGGACTTGGGGGTGTGGGTCGCAACGACCTTGGTTCAGTCTGCACGCCCTCGTCCTTCCCCTGCTGTGGTTCATCCTGATTTTCTTCCCCTGCTTCCGGTCTCGAAGTGTCTGAGGGTTTCTGAGTCGGGGCAGGGTTTAGATGGTCTCGAGTCTTGGGCGGTCTCGGGGGATGCCCCTTCCGGTGTGGCAACGGAGGCGTTCGAGTCCACTCTCCCTGCCAAAGCCTCTGGGTCTGACCACTGGGACTCCTTCTGTTTGGCTTTCTCGGCTGCGCCGACTTTTTCTTTAGGGGCCGATGCTCTGGGGGATGACTCGGCCCCGGGTCCCAAGGAGGGGGATTTTGGGGCTGGGGAGGGTCTGACTTGGGGCCCTTGGGCCCCGCTGGACCCCACCTAGGTTTTTCTACCCTCGAAGTGGGCCTTATTGTTACAAGGAGTTGGGTTCTCTTTCCCCCCTCTGCATACGAGTTGGATTGGGCATCTGCCCCTCCCCAGGTTTGGTTCCATGTTCCCTCGGATGCGTCACTTCCGTCAATCTGGAGGTTTTTGGCTTCCAGCATCCAACCTTCTGTAGTGTGGGCAACCCTGGCGTCTTACCTCCTGCGTGACCCAGATTACGCCTCGGTGATTACCCCTAGTCTTTCAGGTTTGGGAATTCGTTCTTTTTCTGTGGGGAGCCCCTACAGCTCCCTGGAGCTTATCAGGCTAATGTATGTTATATTAGACCGGGACATTAGCTAAGGAGTTCAGACCTACCAGGGACCAGCACCAGAACCTGGCCCCTTCAGAGAGGTTTCAGGGAGCAATGGCCCTGGAAAACACCCCTTGTGGTTGGGGTTTTCCTTATGTGCCATCGACCGGGTTAGGCACCCAGAAAGGTAGGCATAACAAAACAAACCCCACATGGTAAAAAACTAAAACAGAAAACCGAACAGAGGTAGAAACTCCCTACAATCCCATGGAAACAAGCAAACATCACATTCTACTGCCGCGCCGATCGTCCGCGCAGCTCTCGCCGCGCCGGCTGCCTAGCATCAGTTCGTAAGCTAATGTCAACCACGACAGGCGCTTTTCTGACCTCAGTTTCCTAGGCGGTGTTTGTCTTTCGTGGCGTTCACTGCCGTGTATTGTGTTGTGCAGTGGCCAGGTTTTCCTCATCAGTACCGGGGCTGCATGAACTTAAGGGCTTCCTTCTCTAAGCGCCCTGTGAGTACTGTCCCTGCGTGACAGGGTTTTTATCCCTGGGGCGTTCGGGAACCATGCCCGTAGAGGTTCTTACTGCTCGGCATTTGCCTCGCCCTTAGGGCCCTTGTTTGGCCTTGGGTAGGGATTGGTGTTGTGCTGGTTAGGACATCAAGGTGTTGCGCGACATGCCACCTAAGCGGCGACCGGTTCCTGTTGCCTCTGGGGACGGTGGACTTTTGCGGGGTTTTTCTTTTTTTATTTTCATTTGCCTGGTGGGGGTTCTGCCTAGTGTGGCTATAGTTCCACTGGTAGTGTTTGGTGGCCCTCTGCTAGGCCCCCGTGATTGTACACGTTGCAGGGGTTTTCAGTGTTGTCCTCTAACCCTTGTTAGTTTTGGGTTTTAACCAGTTAGCAACACCTTGCCCGGGCTTCCCGTAGTTGTTACCCTACGGGCTCTGGAAAACCCTATCGGGGCTCGGTGGACCATTGAATGTGTCTTCCGGGTTCCAACCCGTCTTGTGTGGGTTTGTTGGTTGCTGTGCCCTTGTCTCCGGGTGACAGTCGCCACTTTTACCTCCGTCACGTTGTCTGTTGGGTTACTGACACCTTGACCCCGGAGTCTTGCGAGAGGTATTCTCTGCTTGTTCTCCAGTCCTCTCCTGATGTTATTACTGTTCAGAGTACAGGTGGCATCCGTGTTGCAAGCTAGGTTAGGTTGCTGCAATGCACTAGGTTGGTTTCCCATTTGGATGCCCCAGGGCTGCCCCATTGTAGTTAGGTGCTGTTCACCCCTTTTCCTCTCTGTTCCCAGCTCCAGACCGTCTGTGGGTTTTGGGGTCGTTGGCATCGGCCTCCTGGATCCTTCCCTATTTTCCTTATCTGCGGTGAGGTAGCTCCCCCCAGAAAACCAGAGTTGAATGTAATGAAATGCCATTTTCTGGGCGAGTCCCGGAGGCTCCCCAGCATCCCTCCCTCCTTCCGGTTGGCAGTGTTTTTCGCGTATTTTGACATCCAGCCTAAGAACTGCCAGTTGGATCGCTCATGCGGATGGTCTGGGGCTCCCCCCTTCCCCCTCCCGGGGAGGGGGGTTGCACAGATTGCGGCACAGCGACGTGATGACATCATGCTAGTTTGATAATTTTGTTTGGGGAGTTCTGTCTACTTGTTCGGTTTTCGGTAGCAATATTTTCACCAGAATAGGGGTTTGTTTTGGGGCGCCTATCTTTCTGGATGCCTATCCTGGTCGATGGCAGACATAGAATGCTCCCAACCACAAGGGTTTCTATAGGCTATTGCTCCTCTTGCCTCTCTGAGGGGGCCAGGTTCTGGCTCGTGGTCCCTGGTAGGCAAGAACTCCAAGCACTTTGACTGATGCCAGAAAGTTAAACATATCCATTCAGCCTGGATAGCTCTAGGGAGCCTCTGGGACTCGCCCAGAAAATGACATTTCATTACATTTAACGCTGTTTTTTTAGCTCAATTTAGCTGGAAGATTTAAAGCACTCATTAGTACCTGTATGAAACAACAGGAACATTTCTGAAGTTCCCATGATCTGGAAAGTTTCTCTGTTTGACTTTTCCTTGCTCCCTTTCATGATTTTCTTCACAACATAATTCAGAAATAGACTTGTCTAGACAGAAGGGGAAAATATCTGTAATGTTGTTATTTTCCCTGCATTTCTATTTTTGTTTATAAAGGTTAAGTACCATCTGTACAGTGTTTGAAACCCATGCCCACTTTATGCCTTTTTTCACATTTTGAGATCTTTTGAATTCAATATTTATATTTTGTTTATAACTTAGCAGGCATTTATATTTTAATTGATACTATATTGTACTTAGTTTTCTTTGCTTATATTTCAGTAATTGCAGGAAGAGATAGCCAAATGAATGAAATGATTGTGAAACGTCATTTGCATCATCGTGATATTTATGTTCATGCAGACATGCATGGCGCGCCCAGCGTAATCATCAAGAACCCTACTGGCAAAGAGCCACCACCCAAGACCCTCCATGAGACTGGGATTATGGCTTTGTGTTACAGGTAAGAATTATGCAGTACAGGCATACCTCAGTTTAAGAGTTTAATTGGTTCCTGGAGACGCCTCGTATTTCGAAAACTCGCATTCCGAAGCTAATTTCCCCATAAGAAATAAAGGGAAATGAATTAATCTGTTCCTGACTACCCCAAAAACCCCACATCAAACTAAATTTTTATACCTAATTCATCTAAATAAACCTACAAAACTATGTTCAAGTTATTACTTACCTTGCTGTTGATTGCTGTAGGCGTATGGAAGATGGTGAGGAGGTGGGAGGAAGAGAGGAGTTACTGTTTGGAAGGGGAGTCCCCTTCCATTATCACATCAGGCAGTGAGGACTTCACTGGTATGCACACTCTGGCACATTTTGCCTGCATACCACTAGGACTTGCTTGTTTTACTAAGAATTTATCTAATAACACTTGTTTTTCCCTACATTTTAACACTTGTCTGTAGTAATACATCACATTATCATTTAAAAGGTCAATGCAACGGCCTGCTACAGCTTTATCTGGGTGAGTTTTTTCAACAAAACTTTGCAGTTCTTCCCATACTTCACACATTTTCTTAATCAAGAAGGGACATCCTCTACTGCCTCTACTCACAGCTATTTTCTTAGGTTGAACCTTACCAATGGCTTTCTTGAGACCCATGGCAAGATATATAATGACAACTTTTATGCTCAAATGGCCAAAAAAACGATAAAAAACTGTAAATCCTTGTGAAGAATTCAGGTGGGATAGTCACTGGACACGAGACACTGGTAAACTGAGGCGCGATCGCCATGCCACCACGCGCCAGTCAGCCTGTACACGTATCAACAAACTCGCGTCCCGAGGTAACCCTCGCCTTCCGAGACATATTTTTGGAGTAAATCCTGCTCGTCTTCCGAAAAACTCGCATACAGGGACACTCGCATTCCGAGGTACCACTGTATGTATATTAGTGTGCCTAAGGCAGAGAAAATTTGAACATTTTTTATGCCTATTGATATTTCCTTTTTTCTGTGAGGGGGCCCCCTTGGTAGCTTCTACCTGGGAACACATCAATTCCTCACCAAGTTTTTTTTTATTTATGAGCACTTACCAGATAACAATATCAGAATTTGCCCCCTTAAAAGAGAGAAGTTAGTGGTCGTTCTGGCCTACCTTGACGAATGATTGGTGTGGGCTCCCAGCCAGTCTGTGTGTCTGCTAGCCAGGAATCTGGTTCTTTCCCAGCTCAATGGGTTTGGGTTCCTAGTGAATTGGCAGAAGTCTCAGTTTGTTCCATCCCAGGTTCAGACTTGGCTTGGCCTCGTTTGGGACATTGGTCGGCATTGCTTTCCCTACCTCCAGTGACCTTGATTCAGCTGTGGCACCATTGTTTGTTGTAAGGTTATGGGTTTTATAGTTGTGTAATAGGTACAAGTTTTAAAGTCGTGTTGGGACATGAGTTTTGAAACCTGTCCTTACTATATGTGTGTGTATAATATGGAATCTATGCAAATAGCAAGTCCTTGGAGGCACTGTGATATGATACAATAGTATAGTGACATGAACATTCCACTCAAAAGACATACCATGGGGGCCTCGTAGCCAGGTGGATAGCGCGCAGGTCTCGTAATTCTGTGGCGCAGGTTCGATTCCCGCACGAGGCAGAAACAAATGGGCAAAGTTTGTTTCACCCTGAATGCCCCTGTTACCTAGCAGTAAATAGGTACCTGGGAGTTAGTCAGCTGTCACAGGCTGCTTCCTGGGGTGTGTGTGTGTGTGTGGTGTGTGAAAAAAAAAATAGTAGTTAGTAAACAGTTGATTGACAGTCGAGAGGCGGGCTGAAAGAGCAAAGCTCAACCCCCGCAAACACAACTAGGTGAATACATACCTTGACAGGAAACTCATTCTCACTGTTAGGGGCATACAGAACAAGATTTTAAATAATAGTTTATATATTAATGATGGGTTTTATTTTCATAGCCAATAATTAGTAAAAATTATTAAGTTTACAAAAATATCTCTCTCGAATGTGACTTACTAATACCACTGATTGAAATCTTTTAAACTGAATATTGACCTAAAAAAACTGGGACTTGCTCAACAAGTAGGTGTACAGTACTATGTAATTTTTTTTTTTTTGAGAAATTTTTTTTTTAATTCACAATTTCAATACTCAGACTTCCATACATTTGAAGAGTATTCTTGACTAGATCTAGTCCACTGTCATATCAACATTACCAAGTGAAAATGCCAACGGTAGGTGAACAAACACTAACAGGAAACTTGACAGGGAATGATACTAGGCACAAACTTTACACAAGGCTCTACCCTGGAAACACAAACCGAAACTGTCTCTATTTTCCGCTTGTTACAACTTGTAATAACCTTGTTACATCTTGGCTTAACGTGTTTATGACGTATTAGAACGTTGTTACAACTTGCTATATTGGTTGTTATAACTGGTTAGGTGGTGTTAAATCTTGTTCGAACGTTGTACCAACGTCGTAGTTTCGGTGTGTGTTTGGGGGTAAGCTCTAAGCCGGCTCTAAGGGAGCCGGTCGGCCGAGCGGACAGCACGCTGGACTTGTGATCCTGTGGTCCTGGGTGCCGGCGAGAAACAATGGGCAGAGTTTCTTTCACTCTATGCCCCTGTTACCTAGCAGTAAAATAGGTACCTGGGTGTTAGTCAGCTGTCACGGGCTGCTTCCTTGGGGTGGCTGCTTCCTGGGGGTGGCTGCTTCCTGGGGGTGGCTGCTTCCTGGGGGTGGAGGCCTGGTCGAGGACCGGGCCGCGGGGACACTAAAGCCCCGAAATCATCTCAAGATAACCTCAAGATCTCAAGATAAGGCAAAAATCATGCACAATTGCCAGTTGCCACTGGGACATTTAACATAATTCTTAGTCATATACTATAATATAATAGCATTTCAATATAACAAGTAGTCACTGCACTTGGTTACGTGCAGATGGCCATACCAAATCAGGGTTAACAAGTAAATGATAGTCGGCTCATATTGACCCAGCATGCCAAGTATTCCAATGTTTTTCTTGTTTTGAGTTATTTCTTGTTTCTTAGTGAATTTAGAACTGGTTTTCTACATTTAACACTTATATTTTCTCATGTTTTCCAGTCTTAGAATGTACTTGGAATTGTTAATTTATATATAGAATAGTACTCATTTATGTACTTTTAGAAGGGAACAATACTCCTGTGGTAAATACAGGTAGTTCTCTTGCTACGAATGAGTTACGTTTTGAGAATGTGTTCATAAAGCATTTGTTTATAACACGAAGTTGAATTTTACATAAGTGCAATGCTGTAAATGGGAGATGTGTTCCTAAACCTCCAAAAATCCTCACAAAATCAATATTTTTGGCACATATTATATAAAAAACACAGAAACACCTAAAGGAAACCCAGAAAACTAATAAGTATAGGGACCTAGAATATTGTTTCAGGTTCTTCCCAATAGACTCAATAGACCACAGACTCAGACACATATCAACACATATCTCTCAGGCAGCTATCCAAACTATCTTCTCCTCTCACCAGTCAGTCCGACAGATGTTGTGTCCATCATACACTCACTAAAAACCAAAGCTGGGAACATCAGTGAAATACCATCCATTATATACAAGAGCGCCTCCCACGCCCTTGCCCCACCTATAGCTCTGCTGTTCAACAAATCCCTCGAGTGTCATACCTTCCCTGATATCCTTAAAAAAGCAAGAGTAACACCAGTTCATAAAGGAGGTAATCCGGCAGACATAAACAATTATAGACCAATATCAAACCTACCCATACTATCAAAAATATTTGAAAAAATTATCTACAAACAGCTTTACTCCTACCTCGTAAAATTTGACATTCTTAGCCCCTGTCAGTTTGGCTTCCGCTCCCAAAAGAGTACCAACGATGCAATTATTAGTCTCCTTGATATAATTTACTCAGCCCTTGACAAAAATGAGTTTCCGATTGGACTCTTCATTGACCTGAGAAAGGCCTTTGATACTGTTAATCACAATTACCTGTTACGTAAATTCCATCATTATGGAATTCGAGGCCATACACTGGACTATATCCAATCCTATCTTAGTGATAGACACCAATGTGTAGCCATCAATAATATAACCTCTCCCACTCTACCAATAACCGTTGGAGTGCCACAGGGCAGCATTTTGGGACCTCTCTTATTTCTTACTTACATCAATGATCTGCCTAACATCTCTACTGATGATACTACCCTCATCTACTCTAACCCCAACCCACATACACTAAATAATGTTGTTAATAATGAACTAAAAACAGTCCACTTATGGATGTCAACCAACAAACTAACACTTAACATAGAAAAGACCTACTACATCTTATTTGGAAGTAAATCTACAAATGCAATTCAGCTTCAGATAGACAATGTAAACATTAGCAATAAAAATGATGGAAAGTTTCTTGGCCTATTCCTAGACAAGAGACTCAACTTCAGTACCCACATACAACACATAACTAAGAAAGTCTCTAAAACAGTTGGTATACTCTCCAAAATCAGATATTATGTACCTAACTCTGCTCTCATCTCTCTATATTATGCACTAATCTATCCCTATCTTAATTATGGTATCAGTGCATGGGGTTCAACCACTGCAAACCACCTCAAGTCCATCATTACCCAGCAAAAATCTGCTATCAGAATAATAACAAATTCTGCTTTCAGACAACACTCAGCCCCCTTGTTTAACTCCCTAAACATGCTAAACATAATCTCACTCCACAAATTCTCTTGTGTCAACTACATTTACAAAACCCTGTTCTTAAATGCAAATCCTGCTCTGAAACTCTCCCTGGACAGATGTAATAGGACCCATTATCACCACACCATAAATAAATATCTCTTTGATATCCCCAGAGTCAAACTTAATTTGTGTAAACACTCTATGCAAATAAAGGTACCCAGTCTATGGAACTCACTCTCTATTGAATTGAAAAGCTGTCCAACTTTTGCATCATTCAAAAACAATACTAAAAAGTACCTAATTTCATCTTCATAGTTTTTTACCTTTTACTTTAAAACTGCACTCTATCTATTGCTACCCTATCTCCCAATCTTTATGTACCCAATCTGAACATCTTTATCATTGCAATCATTGGTGTCTTCTTATATGTACTGTCAATCTGCTGTATGGTGTCTATTAATCTTGTTTAAATTACCAATCAAGCTGTCAATGTAATCAATCAGAGCTTTAATATACTTACTAATCTCTCTCATCTCATTTTTTTTTGTTTGTTTTCTTGCAATGTATTTGTTATCATTTTATTAATTCTGATAGAATTTACCTACTTAAAATTATCTGTTAGATTAAGGACCTGCCCGAAACGCTGCGCGCACTAGTGGCTTTACAAGAGTGCAATTACTGTACTATGCTATGTATTCTCACAAACCCAATGTACCTTCTTGTATATAAATAAATAAATAAATAAATAAATAAATAAATAGGCTCTGAGACCCTGGGCACCTGGGGTAAATGTGCACTTACGTTAAGTTCCTGAAGGAGGTGGGTGAGGAACTCATTAGGCAAAGTAGAGACTCTAGGGCAGCTATTTTCCTGTTCCAGTGCCACGGTGTTGCAATCCGGAGGGGGAAATGGTTGCTGTATCTTGGGCAAACACCCCACCTCCAAAGAGCTGGATGAGGTCTTCGAGCAATGATTGTTGTGTGTGTGTTTTCTGTCAGCTGTAACACAATGTAGCAAAAATGCAGCCTTGATTGATGGAGTTATCCTGCTTGTCAAAGTTAGCTGTTTTTAAAGAGTGAAGTGGTCTAATTACATGAATAAATAAATAAATACAAATGTCTGTGTGTACTTTATTGGAGGTCAGCCATTTTGTAACTTGTCTCTGGAGTAAACACCTCCCCATTCTCCTTCTATCACCAGCCCACAACCTCCATCCCACCAACAGGGTAAACATGATCTGTTTTTGTACAAATCATGTGATTTTGTGGGTCACTGAGGTCTTGTGAGAGCTGCCACTCTTAACAGTTGATATCTGATAGAAGATAGATGATATACGCATCTACCCAGAACATCACTCCCATAAAGACTGCCAATACTCCTCATATTGGGTTTCTACTGTGGTTTTTACAGGCACTGTGGTTTCTATTGAAGCCAACAGTGGTTTCTTTTGACTTCCTGACTTTCTCGTTGATTTCCTGGTGGTGACATAAATAAATAAATGCCACCACTTCCTGCACCTCTGTAAGGGGGACCAGGTTCTGGTGCTGGCCCGGAGCTTCATGCTCTATTCCCGAAGAGGGCCAAGTTCCTTTGGTCTTAATGGGCGGTTTCTTCTTTTCTGGCAAAGACATAGATTAAAACCTGGAAACTAAGGCTGGAGCGAAGTGATGACTTTGTGTTGAACAGTGTCATGCTACATCAGTACTAGTCAGCAGTGTTAACTTAAGTTACACTGATAGGTATATAAATTTTTATAAATGTCTTCTGTATTTATGAATAACTTAATATGCCTGTTACAGTACACAGTGGAGCCTCGAATGATGAGCGCCTCAATCTACGAACATTTTAAATAACGAGCTGGCCACTCAGCGAAAATCTGTCTCAATTGACGAGCTTTCGCTTGATTAATGAGAAAACCACATGGTTTTCCTCCAACGATGCAAATAAATGGGGGGTTTCGGGGGCTTTCGATGCAAACTTTATTTGCATCGAGTTTGTGGCGGCCGCCTCCCGGGTCAGCCCTGTCTTGTCCTTCTCTTCGGGTATGAAGCTCCAGGGATCCGTAGGGGCTCCCGACAGAAAACCAGCGTTGAATGTAATGAAACGCCATTTTCTGGCTGAGCCCCGAAGGCTCCCTGGCAACCCTCTCTTCCACCGGTCGGCCTTTTTTTCGCGTTGGTTGAAGCTTAGCTTCCAAACTGATACTAGGCAGCCGGCGCGGTTAGGTCCGGGGCTCCCCCTTCCCCCTCTCGGGGCAGGGAGGGCCGCGCGGACGAACAGCGCGGCAGTAAAGTGTGATGTTTGCTTGTTTCCTTGGGATTGTAGGGAGTTTCTACCTCTCTGTTCATTTTTTGTTTTAGTTTTTTACCATGTGGGGTTTGTTTTGTTATGCCTACCTTTCTGGGTGCCTAACCCTAGTCGATGGCAGATAAGGAAAACCCCAACCACAAGGGGATTTTCCAGGGCCATTGCTACCTGAAACCTCTCTGAAGGGGCCAGGTTCTGGCGCTGGTCTCTGGTAGGTCTGAACTCCTTAACTAATGTCCCGGGCTAATATAACATGCATTAGCCTGATAAGCTCCAGTAAGGCTCCGGGGCTCACCCAGAAAATGGCGTTTCATTACATTCAACGCTGGTTTTTTAATTATTTTCAATTTTCTTTTTATTTTTCATTTTTCTATAGAAAATGGAGCAGCCTACCTGACATACACTGAACGAACCTTTTTCTTTAAAAAAAATAAAAAGTAAAAAAATAATTGTACAAATTTGAAAAAAGAAAAATGTCATAAAGGTTTGTTCCATACAGGTCAGGTGGGCTGCTCCATTATTTAAAGAATTGAATATCATATTGATGTTTTTCGGTGGTAGAACGGATTAATTTTATTTCCATTATTTTAAATAAGGAAATTTGTTTTGAAAGAGGTGCGGTTTCACATGACGAGCTTGGTGCCAGAACAGATTAAATTCATAAATCGAGGTTCCACTGTACTTGTCTTGTATTTATAACTCTTTAAATTATGCACCAGGTTAGATATCATTTAGTGATTTATTTTCTTTACAGTCGTGCCTGGGATGAAAAGGTTGTAACATCAGCATGGTGGGTATGGGGTGACCAGGTGAGCAAGACCGCACCATCAGGAGAGTACCTCACTACAGGCGCCTTTATGGTTCGGGGTAAAAAGAACTTCCTTCCACCTTCACACCTTGTCTATGGTTTTGGGTTCCTCTTCAGACTAGAGGAAGAGTCCATATCTAGGTAAGAATTATTTTTCTGGGGGTAGCCCCGTTGGTTCCCCGGAGCTATCCAAGCTGAATGGATATGTAAATCTTTATGGCATCAGTCAATGCATGGAGTTCTTGCCTACCGGGGACCACGAGCCAGAACCTGCCCCTCTCTAGAGAGGCACGAGGAACAATGGCCTATAGAGACCCCCCCTCCCTTTGGTTGGGAGCATTCTATGTCTACCATCGACCGAGACAGGCACCCAGAAAGATAGACGCCCCAAAACAAACCTCTATTCTGGTAAAACTGTTGTGACTGAAGGCCGAACAAGTGGACAGAACTCCCCAAACAAAAATAAGCAAACTACCATGACATCATCATGTCTGCACACCCCCCTTTCCCCCCACTCCCCGTGGAGGGGGAAGAGGGAGCCCCAGACCCACCTGCCGGCGACCCAACCTTCAGTTCTTGGCTGATGCGAGTCTGGTGCGGTTGTGCCTCTGGCTCCAGTTTTTGTTTCAGTTCTGTGCCTTGGTCTGGTTTGGGATGCTTGTACCACTTTCTTGTTTCTTCCTCCGGTGGCTCTGCTCCGTCTGCGTTCCCGCCTTCATCTGTTTTTGAGGGGCTTCTGGATCACGGGGCAGTTGCTTAAGAGTTTGTGTGGGAGCCTGAACTTTGCCATGATGGTCTACCCACCAGGTCGGGTGTGACTTCGTTGGCTGTTCTGGTTCCTTCGGGAATGGCCCTTCCGCCTCTCTCACGATCGTTGGGTTCGGCCTTCGGGGGCTTTGTGTCGGTTGCTGTGTTGCCGGCTTCCTCTTCAGGTTTTTCGGGGTTCAGTGCCTTGGCGCCTACCCGAGCCCTCGCTCGATGTGTAGATGGACGCGTCGTCTCTTGGTTGGGGCTTTGTGACCAGTGCTCACCTGGTCGGTCAGGGGCGGTGGGGTCCGTCCTTCCATCGGGCTCACAGCACTGTACTGGAATTCGCGGTGGTGTGGTTTTCACTTTGGAGGGTTCAGGTCGCCCGTGAATTGACGATCTGGCTCCATTCGGACTGCTCCCCGGTGATTCATTGCCTGAACCAAGGGGGGATTTGATGCAGTCCTTGACTCTTTGGGGCTAGTCGCTTCAGGTGACTTGTCTGCTGAATTCCCGGGGTTTGGCTCTCGTGGCCATTCACATCCGGGTGGTGGGAGGGGTGTCCAACATCCTGGTAGACATCTTGTCCCAGTTCATTTTCCTGTCCACGGAATGGACGGTCAACGCCACCTCATTCAGTTGGCTCTGCCAGACGTTCGGGCGCCTAGAGATGGACCTCTTCTCATCGGCATGGTCGAGGCGTTTTCCGGTATATATGGTGCCCTTCTTCGACAGTGAGGCCATCGGGGTTGATGCCTTGCGGGGAGGACTGGTTGAGGTAAGGGTTCCTGTACCTCTTCCCCCCCCCCCTTTTCCCCGGTTCAGCTGTTGCTCCAGGTCCTGGCTCGCTTGGAGACTTACCAGAGGAGAGTAGTCCTCTTGGCCCCGTGGTGGCCAGCCCCACCTTGGTTTCAGACGCTGCTTGCTCGGTGTCCGAACCAGGAGGTTTTCCAGCGGCTTCTCCTTTTTCAGCAGTCTATCACCATCTGTATGGTGATCAGGTGGCTTCTTTGATGGTGTCCCACCTGCGGGCTTCGTCTCGGCAATAGTATGAAGTTTCCTGGCGGTCCTTCCAGTTCTTTTTGTCTCTTCGTCGCTAGTATTTTGCTTTTGGTTAAGGTTGTTTTGCCCTTTCTTTCGTGGCTGTTTCAGGACCGTCATCTTAGGCCGAATACTGTCACCTCGTATCGTGCGGCATTGGCCACGCCGCTGCAGCTTGCTTTCGGTATTGATGTTACTCTGCGCAGTTTTGCAAACTGTCTCGGGCATTGTTTCACCTTCGGCCTGCTCATGCACTGCCTGAGCTGTCCTGGTCTTCGAACAGAGTGCTCTCATATTTGTCTTCTCCTCGATTTGTTGTGGCCCTTTTGTTCAGGATTGTTTTTCTTGTTTTCTTGTTCGAGGTGTTTTTCTTGTTGGCATTGATTGGCCTCTAGGGGTCGGGTTGGGGAGCTTCATGCTCTCCTCCGGCCAGGGGTTTCTGCTCTTTTAGTCGAGGTTATAGGTGTGTTCATTTACAGCCATCTCCTTCTTTTCTGTCGAAGAATGAGAGTGCTGCTTTCCGGAGGGGTCCTTGGGCTGTTGATTCTTGGTTGGTCAGGCCAGTCACGTGTTGTGTCCGGTTGCGGCTTTATACCGTTATTTGTGCGCCACGGCCTCTGTGACCAGGGACGCACTTTGGATTGATCCTGTTTCCCCTTCTTTCCTGTTCTAGGGTTCGGGTTTCTCCAGTCGTCCACAGGGTTATTCGGTCTAGCCAGCCTGCAGTCTATCCCCCATGACGTTCGTAAGTTTACTGCGTTGTCTGCTGTCTTCAGTAACATGTCCTGGGCTGACATTCGGGCACAGGGTTTTTGGCAGTCAAACAGGGTCCTGGCTGCGTGCTACCTTGTAAATGTTCATTTGCCTAGTCAGGCCTGTGTCGCTTTGGGTCGGTGGTTGCAGCTTGTTGTCTCGACTTTGAGTTGAGGTGTGAGCAGCGACCGCTTCCCGGGTAAGTCCCTTTGGTTTTTATCTGTGGGTAGGTAGCTCCAGGGAGATGATGGGGCTCCCACAGAAATCCAGCGTTAAATGTAATGAAACGCCATTTTCTGGGTGAGACCAGAGGCTCTCCGGCAACCCGCCCCCCTTTTTCCTGGTCGGCAGTTTTTCGCGTGTTTTGACAACCAGCCTAGAACTGGAGGGTGGATCGTCGGTGCGGTGGGTCTGGGGCTTTCCCTTTTCCTTCCCGGGGAGGGGAGAAGCAGCGTAGTCATGCAGCATAGGTCGTGTGACGTCATGCTCGTTTGCTCATTTTCATTTGGGAAGTTCTGTCAACTCATTTGTCTATTTTAGTCGTTTTAACCAGAATAGGGGTTTCTTTTGAGGCGCTTACCTTTCTGGGTGCCTGGCCCGGTCGATGGCAGACATAGAATGCTCCAAATTCCATGTGTATTTCTATACGCATACCTCTCTGAGGGGGCCAGATTCTGGCTCATGATCCCCGGTAGGCCAAGAACTCCATTCACCCTGACTGATGCCAGAAAGTTATAAATATCCATTCAGCCTGGATAGCTCCAGAGAGCCTCCAGTGCTAACGCCATGCTCGTTAGCTCATTTTTATTTTGGGAGTTATGTCCACTAGTTCAGCTCTCAGTAGCAATTTCTTAACCAGAACAGGGGTTTGTTTTAGGATGCTTACCTTTCTGGGTGCCTGACCTGGTCGATGGCAAATATAGAATGCTTCCAACCACATTGGGGTATCTATAGGCCATTGCTCCTCGTGCCTCTCTGAGGGGGCCAGGTTCTGGCTCTTGGTCCCCAGTAGGCCTAAGAACTCTATACACATGACTGATTCCAAAGTCTGACATTAGCCATATCAGCCTGGATAGCTCTGGGGAGCCTTCGGGTCTCACCCAGAAAATGGCATTCATTACATTCAACACAGGTTTTTTAGTTAGGCACCACACATTTTGTAGGGATTCCTTGTCACTTTCAGTTGCTCTAAGCTTAGCTATTTGCATCTGTCAAAACCAGTCCAGCATGTGTGGCTGTGAAAGCAACCAAGGTGGTGCACAGAAGAGGGGGTGCTCATTTCATTCTACACTGTTCTGTATTTTTTAAGACATGCAGGGGAAAGAAGAGTTCGTTCACTGGAGGAAGATGAAGTTAAGGATGGTAAGAGCAACCTTTCAATAGCAGACCCAGATGACCACAGTGATCTAATTGAACAGGATGAAGAGGAGAAAGAAGCAGAGGATTCCAAAGGTATTGACATTGCCAAGGATGAATTATATTAATTTTGTATGTAGATTTTCTATTAGATATATTTATAGGGTTAAGTATTATTATTTTTAATTTGCCAAATATTTAGACATTTACTAAATAGTGAAAGTTGTGTAATCATTACACATGCTTTATGATTTTTGTCATGCTCAGCTCTTCTGGGAGGGCAGCTTCCCTACTGTAGCTCCCTGAGCTAGCACAGGGGGCTACCATGCCTTTGAGACCCATTCATTCCTATCAGGAGTCAGGGCTAGAATATGGATATCTCTGAGGTGAATGGAGCTTGAGGATCGGAGATCAACTAAAAAACAGGAAAAACTCCACCAGAAATTAAAAATGCACAATTAGTCAGTTTCTTGAAGGCAGTTAGTAAACCTGAGTAACCTTGGCAGTTAGTATTCTACCATTTATTCCATGTGCCTGTAATTTCCTTGCTAGTCTTTCATGTGGTACTTTGTCAAAAGCATTTTTAGTCCCTGTATGTTGGCAACGATAAATGAGGTTACTCTATTTAATGTATTTTGACATTGTTGCATTGTTGTAGTCTGTCATATTTGTAACTCTGTTTGGGTCTGTACTGGTAGCTGTGACTTTGGCATGTGTATGATTTGCTTTGCTGGTTCCAGTACCATGCATTACCTCTGTTCCACCTTTTGAAACTGCTTTCATCTGGCTCTAAACAAAAAATATTTGCCTCCTTAATTATTTTCCTGTTTGTTACTCTGTATTGTTCTGTGCCTTGCACATGAAAATCTGGGCAAGAGAGGTCATAGTATTTTCTTTCTTTAATTAAGGCTTTACACATGACTGGGTCTATCTCGCTATAAAAATAAATAAATAAATAAATAAATATATATATGCATATATATATATATATATATATATATATATATATATATATATATATATATATATATATATAATGTCATATATATATATAACTAACTAAAGTAACTAAGTAACTCCTTTTTTGTAACAAAGTTTAAATAAAGTAAATATATATGTGTGTACATACTAAAGAATGTCATATATATATTATATATATATATATATATATGTCGTACCTAATAGCCAGAACGTACTTATCAGCCTACTATTCAAGGCCCGATTTGCCAAGTTTTAAGTAATAAGCCAAGTTTTCATTAATTAATGTTTTTTCGACTACTTAACCTACCTAACCTAACCTAACCTAACTTTTTCTGCTACCTAACCGAACCTAACCTATGAAGATAGGTTAGGTTAGGTTAGGTAGGGTTGGTTAGGTTCGGTCATATATCTACGTTAATTTTAACTCCATTAAAAAAAAATTGACCTCATACATAATGAAATGGGTAGCTTTATCATTTCGTAAGAAAAAAACTAGAGAAAACATATTAATTCATGAAAACTTGGCTTATTAGGCAAATCGGGCCTTGCATTGTAGGCTGATAAGTGCGTTCTGGCTAGGTACGACATATATATATATATATATATATATATATATATATATATATATATATATATATATATATATATATATATATATATATATATATATATATATATATATATATATATATATATATATATATATATATATATATATATATATATATATATATATATATATATATATATATATATATATATATATATATATATATATATATATATATATATATATATATATATATATATATATATATATATATATATATATATATATATATATATATATATATATATATATATATATAATATATATATATATATATATATATATATATATATATATATATATATAAATAAATAAATAAATAAATAAAAAATATGCGCGCATATGCATATGCATGTTGATCCAAAATTACATTTTTCCCTTCCCAAGTACAGTATTTATAAATCCCTTTACAGGTTTAATTTATGCCATAGTTTGATAATACTGATAAGAGTATAAACGTTTTGTTTTGTTGCTCCATTTCAGATGACTCTGAGAATGAAGAGACTTTTGGGGAAAATGAGCAAACAAGTGAAGAACAGAAATATAATGAATTAGAGGCAGAGGTAAAAGTGGATGAAAAAATAATAGAATTTCCAGATACGGTGGTTGACATAACCCACATTGGTGGTGATCAGTAAGTTTCTCGATTAGTTCCAGTTTTGTGTATTTTTCATGTAGAATTTATTTCATTTAACTTTCTGAGTATGGCTATTATCAAAATTGCCACTGTGGTTTTACTTGATTTCTGGGAGGACTCCCTTGATGGCTACTTGAAGCCATCACACGATTTCATCACTTCTTCATCTTCATCCCTGAGGCGCGTTGCGCACCACCAGTCGAGAGCCTCAAGGCACGTTGTGCAGTGCAGTGATTAACCCTTAAGCTGCTAAGGGGGTCCTGGGGAGATTTATACCCCTGTACGCAAGAAAAAAATTAAAAAAATTGTTTCGTCTAATAAAAATGTTAATTTGTTCCCTGAGCACAGGAAAAAAAATCATAGGTGACATATTTTGGGGCCCAATAGGCCGAGGAAGTCTGGCAAACTGTGAGCATTGACAGAGCAGTCGTCAGGGTCGGTCAGCGTCATTCGAACTGACAGGTGAGAGTTGCCACAAAGATGATATTACCTAATTATTTCAATGTCTCTGATTGATTTTTTCTTAGCTTTTTTGCAGTAGTATTATTCAATAGTGTGTATTGTGATATATTTATATAATAAAAGGGGTGAATCATCGCTATACTCAAAAGTATGATGTTCATATTAGTGATTCAATTATGTTCATAAAACAATAAACAAATAGCTTTGCTGTTATAACACTCTATACACAGTTTTTATATATAAGTATCTGCATGCTTTGTTTACCATAATGAACCACTAAGTTGGTATTGTGAGTCGAAAAGCAACGAGGAGTGACCGCCATACACAGCCAGCCATTCGTTGCCACTCCCTCAACAACGCCTCACTCGCCTAGTTTATCCTCCCACCATCCTGTGTTTTATTTTATTCACTATATACAGACATTATATATAAGTATCTACATGTTTTGTTCAACACAACTGTACAACTAGGCTGATATAGTTAGTTCAGGCACTAAGAGACGTCGCTACACACAGTCAGCTGGCGACTGCATCCCTCACACATTCAAGGTCACATGTACTAAATTTTTCCCCCAACAATACTGTATGCAGTGTTATTACACTATATACAAACATTATATATAAGTATCTACATGCTGTATGCACCATAACTGTGCACCTAAGCTTGTAGGGGTCCCAGAGAGCATAGTAGCCACCCTCTACACAGTTAGACAAGTCATGCAGACGACACCACCTCCGTCACCCAAATGGCTCCTCCTACCATAATCCTTTTGCTGTTATTACACTAATACACACATTATATACAAGTACAGTATTTACATTTGTAATTACCTAAGTGTAGTTACAGGATGAGAGCTACGCTCGTGGTGTCCCGTCTTCCCAGCACTCTTTGTCATATAGCGCTTTGAAACTACTGACAGTCTTGGCCTCCACCAACTTCTCACCTAACTTGTTCCAACCGTCTACCACTCTGCTTGTGAAAGTGAATTTTCTTATATTTCTTCATGTTTAGCTAGTTTAAATCTATGACCTCTTGTTCTTAAAGTTCCGGGTCTCGGGAAATCTTTCCTATCGATTTTATCAATTCCTGTTACTATTTTGTATGTAGTGATCATATCACCTCTTTTTCTTCTGTCTTCTAATTTTGGCATATTTAATGCCTCTAACCTCTCGTAGCTCTTGCCCTTCAGTTCTGGGAGCCACTTAGTAGCATGTCTTTGCACCTTTTCCAGTTTGTTGATGTGCTTCTTAAGATATGGGCACCACACACAACCACTGCATATTCTAGCTTTGGCCTAACAAAAGTCGTGAACAATTTCTTTAGTATATCGCCATCCATGTATTTAAAAGCAATTCTGAAGTTAGAAAGCGTGGCATAGGCTCCTCGCACAATATTCTTTATGTGGTCCTCAGGTGATAGTTTTCTATCTAGAACCACCCCTAAATCTCTCTCTTTATCAGAATTCTTTAAAGATTTCTCACATAATATATAGGTTGTGTGGGGTCTATGTTCTCCTATTCCACATTCCATAACATGGCATTTATTAACATTAAATTCCATTTGCCAAGTGGTGCTCCATATACTTATTTTGTCCAGGTCATCTTGAAGGGCATGACAATCATCTAAGTTTCTTATCCTTCTTATTATCTTAGCATCATCAGCAAACATGTTCATATAATTCTGTGTTCCATCTGGTAGATGTACTTGCCATCCTATGTCTGTCTTGTTAGTTCTCCGGGAGGCTCATGTGGGGTCTTCCTGGAAAGGTCTTGCCAGGGCTCGGAGGTTCTTCCTGTCATGGTACGCCAGTGGTAGGCCAGATTCAGGACAGGCACAGCCTCAGGTTCTGTGTTTTTCTGGTTGACACGGGGATTGCTCTGTGCACTGCTTAGGTTCTTGTAATGTGCTTCGGCCGTTTTGCGGTTTGTCTCATTGACAGGGTAATTGGGGGGAGGAGGCTTGCTCTGTTCGCTTTCGCCTGGTCCCACGATTTGTGGGCCTTTCGGGTCATTTCGTGCAGCCTGCGGTGGCATTGGGTGGCTCCTCCTCCTTCAGGGGGTTCGGGGTTGGCATGGCGGGCCTCTTCTCCTGCACTCTGTCAAGTCGTCTCGGAGTGGGTTCGCTTGGGCATGGTCGAAACGATCTCGTCCATCAGGTGGGTTTCTTATCTGGGAATCTCCCACAACTAAAGTTCGCTTAGGTACTTCCTTTACTCTCTGAGGGGCCTGTGCTTCGTTGCTCTTCGTTGCTTTCCCTTTCGCGAGATCCGCAGTCTCACCACAGCACTCGTCCTCCAATACGGCAAATGAATTAGAAGTTCTTAGGGTGTCTGTAGGCGGCTTTATCAAAGTCTTCTTAAGGCCCCTGTCCTTTACAACTTTCCAGGACGAGGTCTTTTTACTAATGGTCTCCTCCTTCGTTTCTTTTCGATGTTGTTTCAGCTGTCGTACCTCCTCCCGTGGAGAGTCCAACTCTGTCCTCAGGGCTCCAACTAGAGTCATTAGGTCCTTCACTACAACTTCCATATTGCTATGTTAATATAACTACACTCAGGAGCTCTGGCTAACACACCCTCTCACTGCGACTGTCTGCGCCTTTGTTGACTGCGCCTCACTGCGACTGGCTGCGCCTTAGGCACCTAGAAAGGTAGGCATAACAAAACAAACCCCACATGGTAAGAAACTAAAACAAAAAAGCGAACAGAGAGGTAGAAACTCCCTACAATCCCAAGGAAACAAGCAAACAAGCAATTATCACAATTTATTGACACGCCAATCGTCTGCACAGCCCTCCCCTCCCCGAGACGGGGAGGGGGGCCCCAGACCTCACCGCGCCGGCTGCCTTCAGTTCGTAAGCTAGTGTCAACCGGGATAGACGCTTCTCTGGTCTCAAATTCCTGGGCGGTGTTTGCCTTGTGTGACGTTCTCTGCTGTCTTTGTGTGTTGTGTGGTGGCCAGGAGTACCTTATCAGTGCCGGGGCTGCATGCGCTTAGGGGCTTCCTTCCCTAGGCGCCCTGTGAGTACAGTACTGCCCCTGCGTGTCAGGGTTATCTTCTCTGGGGCGTTCGGGAACCGCTCCAGTAGGGGTTCTTGCTGCTCGGAATTTGCCTCGCCCTTGGGGCCAGCTGGAGTTTGGGGCCCTTGTTTAACCTTGTGTAGGGAGTGGTGTTGTGCTGGTTAAGGCATCAAGGTGTTGAGCAACCTGCCACCTATGTGGCGACCAGTTCCTGTTGCCTCTGGGGACGGTGTACTTTTGCGGGGTTTTTCTTTTGTTTTGTTTTTGTTTGGCTGGTGGAGGTTCTGCCTCGTGGGTCTATAGTTCCCCTGATATTGTTTTGGTGGCCCTCTGTTAGGCCCCTGTGCTTGTACACGTCCCAGGGGTTTCAGTGATATCATCTACCCCTTGTTTTGTTTGGGTTTCTTAACCGGTTAGCAACACCTTGCCCGGGCTTCCCGTAATTGTTACCCTATGGGCCCTGGAAACCCCTGTCGGGGCTCGGTGGACCCACGGATGCGTCTCCCGAGTTCCAGCCTGCCTTGTGTGGGTTTGAAGGTTGCTGTGTACCCTTGTCTCAGGGTGACAGTCACCTGTTTTGCCTCTGTCATGCTGCTTGTTGGGTCAACGACACCTTTGACCCGGAGTCTTGCGAGTCGTGTTCTCTGCTTGTGCTCCAGTTTTACTCTGAAGATGTTCCTGTTAGGGTACAGGCAGCATCAGCATTGCATGTTAGGTTTAGGTTACTGCAAAGCGCTAGGTTGGTTTCCCACCCGGATGTCCCGAGGTTGCCCCATTTTGGTTTTCGGGACCTGGACCTGGGGGCGTTAGTTGCTTCGGCTTTGACTCCTTCCGCGCTTCCTGGTCCTTCTCCTGTGGTTCATCCTGCACCTCTCCCCCTGTGTCCGGCTCCAAAACGCCTGAGGGTTTCGGCTTTGGCACAGGGTTTAGTTGGTTATGAGGCTCGGGGCTGCCTCGGGGACTGCCCCATTAGGGTCGGGGATGGAGGTATTTGAGCCGGTTCCTCCTACCGAGGTGTCTGGGTTCCACCAGCAGATCCCCTTCTTGTCTGTTTTTCCCTTGGACTCTGCCTTTTCTTCAGGGGTTGAGGGTTTGGAGGATGGCTCTGCCCCGGGTCCCGACATGGGGGATCCTGGGGCTGGGGAGGAGTCAACCTGGGGACCTTGGGCCCTCTTTGACCCCACTTGGGTGCTTTTGCTTTCCTCGCGGGGCTTATTGTTGCAGGGGAAGGGGTTTTCTTACTCCCCTTCCCTGTATTTGTGTGGTTTGGGTTCGGCTCCTCCCCGGGTTCGGTTCCGGGCTCCTTTGGGTTCCTCGGCTCCGTCTTTCTAGAAGTTTTCTACTTCCCGTATCTCCGCGAAGGTGGCTCGGGAGGCTCTTGCTGCATACGTCTTGTGAGACCCGGGTTATACCTCTGCGATGGATCCGTCTTCTTTTGAGTTCGGTTCTTCTACCCGTTTTTGGATGCATTTGGTGGTTTCGAAGTCTTCCTGGCTGGCAGACTGCCCTTTCTTTTCATTGGGTGTGTGGCATGGGTTCTGTCGGACCCGCACACTTGATTGGCGTGAAACTTCTACTTTTATGCAGGTTTACCTGGGAGGGGGGGGGCGAGTTTGAGCACCTTAATGCGTGCTTGTTCGCTCCCGTGCTTTCTCGGGATGTTGGCCTTTTCCAGCTTCCCGTGCAGGTTCCTCTTCTTTTAGCTTCGTTGGGTGCGGAGAATTTGCGCGCCCGTGGGCATTGGGCGCCTAGCCAGCTGTAAGCTTTCTCATGCTATGTTTCACCTCCGGCCTGCTCATGCGCCGCCTGAGCCATCCTGGTCCTTGGACAGGGTGCTCTCCTATCTTTCCTCTCCTCGGTTTGTGGTGGCCCCTTCAGTTCCAGGTTGTTTTTCCAAGGCTTTGTTTTTGTTGGCATTGGCCTCTGGGGGCTAGGTAGGGGAGCTTAGTGCTCTCCTCCGGCGCAGGGGTTTCTGCTCTTTTGGTCCTGGGGGTAGGTTTGTCCGTTTGAAGCCTTCTCCTTCTTTCTGGTGAAGAACGAGACGGCTGCTTTCCGGAGGGGTCAGTGGGTCATTGATGCTTGGTTGGTTCGGAAGGGGGTGCATCATGTGTTGTGTCCGGTTGCGGCTCTTCGCCGTTACCTGCGTGCTTCAGCTGGAGTGGCTGGGGATGCACTTTGGGTTGATCCGGTTTCCCTCGTTCCCTGTTCCAGGGCTCGGGTTTCCCAGGTTGTCCGCAGGGTTATTAAGTCTAGCCAGCCTGCTGTCTATCCTCGTGCCCATGACGTTCGGAAGTTTGCAGCTTTGGCTGCCGTGTTTGGTAACATGTCTTGGGCTCATATTCGGGCACGTGGATTTTGCAGGTCGGACAGGGTGCTGGCCGCCCGTTATTTGGTGAACGTACCTGCTTCTGGGGGTTCTTGTGTTGCTTTGGGTCGCAGGTTGCAGCCAGTTGTCTCGACTTCGCGTTGAGGAGTTTGTGGCCGCTTACTTCCGGGTCAATCCCTTTTTTTCTTCTCTTTGAGTATGTGGCTCCAGAGAGCCGTAGGGGTTCCCTACAGAAAACCAGCGTTGAATGTAATGAAACGCCATTTTCTGGGTGAGCCCCGGAGGCTTCCTGGCTACCCTCCCTCCTATCCGATCGGCGGGTATTTTTCAAGTGGGTTGAAGCCTAGTTTCTGAACTGAAGGCAGCCGGGCGCGGTGAGGTCCAGGGCCCCCCCTCCCCCTCTCGGGGAAGGGAGGGGTGGGCTGCGCGGACGACTGGCGCGGCAGTAAATTGTGATAATTGCTTGTTTGCTTGTTTCCTTGGGATTGTAGGGAGTTTCTACCTCTGTTCGTTTTTTTGTTTTAGTTTCTTACCATGTCGGGTTTGTTTTGTTATGCCTACCTTTCTGGGTGCCTAACCCCGGTTGATGGCAGATAAGGAAAGCCCCCAATCATATGGGGTTTTCCAGGGCCATTGCTCCCTGAAACCTCTCTGAAGGGGCCAGGTTCTGGTGCTGGTCCCTGGTAGGTCTGAACTCCATAGCTAATGTCCTGGTCTAACATAACATACATTAGCCCGATAAGCTCCAGGGAGCCTCCGGGGCTCACCCAGACAATTGGCGTTTCATTACATTCAACGCTGGTTTTTTCCAGGTTTTCCATCCGTGCACGAAAAGTCTCTTCAACATCACACTTATCCATGCAGTCTGGGGGAACTGGAGGGGAGGAGGATAATGCAGTTGTGTATCTTGGAGATGACCAGCCTGTTATCATCAATAAGGGAAATAATTCTACTAACAAATTCAATAAAGGTGAGAAAATAAGTACTGTATTGCACAAGGACATTAAAATTCATTACACAGAAAAATCACATTAACGTGATATATCAATGAACAAATCCAAACAGGAGCCTTGATGAGTTTGAACCTATGCGCTGGGTGTTCCAGGTTCACTCTAGTTGACTGCACCACAACATGGTCAAAAGAATTGCAACCTGGAGAACAAATGCACCCACAAGGGTCCCAAGGCTTCCACTGAAGCCTAACCAGGGTTTCATACAATTCCCCCATGCACTCGGGCTCTGTCAACCAATAATTCTACCCCTGACTACCTCTCTTCAAGCTTGTGGGATTTGTCCCTTATCAAAGATCCTGTTGGATTTGTTCATTGATTTATCATGTTAATGTGATTTCTCTGTGTATTGAAGTTAGAGGTAGAATTACTGATTGACAGAGCCCAAGTATATGGAGGACTTGTGTGAAACCCCGGTTAGGCTTCAGTGGAAGCTTCGGGATCCGTGTGGGTGCAGTTGTACTTCAGGATGCAATTCTTTTGACCATGTTGTGGTGCAGTCGACTAGTGCATGCCTGGGAACACCTAGTGCATAGGTTCGAACACTCATCAAGGCTTCTGTTGGATTTGTTCATTAAAATTTATATACAAACTTGTTACCTGCTTGATGGGGTTCTAGGAGTTCTTCTACTCCCCAAACCCGGCCCAAGGCCAGGCTCCAAGTTCCAAGGAACTTGGCAGAACCCAAGCTCCTTGAGTTTTTGGCCACTTTTTGTGTGCTGGGGTGTTTTGTCTCCCTTTGTTTACCGTAGGGTAAGGGGCAGTTTGCACTGGTAGGGGTGCAGGGCACTGCGTAGCTTGTTTTCACCATTCAAAGCGGCCGGCTCTGTTCCGCCTGCGTACGCTGTCCTCTTGCGGGGTTTTCTTTTTCTTTTTGTCTGTCTGCCTGGTGGGGTGGGGTCTGCCTTGGTTCTTGCCTCGTGTTCCGAGTACTCTTCCTTCTTCCGGTGGTTCCCCCTGCTAGGTCCCTGTGAGTGTATACGTCTCAGGGGTTCAGTTTTTAGAAAGTTGTTTGGTATACTTGGGTGCCGGTTAGCAATACCCTGCCTGGGATTACCTGGGTGGGAGTTATGTTAAATGCTCAGGACCCTGGGAATCCCGTTAGGGGCGCGTGGGTCCAATGGATGTGTGTCCGGAGTACCCCCTCGTTTCAAGCGAGTTTGAGGGTTGCTCGGTCCCCTTGACTCAGGGTGACCCTCACGGTTTTGCCTCCATCTGCTGCCTGTGGGGTTGGTGGCACCTTCAACCCAGAGTCCTGCGAGTTTCGTTGCTTGTTTGTGACTCGGTTACCCGGTCTTATGCTGATAATGCGGGTACAGGAAGCGCGGGCGTTGCACGTTTAGTTCAGGTGGTGGCAACGCTCTGGGTTGTTTGCTCCCTGGAAGCCCCAAGGCTGCCCCGTTTTAGATTGTTGTGACAGGGCTTGGGGGTGTTGGTTGCTTCAGTTGTGTTCCTTCCTCGCCCCCTTGTTTTTCCCCTGTTGTGGTTTAGTCTGGTTCCCCCCATCCTCCCTGCACCTGGTTCCTTTCCGTCTTTGGGCTCGGGGTCAGGGCAGGGTTTCGAGGGTCTTGAGTCTCGGGCGGTCTCGGGGGTTTCCCCTTCCGGGATAGCGAAGGAGGCATTTGAGCCTGTCCCTCCAGCCGGGTTGTATGAGTCTGCCAGTGGTAGACTTCCTTCAAGGTTCCCCTTCCTTGGTAACTTCCGGCTGCCCCGGCCTTTTTTTTTTTGAGGCTGGGGCTTTGGTGGGTCAGCTCGGCCCCGGGGCCTGCCATGGAGGTTCCTGGGGTTGGGAAGGAGCTGACTGGGGGGGGGGGGCCTCGGGCCCCGTTAGACCCCGCCAGGGTTTTCTACCCTCTGTGTGGGGCTTGCGGTTGTAGGGAGTTGGGTTTTTCCTTCCCCCCTATGCGTACGAGTTTTTGGGAGTTGGCCCCTTCCCGGGTTCGAATCCTAGTCCCTTCGGGTCCGTTCGGTTCCGTCCTATGCCCCCAGAAAACCAGCATTGAATGTAATGAAACGCCATTTTCTTGGTGAGACTCGGAGGCTCCCCGGCAACCCTCCCTCTGCCCTGTCGGCAGTTTTACGGGTGTTTTGATGTCCAGCTTCAGAACTGAGAGGTGGATTGCTGGCGCGTGGGTCTGGGGCTCCCCCTCTTCCCTACCGGGGAGGGGGGAGCTGCGCAGACAGCGGCGCGGCAACGTGTGACGTCATACTCGTTTGCCCGTTTCTGTTTGGGGAGTTCTATGCACTTGTTCGGCTTTTCGTCACAATTTTCACCAGAATATGGGTTTGTTTTGGGAACACTTACCTTTCTGGGTGCCTGACCCGGCCGATGGCAGACATAGAATACTTTCTACCACATGGGAGTTTCTATAGGCCATTGCTCCTCGTGCCTCTTCTGAGGGAGCCAGGTTCTGGTTCATGGTCCCAGGTAGGCCCACAGTACTACATACACATGACTGATGCCAAAGTCTAACATTAACATATCAGCCTGAATAGCTCTGGGGAGCCGACGGGGCTCCTCCCCAGAAAATGGCGTTTCATTACATTCAACGCTGTTTTTTTCAGTGGGATGGCAGTGTCACCTGCTCTGTGTGCCTCTGTGAGGGGCACAGATTCTGGCTCTGGTTCCCGGTAGGCCAAACAGGACTCTGCGGCTGATGTGACCTAGTAGTTGTGAGCCATCACAACATGATAGCTCCTGGGAGCCACAAAGTGCTCACCCAAAAAGTATTTCTACATTAAATTATCTTTTTTTTAAGCACATTCATGCTTTTCATTTGAGATTCAATAAGTATCTGAAATTAATCCTTTTAATTTGACAGGTAAAGTAAGAGACAATAAATCAAACTCCAGGGTTGAACATAAACCAGTTGAACACCAAAATGCAAAAGAGCAAAAATGTGAACAAGATATAGATAACAAGAGTGGTGTGCCCAAGCGTGGGCAGAGAAGCAAGATAAAAAAGATGAAAAAATACCGTGATCAGGATGAAGAAGAACGCAAAATGAGAATGTTATTATTGCAGGTGAGACACTTCAGTATTAAATTGAGTATACAGTATAAGAATAGTAATGCAGGTTATCTTTCAGATAATATATTCACATAAGTTTTCAGTTTAATCTAACGTGTAATATTACATCCTATGGTAATTGTTATGTGTTGTACTAATTTTTATTTATGAACTTGTAAAATATTTATTACTTTGCAATATGTCAATCAAAAAGCTTGTATGGGGAAGTAACAGTCATTGTAGATGTTATTATGGCGTGAAAGCAACTAGTCTTCAAGTATCTCTTGCAGTCCTGCATCAGATGTAAAGTGAGTACAAAGTTGATAGGGATTGAGAAGCTTGTGAAATGGTACAAAAAAGCAAACCAACAAAATCATTAGACAAAGTGTGAGTAAAAGACAAAGGGAGAGGGAACATGCTCTTGAAAATCATATATACTGTACTGTACTAATGCAGAGGGAGTGAGATACAATGGAACCCCGGGTTACGAACGTCCCTGGTTACGAGTTTTTCGGGTTACGAACAGGATTTGATCGGAAAATTTGAATACGAGCGTTGCATCGGGTAACGAGTGTGTTGATACACGTACGAGCTGACCTAGCACCTGGTGGCATGGCGATCACCCCTCAGTTCACCCTTGCCTCGCGCCCAAGGGTTCTCAAAATGTATGGTGTGCAGAAAAACCAAATGTGTGTGATGTGGAGGGGCTAATAATAAGGCATGGCTGACTAGGATTTTTTCTGTGGGGAGCCCCTACGGCTCCCTGGAGCTTATCGGGCTAATGTATGTTATGTTAGACAGGGACATTAGCTATGAAGTTCAGACCTATCAGGAACCAGCACCAGAACTTGGCCCTTTCAGAGAGGTTTCAGGGAGCAATGGCCCTGGAAAACCCCATATGGTGGGGGTTTTTTGGGTAGTCTGGAACAGATTAATTCATGTCCCATTATTTCTTATGGGGAAATTAGCTTCGGTTTACAAGTTTTCGGGTTACGAGCTGTCTCCAGGAATGGATTAAACTCTTAAACCGAGGTATCCCTGTAAAAGAATACTGGAGCTAAATGATATAATAGAGCTCAAGATGCTAGATATTTCTTGGGGGAGCCTCTTCAGTTCACCGGAGCTTATCCAGGCTGATATGCTAATGTCAAACTTTGGCATCAGTAATGTGTATGGAGTTATATGGGCCTACCAGGGACCACGAGCCAGAACCTGGCTCCCTCAGAGAGGCAAGGGAAGCAATGGCCTATAGAAATCCCCGTGTGGTTGGAAGCATTCTGTGTCTGCCATCAACTGGGTCAGGCACCCAGAAAGGTAAGCGTCCCAAAACAAACCCCTATTCTGGTGAAAATTGCTACCACAAGCCGAACAAGTGGATAGAACTCCCCTAAAAGAAACAAGCAAAAAGGAAAAGGAAAGGAATAGAAAAACTGACTTCGGAAGCGTATCAAGTCAGTTTTTGTACTGTACCTAGATATTGAGCCATTCCTCTACGGGAATGGTTCCCGAACGCCCCAGGAAAGATAACTCTGTCACGCAGGGGCAATATTCACTGGGTGCTTAGGGAAGGAAGCCCCTAAGCGCATACAGCCCTGGTACTGATCAGGAACACCTGGCCACCGCACAACACAACACACGGCAGTGAACGCCACACAAGGCAAACACCGCCTAGGAAACTGAGGCCAGAGAAGCGTCTATCCCGGTTGACAGTAGCTTACGAACTGATGCTAGGCAGCTGGCGCGGTGAGGTCCGGGGCTTCCCCCTTCCCCTCTCAGGGCGGGGAGGGCTGCGCGAATGATCGGCGCGGCAGTAAAGTGTGATGTTTGCTTGTTTCCTTGGGATTGTAGGGAGTTTCTACCTCTCTGTTTGGTTTTTTGTTTTAGTTTTTTACCATGTGGGGTTTGTTTTGTTATGCCTATCTTTCTGGGTGCCTAACCCCAGTCGATGGCAGATAAGGAAAACCCCAACCACAAGGGGGTGTTCCAGGGCCATTGCTCCCTGAAACCTCTCTGAAGGTGCCAGGTTCTGGTGCTGGTCCCTGGTAGGTCTGAACTCCTTAGCTAATGTCCTGGTCTTATATAACATACATTAGCCCGACAAGCTCCAGGGAGCCTCCGGGGCTCACCCAGAAAATGGCGTTTCATTACATTCAACGCTGGTTTTTTGTAACATAAAGATAATATTTTAAATGAAGTATTCAGGGGTGGCTACTCAATTTTGAGATGACAGAAAAATAGGAAAAGGTGGAAGTATTGCTGTGCTGATGAAAGAACATTTGAAGGTAAGAGAATTAATAATGGACAACCCACAAGAAGTTGATATAATGGCACAATTTTAAGTTATATTGCAGTGTCTTCTTAATGTGATCTAATTATTGTTTTGGCTGAAACATATTGTGCAATTTTTTTGTAATCCAGTTACTGTACCTTATTTTCTAGTCGGCAGGCAACAACAAGGATAAAAATAAAAGTAAAGCTGGCAAGAAAGGTGGTAAAGAAATTAAAGGAAAAGGAAAAGAAACAAAACTAAACATTAAAGCAGAAGCAAGTAGCCAGCCCGGCAAGGAGAGTCAAACACCCATTACACACCAGCATCACTTGGAGAATGATGGCATCCAACCCAAAAAGCAAGATAATCAGGAGGAGGAGGATGAGGAGGAGGAGGCATCACAGGTTCTCTCTTTATTATTTCTTCTGACCTGTAATTAGGAAGGATGTTAGATGTGTTAGTTAATACTATAATTATAAATTTGTAGTGGCAAATGAATGGTAAATTTGGAGTCTTAGTAGAAATAAGGGGTCCTGGTAGTATAGATGGGTTCATTCTCAACTCACAATTGAGAATTCTGAGTTTGAATTCTGATGGGACAGAAATGGTTGGGTGTGTTTCCTATCACCTAATGGCCCTGTCCACTTAGCAGTAAATAGGTACCCAGAAGTTAGTCAGCTTGTTGTGGGGTTGCATCCTGGGAAGGGTCAGTAGTTCAATCCTGGAGGGGGGAGGGGGGAATCCTGGATATAAGCCTAACATGTACTGTACATACAAACTGGCAACCTGTCCCCCTACACAATGAATTATTGGCTTATAGAAGCCAAACATATCTTAGTCTGCTTTAGCAGCTACAATCTTTTCAAAGAAGTGAGTGAATACATGTTGAGCTTAGTAATCAAGTTTTTGATGTTGTTAAAGGTTATGCCAATGGAAAATTTAGATTTAACCCTGTACACATGCTTATCATATATGTACAGCATAGGCACACCCATATAATCCAGATTATATTTTTCCAGACCCAATCCTGATTTGCATGGAAGTCAGGTTTTCAAAAGATCAGTACAGTACCCATTTAGGGCAATTGTCACCAAATTGTTTGGATTTTTCTTATATGAAGTGAAATTGAAATAAGTTTATTGAGGTAAAATACACACAAAGGGATGAGGTAGCTCGAGCTATTCTCACCCCATTCAGTACATTGTGTTAATACATACATATAAACACATCACAAACAATAAACATATTACCAAACATTCTGAGAGATAAACATCTACATTTCCTCCTTTACACAAGTAGTATGGTACCAGACGTACACAAATACTTTTATGACTTAGGTATACTAGGAGCCGGTCGGCCGAGCGGACAGCACGCTGGACTTGTGATCCTGTGGTCCTGGGTTCGATCCCAGGCGCCGGCGAGAAACAATGGGCAGAGTTTCTTTCACCCTATGCCCCTGTTACCTAGCAGTAAAATAGGTACCTGGGTGTTAGTCAGCTGTCACGAGCTGCTTCCTGGGGGTGGAGGCCTGGCCTAGGACCGGGCCGCAGGGACACTAAGAAGCCCCGAAATCATCTCAAGATAACCTCAAGATATACTGTATAGACAATTTGCAAGAGACATGCCAATAATTCAACAAAAAATTACAGTCTTGGTGCAAAATTCTCAACCTTTCCGTTGTGACACATCCAGGCTATTTGTTCAGGAACAGTCCTTATCTCAGTGTTTCTATATACATTAATCAAGGGACAATCAAGAACATAATGGGCAAGGGTGTGAGATCTTAACATACCACATAGTTTACACTTCGTGTCATTATCATGAACACCTATCCCATATTCCCAGTAATATTTGTACCCAAGCCTGAGCCGTATGTACACAGTCACTCCTAGCATTTCTCCTTTTGCCATAAGTGAAATGGGTGTTTTGACTCACATACATGTAGTGTTGCATGGTTTGACTTCTCTCATACATTATACTTCTTTCCACTTCTGCCTGTGTCTGAATATTTCTGATTTTGCTTCTTATTTGTCTCATTGTGAATTCACATTCAATGTCAACTTGTAGTTTTGATGTGGCACGTTTGGCCAAGTCATCCGCCACTTCGTTGAGCACTATTCCAACAGTTATATGAAGTGATGCAGTAAATATTTATACATGTTTTAACACAAAAGTAATATACCAATAATGGTTTTGTATGGCTATAAGTAATAATTATACATTAAAAAAATCCCCAAAAATTATTTGCTCTCTTATGTATTGTAGCACAAGCTGGTCTTGATAACACAGAAGCAGCAAAATGCACTATGGCACTATGTCATGCCAACTGTTAAAATTGTGCTATCACTCTGTACTGCCCTAAAAGTTGTCCTCGATACTCATGGTTATTGACCGTCTCTTGGCTTGATTTGCCATTCACCCCAGGTTAAAATGTGCACAAATTATTTGTAAGCAGTGTGATATTCTACTTTTTTGGAGCACTTTTGCTTGCAATAGTTACCTTATTTGCATATTTCAGATAACTTATGGTAGCAAAATTTTCACTTGAATAGGGGGTTTGTTTTGGGATGCTTACCTTTCTGGGTGCCTGACCTGGTCGATGGCAAACATAAAATGCTTCCAACCGCACAGGGGTTTCTATAGGCCATTGCTCCCATTGCCTCTTCTGAGGGGGCCAGGTTCTGGCTCGTGCTCCCCAGTAGGCCCTTAGAACTCCATACACATGACTGAAGCCAAAGTCTGACATTAGCATATCAGCCTAGTAGGCTCCAGGGACCCTCTGGGTCTCACCCAGAAAATGGCGTTTCATTACATTCAACGCTGTTATTTTTTTTTTTTTACAGATTGCAGATGACCTGAATATTATAAATTCTTTGACTGCAGTACCTGTTGTTGAAGATGAACTTCTGTACACTATTCCTGTGTGTGCTCCCTATACTGCTATGACCAACTTCAAGTATGTATATTATACACTGCAATTTGTGTGTGCTAAATAAACCAACCAACCAACCAAGTGGCAAATGGAATTCAATGTGAATAAAAGCCATGTTATTGAATGTGGAATAGGAGAAAATAGACCGCACATCTACAAATTATGTAGAAAGGACTTAAAGACCTCTTAAAAACAAAAGAGATTTAGGGGTGGTTCTGGATTGTCACCAGAGGAACACGCAAACAACATTGTGCGAGGAGCATATGCTGCTCTTTCCAACTTCTGAATCACTTTTAACACTATCGCGCTCCCGGCAGAAAGCTCATTAACTTTCCCCTCGTGCGCCGAGCATTTCGGGTGACCGCGCAGCGACACTGAAAAGTGTGTACTCTTTTTGGTCTGCTCACCTTAATTTTCCATGTATGTATTTAAATTTGGTATCAATTTGTTCGCAAGAGAATTCTCTAGAAGAATATGTATATAAAAAAAATTTCACCAAAGCCGACGTGAGACCCGCACCAAATAAAAAACTATGGCGATCGTTTGCTGTGAGTGCCAAACAGCTATGAAATGTTTATGCTCTTTTCAGATTTGTCAACCCCAGAATTGTTCTACGTTGTTAATTTTGGTATCGCTGTGATCGTAATAAAATTCCGTACACAGACATATGAAAATAAAGTATAAAACATGGGCATGCCACACCCGCAAGACCGTGGGAAGTTGCCAAAGGGTTACCCGCTACTGCACGCCCAACTGCACATTGACTACACCCCTACTGAAAAGTTTATACTCTTTTCATATTTTTGACTGTAATTTTCAATGTACAGTACTAGTACGTGTTTCATTTTGGTACCAATGTGTTCTCAATGAAATGTTCTAGAGAAACATAAATATGTATAACATGTCACCAAAGCTAACTTGATGCTGTCACCAAATAAAAAACTAAGTCGTTTGTTAGCTGTGCACGCCAAACAGTGTGAACATGTTGCTACCCTTTTCAGGTTTATCAAGTTCAAACTTGTTCGACATCATTCTTTTTTGTATCACTGTGATCGTGATAAAATTCCCTACACAGACATATGCATATAAATTAGACAACATGGGGGCGTATAACCCGCAACGACCCCTAAAGTCGCTGAAGCGTTACCCTCTAGAGCACACTCATTGCTACACCCGCTATACCCAATACACCTGACAAACACATACAGTTTACTAACAGAAGTTTTTGTGCTACATTGTTCATTGTGGTATCAAATTATTCACAATAAAATGCTCTAAATAGAAAGACAAATATAAGCAATAACAACCGCAATATATATAAGCAATACCAATAACGCGACGCCTTTCTGGTATATAGTCGCATCACCGTGAGCCAGCGTCGCTAAGGTCACGAGCTTGATAAACAAAGCACTAGGCCCACTGCATGGCCTGATGACCCAGAATGCCATGCGGCATACGGAGGAGAGTGGGAAGGCAATGGCGCTCAATTTGAAACCACCTTGAAGTTGATCGGATGAAAATTAAATTTTTTACAAATATTTTAATGGATGACACGCGCGATAGTCATCGGATTACATTAAGGAGAAAAACTTATGACGATAAGAGACATCATCGGAGAGCAAAAGTGTTAATTACATGGATGAAGAAATACTAAAGAAACTGTTTATGACTTTTTGCGAGACCAAAATTGGAATATGCAGCAGTTGTATAGTGTCCATATCTCAAGAAGCAAATCACTAAACTGGAAAAGGTGCAAAGGCATGCTACAAAATGACTTACAGACCTGAAAAACAAAAGTTATGAAGAGAGGCTAGAGGTGTTAAATATGCCAATGGAGCGGGGAGACAGCTGGCTGACCCAATCTGCCTCCCTCCTCTCCCCAAACAAAGGATGGAGGTGGGTGAATGAACTTGCAGCAGTTTTGTGAATTTTTTATTGTTTACATTGTTGAGGGAGTTCTTTCTGAGATTTTGAGGTACAGGTATTGCTCTTTCCTTATAACCAGCAGTGGTCTGTTTTTGTTTCACAGACTTTGTGGGTACTTCCCACAAAAAGAACTTTCCTGGTAGTGGCAAACATAACTAAAATTCACTGACAGTTTTATTATAGTGCCACTCCTCTCTATGCCTCTTTAGAGGATACCAGGTTCTGGTTCGTGGTCTCTGGTAGGTTAAAAAGAACTAAACAACTGATGGCACTATAGTAGTTTGGCACTACATCGGCATTGAAGTTTCAGAGAGCCACCGGGGCTCACACAGAAATTGGCGTTTCATTACATTCAGTGCAGGTTCTTTGGAATTATTGCACATCGGCAGATATAAACATATTTCAGTAGGCTGCACATTGAGGGTTAAGTGAATCTAACTGTAAGAGGAAGATATGGTGAGGGAGTGTGGGGCAGCACATATTAATTGTGAATAATGGAGTGTTGGGACAGGGGGCAAGGGCTGGGTGTAAGCTATTTGTAAGGAATGTACTGTATTTGTATTAAATATATATATGACAAAACATGAGGATTATTGTACATGTGGAGTTACAAAGCAATGCTGCTGTGGATGACTGCTGGAGTGTGATGCTATATTGTGTGAATATTATAATGGAAAAGATGTGTGATATTTGTCATTATTAATATCTGATAATGAATGGATGGTTTACATGTATTCCACATACTGTAATATTAATGTAGCAGTATTATGCTTGCAGGTACAAAGTTAAGCTCACCCCTGGTCCTGGAAAAAAGGGAAAAGCTTGCAAAACTGCACTGGCAGTTTTTCTGAGTAACAAGTCGGGTACCTCTCGGGAGAAGGAATTATTACGAGCTGTACGAGATCAAGACTTAGCAAGAAATCTACCAGGAAAAGTCAAAGTGTCTGCACCAAATATTACAAAAATAAGAAAATAGCCAAATACCTTCAGACCTAAATCTAGTTTTTTCTTGTACTTATTTTCAAAAGGTATTCTTTCAGTCTGTGCATCTTAAAAATAAATAAATACTGTAATCTATATTATATAATATATATATAATATATAGTTTTTTCTTTAATATACAGTAATGCTAATAGGAATAGGCAAATAAGTACGTACAAAGTTAAAAAATTCTGTAATATTTACATAAAATATCTGGAATAAATTATTTTGTGTATTTTTATGCAATTATTGATTGTATGAAATATTATATAAGTAGTAATTAAAGGTGAAGGAATAGTTATTGTGCTATACTGATAATAGAAGTTTATAAATGAATGTGAAAGTGGAATTTTATTACACCCAAACAAATACAGCATTCAATTTTATAAATATTTTTTATTTTCTGGTTTTTCAAGTTACACTGGTATCATTAAGACAAAGTTGGATCAAAGTTAATTCCCCAAATTAGAAATCTTTATGAGGAAAGATTAACAAAGCTTAATTTGCATTCACTGGAAAGGCGAAGAGTTAGGGGTGGCATGATAGAGGTTTACAAGTGGATGAATGGACATAACAAAGGGGATATTAATAGGGTATTAAAAGTATCAACACAGAACATGAAACAATGGGTATAAGTTGGATAAGTTTAGATTTAGGAAAGACTTGGGTAAATACTGGCTCGGTAACAGGGTTGTTGATTTGTGGAACCAAGTACCGCGTAACGTGGTGGAGGTGGGGTCCCTCGATTGTTTCAAGCGTGGGTAAGATATGTATATGAGTGGGATTGGGTGGTTATAAACAGGGGCTGCCTCGTATGGGCCAATAGGCTTTCTGCAGTTACCTTAGTCATTATGTATATGAATGGGGATTGGGTGATTATAATTAGGAGCTGCCTCGTATGGGTCAAAAGACCTTCTGTAGTTATCTTTGTTATTATGTTCTTAGTAGCTGAATCTATAACAACATCAATAGCCTGTCCAACCAATCCAACTAAGTGGGCCTGACAGCTGAGTGGACAGCGCTTCGGATTCGTAGTCCTGAGTTTCTGGGTTCGATCTCCGGTTATCTTGAGATGATTTCGGGGTTTAGTGTCCCCACAGCCCGGTCTTCGACCAGGCCTCCTCCCCCAGGAAGCAGCCCGTGACAGCTGACTAACTCCTAGGTACCTATTTACTGCTAGGTAACAGGGGCATCAGGGTGAAAGAAACTCTGCCCATTGTTTGTCTCTGGCGCCCGGGATCGAACCCGGGACCACAGGATCACGCGTCCAGTGTTCTGTCTGCTCCCAGACAGAACACTGGACAGAGTCCAGTGTTTTTAGTATAAATGGGGTTAAGTCAGAGTGGGATAATGTTGTTAGTGGAGTACCTCAGGGCTCTGTCCTGGGACCTCTGTTGTTTATAATATATATAAATGATTTAGATTCAGGTTTGAGTAGCAACATTTGCAAATTTGCCGATGATACGAAAATCGGTAGGGAAATTAATTCGGAGGAGGACTCACTATCACTTCAAGTTGATCTAGATAAGGCTTTGAAATGGTCAAATGATTGGCAAATGCAGTTTAATGCTGATAAATGTAAAGTTCTGAGGCTAGGTAATAATGATAGTTACAAGATACGAGCTAGATGGTGTTGAGATTGCGAAGTCGGATTGCAAAAGGGATCTGGGAGTTATGATTAGAAAGAATTTAAAACAAAAGGATCAATGCATGAATGTTCGTAATAAGGTGAATAGGACACTGGGATTTATTAATCGAAGCGTTAGTAACAAGACACCTGGTGTGGTTCTTAAGCTATATCTTGCCCTGGTTAGGCCCCATTTAGATTATGCAGTTCAGTTTTGGTCGCCGTATTATAGAATGGATATAAATTCACTTGAACGTGTCCAACGTAGGATGACTAAGTTAATTCCCCAAATTAGAAATCTTTCATATGAAGAAAGATTAACAAAGCTTAATTTGCATTCACTGGAAAGGCGAAGAGTTAGGGGTGACATGATAGAGGTTTACAAGTGGATGAATGGACATAACAGGGGGGATATTAATAGGGTATTAAAAATATCAACACAAGACAGAACACGAAACAATGGGTATAAATTGGATAAGTTTAGATTTAGGAAAGACTTGGGTAAATACTGGTTCAGTAACAGGGTTGTTGATTTGTGGAACCAATTGCCGCGTAACGTGGTGGAGGTGGTGTCCCTCGATTGTTTCAAGCGCGGGTTGGACAAGTATATGAGTGGGATTGGGTGGTTATAGAATAGGAGCTGCCTCGTATGGGCCAATAGGCCTTCTGCATTTACCTTTGTTCTTATGTTCTTATGAGTCTATTTCGCTCTGGTGTCAATCCTGACCAATTCCCTGTTACCTGGGAGTTAGACAGCTGCTACGGGCTGCTTTCTGGGGGTAACAAAAAAGGAGGCCTGGTCGAGGACCGGGCCGCGGGGACGCTAAGCCCCGAAATCATAAGATAAGAAAGCCTAGAATACATAAAAAACACCATCACCAAAAAACTCACACCTCAACAAAGCCCATCTACAGCAGAGAGTAGCTGAAGGTTCGCCCTCTACAATATGGTAACTTCAGGCCACCAAGTTAGAAAGGCTAAATATCCCAAAAGGAATCCACTGGGAAATAGCAGTTGGGTTATATAGACTACGTCTAGGTTACAGATGCAACTGGGAGATTGGTGAACCCCGACAGAGAGAGTGCATCTTCTGCCAAACTGTCACAGAAAAGCCACTACTTCACTTTGTCCTGGAATGTCAAGCAACCCACGACCTTAGAAGAGCTTTAAGAGTCCCTGAATCCTGCAGTAACCACCCTGAAGCCATCAACACATCCACTCTTGTGGTCAAAAAAGGTGTCCAGCAGCTGGACACCCTCATAAACACTGTCAAGCAATATCCTCCCCCGCGATAGCAGCTTGAAGATTAAAAGCTACCTTACACAGTATACATTTACTAAACAAAAAATCTACTACTTACGAGCTATTCATGCCCGTGCCACCTCTTGGGTGGCTTAAGCTTCATATATCAATCAATCAGTCAGTCAGTCTAAACTCCAAGAGTGTTTCAGTACAGCCGCTTGAGAGATACCACACATCTTCAACACCAGCAACACTGTAACACTCAACAAGCCCAGTTCCTATCCTTACAAAACGCTTCAGCCTCGCTACAGGGCAGACTTTGGCCACATCCAAGCTCTCGTCCCGCACTCGAACTCTTAAAACTATGTTTGCATTCAGAGCACCACACACTACACACTTTCCCCGCATCCGAGCTCTATATCCCCGGCCTCACTCAACTCTCTGCCTTGCTCCAGGCTTCGTCTCAGCTACTACGACACTTCAATACATTGCCAACAAACCGACTGCTGTATTAAGACTATACTAAATTAATATAAGAAACTACTAAACTCTTTGTCTAATCAACCAAACATGTATACGCAAATATACGTTAAAGAGGATTTACTCAGCAGTCTTTTAAAAATCAATATTCATAAGATATTTGCATATATAATTAGTTTCCTCCCTACACATCAGACTACTTTAAATTACGCGGCCTTGCTGGAGTTGAACGTTGCCGCTGCTCTGGCAACATTCGCCGCGTGCATCACAACGGATGACCACCTTAAGGATTTATGTCTTGCCCTTAGGGAAGATTACTCCGCAAGAGAATATTTTATGATATATTGTATAATTTACTCAACTGTGTTAGAAAAACTGCTTTATTTTGGGCAGGAGGCGTTAAGGTGTTGCTTATGAGAGGCCGCCTTCGTTCATTCTCATGTACACAAGTTTAGACATTATCGTACATGACAAGGATGAGAGCGAGTGACTATAAAATTTCAATAATTCTGTGACACCTGGTAGCTCTTTAGTATCATAAATGGCTGTAAATAAATTTAATCAAAAGTCTTTTTTGCGGACTTGAATTGCAATTATGCAAATTCAAGAGTAAATGTTAGAGAGAAAGGAGTAAGGCTTGACGCTGGTTTACACGTGGGGCCTCTAGGCAGCGTCTACTCACATCAAAACATCAAGCAAGGGTAAGCCACATTGAAGCACTCTCAGGTTTTACGCTTTATGTGTACCTTATTCAGCGTATCGATAACTATAAATAATGCAGGAATGCTGTTGAATCTTCATGGGTGAGCATGTATCGTTATGAGAAGGAAAAACAGTAAATTAAGTAGTAAAAGAGAAGGTGTACGGAGAGGCCACGGTGGACGGGCCAAGCCGCCGCATAATTGAGCCTTGTGGGCGGCCGGGCTGATGCCGCCGCCGCCTCTGGCCGCCTTCCTCTCCCTCAGTCACCGCCGCCTCCATACATAATGCTTGTTGAAAGACAAGGAAGTGCGGATGTGCATCTTAACCCAGCACCAGTTTCATTATAACAAAGGATTCCTTAAGATGTTCGAGTAACGTACGAGAAATGTAGGGAACACATTGCTCAGTACCATCTTATATAATACATTGAACTTGTTTCTTTGCTCTAATAATTTGGTTATAGTGATCAATGTGTAGTGCCTTTTCACTCTGTATTGAATGACTATTATAAACTTCTTACCTGAACCATTAGGTTTTAGGTTAGTACTGTATATAAGGTAAATGTTTTTATTTTAAGGGGGTCATGCTCTGTATTAGGTGTCAGAGTGTTTAATTAGGTTTAGCAAAGCATGGGTGCTGGGTTTTGTTTTTTTGCCTTGTTAGGCTTGAGGCAATATATTCTCCTGTGTTTTGTGGAGTGTTTTCTCTCTAACTTTTCAGGTGCACTTTGTTGAACTTCCACAAAGTTCAGAATTTGTTGTTACTTTGTTTAACTGTGTCTGGTGTCTGTCATTGCTGATGCTAACCTTTTGTTTTTCACTTGAGGTGCTGTTCAGAACAATTTCTATTCATATGCATTATAGGATATGTATTATAGTAAGAGTTGGTGGCCAGCTTCCAATAAGGTCAGTGTGAGCGTGTGATCTGTATGCCTCAGCAGGGCATCTAGTTGCTGTCTCAAGTGGTGATCCCAGTGGTTCCAAACTCTTTAACATGCGTCACAACTTATTTAATTCGGATAAAAATTGACTCCGCACTAAATTAATTACAGCTGTATTAATAAATACATAAAATTCTCTTTAGTGCTTGATTCATAACATAAAACACTACTGTACTAAATATAAATAATATGATCATGTGTTATCCAGAAATTTTAAAAAATAACTATTAAAACAGTCATTCCCAAAACATATTTACAGATACTTATAGATAAGCCTTTTACAATTGTAATCTTAAGTAATGTGAAGGAGCTTGGTTGATGTCGGTGTTCCTCCACAAGGTTATAAGAGCTATGGAATTAGCAGAGGCTCACCTTGAGTCTGCAGTCTTCTGAGGCAAAGGTAGAAGCTATCCTAGTCTTCAAAATTAGATGAGGGATGGAACAGAAGACTGGTGAAGAGCTGGTGGACTGCCAATAGGTGGAGCTATGTACGAAGACTAGCAGGTGAAGTCACGGGTTTCTGTTCAGCTAGGTGCGGGTTTTCTTCTTTGGAGTCTTGCCTCGTGCATGTGTCTTTCCCCTGCGGATGAGTCATCCTCCACTAATCGGAGCCCAGTATAGCCTGTGAGAGAGAGAGAGCACTCATGCTGGTGGGTATTTTGAATATGACTCACTCCACACTCAAGTATACAAACTCATTGAGCTTGTTTTTTTTCAAGTAATTGCATTTATATTATGCCTAAATTGAGCCAAACTCGTCTAATCAACACAAAGAAGCCTTTCTCTTGTATGGTCTTTGATAGCTGAATAGCTTTGACAGCTTTTTTGTCATAGCTGAAAATCCTTGTTCACATCAATATGTCTACAATTGTCTTTTAAATTTCCCACCACCTTTGCCATCCTTTCTCCCCACACCACTGAGACACTGCACTCTTTGGGAACCACAGGTCTAACCCCTGAGTTTTTTTTTTTTTTTACTTTTGTGTGTGTTCTATACCTTTTTAGATTGACATTACAGGGTGCATTGACTTATTTTTCAATTGCTTTATATCAAGTATTGATTTCTATTTGGTTGTATCTAGGAGACTTGTTTCTCCTTTCTCTTTTTGAGTTTTGGCAGTTCCTCTATGATTGTTGAAATCACTTTGGTTCAGATTCAGCATGCACCAAATGTGGGTTTGCTGGGTGATCCATGACATTTCTGACTGATGGGGTACCTGTATGGATTTCACTTTTGGGTGTGCAACAAGTTTTATTGGGTTTTCTGGGGTTTTAGTCTTTATCTAAATAGCTTTTCAGATGATTATTTTTAGTTCTTAAGCCTTTTGTGGCTGGCAAGTTGAAGATTTTTATGATCTTGTTATTCTTTGGCTTTATGGCTCTACCAATCTATGCTATATTTTTCAACCCTTGGTTCCATGGCTCCTTATTCTGAGACACTCCTGTTCTGTTGAGTGGTCTGTGGTGCTAGTACTCCTGTCCTGTTGCTAGTTTACCTGTTGAGTGGTTAAGTTATGTGAACACCTGTGTTCATGATTTCAATGCCATTCTCGATGCTTTATTTTTGACAAACTACTTGTCTGACATAAGGGTTTGTGAATGTTGGAGGTAGACTAATATCTGAGGCCAGTTACTTTTCCAATGCACCTTGCCACATTGTCAATGTGGGATGGCCATCTTCCTTCTGAGACATGAGGCCTCTGGGTAAGAAATGGCATCCTAACCTCGGAGTCTTTTTAGTAGGAATTTGACAGGAATTCTGGATCATCCATGCTATATGGGCCTGTGTGCAACAAACAGATAATCACCAGGTAAACTTGGTCCCAGACTAGGCTGTGATTGTTATAGGACTACTGTATAAAAATATTACTGGTAAGTTGACTAGCATTATTATCTAGTTTACTATGGGTCTGGGTTTTCATATTTCCAGCTTGGGGTAAGTGCCATTCCTGTTTTTTTCCCTTTCAAGGTGGGGAAACTGGATCTTGAAGTAACGGATGGGCTTCAACTCTGAAATAGGATGTTGAAAACAGTTTAGTACTTCTTTGAGGGCAGTCCCTCAAATGTCCCTCAAATGCTCCTGTTTCCACTGTTTTTAGTCCCCTCTTTCCTGAATTTGCTTGGATAGCCTAAGCTTAAAGTGTTGGGGTTGGCTCCTGCCTATCCTGTTTAGTGGTAAGGTGCTACCATCTTGTGGTTGCAGTGAGTTGCATAAGTTTCAACTGGTAATTTTAAAAATACCAATTAGTGATTTTTGTGTTACTATTTATGGCTAGCAGGGACCGGGAGCCGGTTGGCCGAACGGACAGCACGCTGGATTTGTGATCCTGTGGTCCTGGGTTTGATCCCAGGCGCCGGCGAGAAACAATGGGCAGGGTTTCTTTCACCCTATGCCCCTGTTACCTAGCAGTAAAATAGGTACCTGGGTGTTAGTCAGCTGTCACGGGCTGCTTCCTGGGGGTGGAGGCCTGGTCAAGGACCGGGCCGTGGGACACTAAAAAGCCCCGAAATCATCTCAAGATAACCTCAAGATAACAGGAGATCGAACCCAGAAACTCAGGACTAGGAATCCGAAGCGCTGTCCACTCAGCTCAGATAGATAGATAGATAGATATATATATATATATATATATATATATATATATATATATATATATATATATATACATATATATATATATATATATATATATATATATATATATATATACATACATACAGTATATATATATATATATATATATATATATTTATTGTGTGTGTGTGTGTGTGTGTGTGTGTGTGTGTGTGTGTGTATGTATGTATGTATGTATGTATGTATGTGATGCACGCACGCATGCATGCGTGTGTGTAAAATACAGTAACCTATTTTTCACATATAATCCTAAGTTTGATTTACTCAGTTGCTCAGCATTGGATTTCTAAAAATGCATTCCTCATCGAGATCGGTAGACAATTTTACTGTATACAGTATTAAAACAAAATGTTTTTGACAATTGGCCTGGCATAGCAGTGTCTAGATTCAATTTCATATCTTTATTGTATTCATAAATAGTTGTTCATTTATCATTTTCATAATTCATTTATAATAATTCATATATAAATAATTGGCTTTGTCTAAAATATGTACATTATTCAGTTACTCTAGAAAATTGTAATATTAGTGATTATGATGATTCTTTATATATTACAAAAGGTAATGCAAATTATGATATTGATTATTTAGATAAAAAGGACAATGTAAACAATAGTAATAGTTATACTGTAATACTAACAGCATTAATAGATTAATTTTGAAAATAGAGGACATACAATTATTAACTTAACAAAGTAATAGTAAATGTCTATGTTTAGCATTAATTCATAATGTTTGTCAATCTTTGTAGATGGAGGATGAAGTTTCAGTTGATTGTAGCACTGACGTTATGGAGAATGGAAAAGGGAAAAAAGTAAATGACCATGAAGATGACGTAGATGACGTGGTGGAGCTAAATTCTGATAATGCCGACACCAAAGATGTTGAATTTGCCGAAGAGGTCATAAACTTAGATGATAAGGAATCTGGAGATGATAAACCTTCAAAGAAAGGTGATAAAAAGAATGCTGATAGTGACAAGGATGGATCTAAGGACAGGGAAGGCAAAGATGAAAAAAAGAAAAAGTTGCCATCAATAGAGGAGGACATTGGTATCACTGCCTATGCTGGAGAACATTCTGGCTTCTTTGGCATCATAAAGCAAAGGTAAGAGTTATATTCTTGGTTTGGTTTTAGTCTCCTCAACTGTTTTTGCTATTATGCTATACTGTACATTTTGCCCATGACAATTAGTGAGCTAAGGTCTCCATAATTCCTGCACTTGCTACTCGCTCCATTAGTTGTTTACAATGATATATAAATGCAACATTGTTACTATTCTCTTGCACATTACCACTATTCTTTGCCTTCTGGGAACAGTTTCCACACTTGTTTTTTTCAATTACTTGAAAATATAAACTATATATTCCACCCTTTTTTTATGTTGTATACTTTATTATGCAGGGTTATACAGTTACATATTTGATTGGTTACAAAAAGTGATCATTACGAGAAAATAAAGGGAAGTTTGTTTCCTAAAGATTGAAGATTTCTTCAAACTCCTCCAACACTGGGCAGGATCCGAGGATGCAGCGGGCATTTCCCCTCTGGATCGCCACACTGAGGCGCTGGAATAGAAAACTTGCAGCTCTAGGGTCTCTTGTAGTTTCAGTAAGAATGGAATCAAAATCTTAAGAAACCTTCTTGTGCTCTCTCCCCTTGGACCAAGCGTCTCAGATCCTATTGGAACGAAGTTGTACCGTTGATCTATTTCCCCGTACTTGGTTGAATTGTCTCTTTCTCTGTGTCGCAGCGGCTCCTACTTGGCCGACAGAAAGGTTGATGTATGTGTTTACCAGGGTGGATACTCAAGAATAGTCCCATGCCAACTGTCGATTTTTCCAAGGGTGCAGTGTGATTCTATTTGGTCGGCCAGCAAAGCTAACTGGGTTACGGTTCAATAGATTGCGGGGCTCTCTCTGCTGGACACTGGGCAGAGGCAAGGCTCCTTTTAACTCCTGGGCTGCTCTTGTAAATATGCCTGCAACACATCCAGGCGCAAGAAATAAAAAATAAAATAAAATATTTCTTCTTATAAAACTGTTCGTGTGTGTCCCCTGATCATGGGAAAAATAATAATAGTCATAGGTGGCATATTTTGGCTGCAATTGAGCAGGGAAGTCTGGCAGAAAAGAGGCATTGACAGAGCAAGCTTTGGAGGAGGTCTGCTTCACCCAAGTTGTCAGATGGGAGTTGCCACAAAGATATTAATATCTAATTATTTCAATATCTGATTTATTTTTTCTTAGTTTTTTACAGTAATATTATTCAATAGTGTGTAGTGTGATATAAACAAATCCACAAGGGCCGCGATGAGGGTTCGAACCTATGTTCCTCCCGGACGTAGGTTCGAACCCTCATCATGGCCCTTGTAGATTTGTTCTTTTGATGTATCACACTATTGTGATTTTTGTGTGTAGTGCGATATATTTATATACTGTATATAATAAAATGTGTGAACCATCGCTATACTCAAAATTATGGTGTGCATATTAGTGATTCAATTATTATGTTCAAAGAACAATAAACAAATAGTTTTGCTGTTATTACTCTATATACACATAGGTTATATATAGGTGTCTTCGTGTTTTGTTCACCATAACGAACCATTAAGTTGGTATGGTGAGTCAAAAAGCAACGAGGTGTGGCTACCACACCAGGAGTGGCAGCAACCAGGATAAAACAAACATTAGGCTGGAAGTCAGAAAGGAACTGGCATCAAATCCTAAATTGGAGCAAAACACAGTAGATCGAAGTAAGTCTCTGATAATGTTTGGTTGCAAAGAACAGGAGATAATTTTCAGGTTAGAAAGAGCTGTAGAAGAAGAGAAAGTAGTAGATAAAATTGTTGGCCTCGAGAAAGGTCTTACTACCATCAAGAATGTCTGCGACTACAGGAGGATTGGAAAGTATGTAAAAGGGAAAGATCGACCTTTGAGGATCACCCTAAACGGTACCAAACAGATAGAAGAAGTACTAAGGAATGCTAGAAAATTACAAAGTGATGAGGTACGGAAAGTATGGTCGTTAAGACGAGATCTTTCAAAAGAAGACAGAGAAGCTGAAACTGAAGCTCGCTGAGGCAAAACGTTTAAATGAGAGCAGGAATGAAGAAGAAATCAATTCTTTTTTTCTACAAAGCGATAGGGGTAGGCAAACCAGTAAAGAGGTACATAAAGGCAAACCAACAAAAGGATTAGAGAGAAGGGGAGTGAAGAATAAGGAGAGGGGGGGAACAAGTTCCTGAAAATTGCATACACCAACATAGATGGAGTGAGATCAAAGATACTGGAGTCAAGTGATGTAATACAGCTGCAGACACCAGGCATTGTTGCACACAGAGACAAAACTTGAAGATGGTATTTTAAATGAGGTCATATTCCCAAGAGGCTACTTGGTCTGGAAACGGGACAGAAAAATTAGGAAAGGCGGTTGCGTTGCCCCCAGAAAACCAACATTGAATGTAATGAAATGCCATTTTCTGGATTAATCCCAGAGGCTCCCAGGCATCCCCCCTCCCTCCGATCGGCGTTTTTTTTCGCGCGTTTTGACATCCAGCCTCAGAACTGGAGTGTGGATTGCTGGCGCGGTAGGTCTGGGGCTTCCCCTTCCCCCTCCCGGGGAGGGGGGGGCTGTGCAGACAGCGGCGCGATGACGAATGACGTCATACTAGTTTGCTCGTTTTTGTTTGGGGAGTTCTATCCACTCGTTCAGCTTTTGGTTGCAATTTTCTCCAGAATAGGGGTTTGCTTTGGGACGCCTACCTTTCTGGGTCCCTAACCCGGGCGATGGCAGATATAGAATGCTTCCAACCACACGGGGCTTTCTATAGGCCATTGCTCCTCTTGCCTCTCTGAGGGGGCCAGGTTCTGGCTCGTGGTCCCCGGTAGGCACATAAGAACTCCGTACACATGACTGATGTCAAAGTCTGACATTAGCATATCAGCCTGGTAAGTTCCGGGGAGCCACCGGGAGTTGCCCAGAAAATGGCGTTTCATTACATTCAACGCTGGTTTTTTTTCAGTAATTCCTTTTGTACGCATTTTGTGTGCAATAACACCATGGTCACATTTGTTGAAGGCTTTTGCAAAAGCCTTCAACATATATTCTGTGAATATTACAACAGTGTTTTGCTTGTCTTCCATGGCATCTAAGATCATGTTGTAGTGGTGTTGCAGCTGTGAGAGGCAAGAGCATACTGTTGTAAATCCACGTTGTCCAGGGTTATGCAGAAGTACTGTGATTCCATGTGTTTTGTGATCTTAACACTTAGAGATTTTTAGGATCTGATGTTAGTGTTATTGGTCTGTAACTTGTTTCCTCTGCATTATTCCCTCTTTTGTGTTGTGGTGTTTTCTGTGTTTTTTTAGTATGTAAGGGATAACACCAGTATCTAGAGATGGTAGGAGAACCCAAATAATTTTTCTTCGAGTTCTGCATTTTGTTGTAAGCACCACCCACTCACCCCCTCCAACTTTGGTTAGTTTTTTATTTTTGAAAAAAGGTGTGGCTTACATTTGTGTAAATACAATATAGGGATATATTGTAAACTAATGTGATAATTTTTTTCAGGTACTCAGATTTCCAGGTTAATGAAGTTGATGGAAATGGAGAAATGATTCGTATTACTGACCAGGACATCCCAGATGAGCCAGAAGAAATTCCTGGTTGGTATTTTTTACTCCTTTTTTTTTTTTTTTTTTTTTTTTTTTTTTTTTTTTGTAGTATATTTGTATATACTTTGTATATAAAAATGTCTTGTTATTCATTACCATTATCACTAACTGATTCTTCACTTTCTTGTGGTGGGGGAGGGGCGACTTTATTTGGGAATTCACAAAACTAGGGAGAGCTCGTTTGCCCCACCTCCCTCCCTCCCTCATTTTGGAGAGGAGGGAGGCAGCCTGGGTTAACCAGCTGCTCCACTCACAGATCTTTCCTGATGTAGCCTGTGTCTGGCTGCCTTTTTAGTTGTTCTGGCTATGTTCTTCTGTCATTAGCTGAGTGGTGTTTTGGCTTTGAAGCTGTTCTTGTGCATGGTTGTGCACCATGAGCCAGGAGTTTAGTGTTTCAGCCACATGTGCTCAGGGTTCCCTTTCCTGTGCATTCCTTAACTACTGGCCAATGCACTCTCATGGTATTCTTCATTGTAGTGTTCAGGGGATCGCTCTCTTAGGGGGGTCTCCTTGCTTGTGGTGACCCTCACCCTTCAGGTAAGCCAGTTGTCTTTTCTATCTGCCTTTCCTGGGGTCAGGAGTGATTTTGGCTTGTTGGGCGCACTGTAGTTCATGCGAACTTACCTGCGTGCTGAGGCTGTCCTTCCAGTCTTGCACTACACTAGTCTTATATAGCTGTCTTGGTCTACTATTCTCCCTTGCTTACTCATCCTCCTCAGTCGGGTGTCCTTAGAGACAGTGATATGATTTTCATTTTCGGCCTTTTCAGTGGCTCTTTGTTTTTCTTTGTACCCATTTGCCACTGTGGGGGCTTAGTTGTACCATTCATTGCCACGTATTAGGTTTCACCTGGTGTCTTGATTTGAATCACCTTTTTGACCTCTCTTGCCCATTCTACTGGCGTCGAGTATTTGGTTGCCTATAGAACTATATAGGAGTTACCAACATGGCGTTCCCAGTTGCCTGGCCATACCTGCCGAGGGACAATAACCCTGCAGGCCCTGGAAACCCCCTGTGGGTTCATTGGTACCATGGATACACCTTCTGAACCCACCCTCACCCATGTGAGAGGTGTGCTGGACCAACCGGGCTGTGGTGGATATGTGGGCCTGTGGCCCACTCCAAGTTAAGCTTGGCCCCGGGCTGGGCTTGGGGAGTAGAAGAACTCTCAGAACCCCATCAAGCAGGTATTGCAAATTGCTCGTCGTCTGTGCCACATGGTAATGTTCATTCCTTGTGCCTCTGCCATGCTGCTTGCTGGGTCGGTGACACCTTTGACCCTGAGTCTTGTGGGACTTGTTCTCTGCTTGTTGCTCTTCTTTCGAACCCTCCTACTGATGTCCAGGGTTTTCAGGCAGTGGCCGCTTTACGAATGAAGGTTTTCTGTGTTGCAAAGAGGCAGTGTGGACCGAGTCCAGGTGGAGATCACCAGCACCTCCAATTCTGGAGCTGTTGGCGAGGTGATTGGTGCCAAACCACGAATGCTCACATGGGCTAACTTAGTCCGTAAAGTGGCAGTTGCCTGGAAAACTTTCAACTGGGAGGCAGAATCTGTCAAGGCAGAGACTCGGTGAGAACACAACTCACAGGACTTAGGGTCGTAAGCATTACTGACCTAACAGGCAGCATCGTGGGACAGAATGATCATTGTTAGGTAGCAAAGATGATAAATGCCCCTCAAACTTACAAAAAGTGAGACCAGACTCACCAGTTTGCTAAATAAGGACCACGACAGAGACCAAAGGGGGATTCTTAGTGCCAAAAGGAAAACCCTGTGGGTACCCCAGGCACACTTGCCAAAGAAAATGAGAACTACAGTCCACTACCTGTTCTGCAGAATGGCACCCGTGGCACGCCATGTAAACAAACACCTGAAACATCCCCCCCCCCCAGTCTGTCCCAATACAAACAATGAATGTCTATAACAAAGGGCCCGACGAATGAAGATTCCTGGACAGCCTAAGGTGTTCCCCTACCCAAACCAGCCACCCTCTACAGAGGTGGGCTGGCTTTCAAGAGACGAACCCTGAACACGCCAGAGAAAAAAAACACGTAACTGGCCGTGTAAGGAAGTTCAAGGATGGCTGGAACTTAGTGGGAAGCTTTGGGACTCGTCTACAAACTGGCATGACTGGAAGCACTAAAAGTTGGCAGTGATACCAACATCAGGTCCAGAACTGGCTTGTCGAGCCGACTGGGAGCCGGGGCCTAGCCTCATGGTAGTGGTAATCGGTACTGACCACTCTCACACTCATCTGAGTGAATTCCTTGTTCTGTGTGATTTGATTGTAATAGTCGTTTGGCAGTTTTTGAGGCCTCATTTTCTGTGAACCCTCGTATTTGTAAAGTTGCGCTGGCTTTCTGGAGGCTTTTTTTGGTGACGCAGCAGATTGTTACTTGCTCTCTGCGATTTTGTGGGGGAAGGAGGGAGCAGGTTCTGGCTTTGGTCCCTGGTAGGCCTAACAGAAGTGGCCATGGTTGATGTGACATTTTAGTATGAAGCAATCTCAGGAAGATAGCTTCAGGGAGCCACAAGGGGCTCCCTCCAAAAAAAGAATATTAGTGAACTGTACTGTGTATACTAAAAATTAAAAATAAATATTTTCTTTCACCATCTAAACTTTTAGTTTAAATAAATTGTAATAGTATTATAAATATAATAAAAATATAAACATTATTTTCAGCTTCAACTTCATCTCAGTCAAATTTCTTATGCACACATTCTAAAAGTTGAGAATACTGTACTGCAATTTTAGCAGAAATTTTAATATTTTTGTCAGTTTTTGATGCTGTATTGTAATTGTAATGGATTAGCAGTTAATGACAGCTTAAATTGAGAGAACCTTTGCTTTTATTCTGGTAAATATACTACACATAATGCAAATGCTTTCGTAGTAGAGTTTTCATAAGATTTTGTTATTTTCAGATATGCCTGAAGTAATGCCACCAGAACTGACAGATGTCAAGTTTAGAGAATTAGACAGAATGCTTGGCCTGTTAAAAAAACAAGAATCAAATCTAAATGTAGATGATGAGGCGGAGGTAAAAGATGAGGAGGAGCCAGAGGTAGTGGAAGATGAAGAAATGAGAGAAGTTGAAGAAATAAAAGAAGTTGAAGTAATAAAAGAAGTTGAAGAAATAAAGGTAGTTAAAGCAAAAGATGTTAAGACAAAGGAAGTTAAAACAAAGGATGTTAAAACAAAGGAAATTAAAACAAAAGATGTTAAAACAAAAGATGGTAAGGCAAAAGATGTTGATGTCAAAGATGTCAAAAGTGTCAAAGATGGTAAAGATGTCAAAGATGTTAAAGATGCTAAGGATGTCAAAGATGCTAAGGATGTCAAAGATGTCAAAGATGTTGAAGATGTTAAAGATGTTAAAGATGTCAAAGATGTTAAAGAGGTAAAAGAAGTTGAGGAAGATAAAGAAGAGAGTAAAGATGAAAGTGCAGATGAAAAAGATGAGGATGAGGTAAAAGATAAAGATTCTACAAAAAAGGATGATACAAGCAAAGACAAGAAAGCAGAGAAGACTGAAACCACTTTAAAAGAGAGTAAGTAATTGTGTAGTTATTCTCTTATGTTAAAAATAAATTTACTGCAGTTAGGACCCAGCAAACAACTGCTGTCTTTCAACATGTATATATATTTGTACCCCTGCCTTCTGTGTAAGTTAGGTTGAAAATTTCAAGAATGTCTAATCAGTTTAAAAAGTAATGTAAATAATAAGTATCACCTTGAAGTTTCAACGTTTTCTAAGTACCCTATGGTGGGGATGCCTTAATTTTAGATAAAAAGCACGGTTATTATTGACAGAGCAAAATTTATCATAGCACCTAATTTTTCTTCCTTCACATCCTGAAGGATTCTTGAGTTATCTTGAGATGATTTCGGGGCTTTTAGTGTCCCCGCGGCCCGGTCCTCGACCAGGCCTCCACCCCCAGGAACCAGGAAGCAGCCCGTGACAGCTGACTTAACACCCAGGTACCTATTTACTGCTAGGTAACAGGGGCATAGGGTGAAAGAAACTCTGCCCATTGTTTCCTGCCGGCACCCGGGATCGAACCCGGGACCACAGAATCACAAGTCCAGTGTGCTGTCCGCTCGGCCGACCGGATGTATGGACTTGAAAACTACAACGCTTAAGTGTGATCATAAAATAAATTTATTTTATTGCTGGGCAGTGTAGCTCAGTGGCAACTGATTATGTAAGGTTGATTACATTATTTGGGGTGGGGGAATGGGGGCTTAGATGCTTCCTAGGCTTACATGGGGGGGGGGGGGCAGGAAGGGCTTAGGATGAGTGTTGGCAGGGAAAGCTTGAAGTTGGGAGGATTTCTATAGTTGTGGTCTCATGATTATGCAAATGTTAGACATAATAAAAAAAAAGTCCGGTTAGCGCGAAAGTGTTTATAATAATTAATGATCATAGCGTCACTATTCCTGCAACATCCACAAAATGAACATGTGTTGAGTGGCCTTCACAGCCATGATTACTTCTTAGTAACACAAAGAAATCTATAGCTATACAATGGGGCCTCGACTTATGATGCTAATCCGTTCCCAGAGACGGATCGTAAGTCGAAGCGATTTATCCCATAAGGAATAAAGGGAATTGAATTAATCCGTTTCCCACCCACCAAAATATTAACATACAAATACATTTTATACTGAATACAATGTTTTTTTCTAACTACAGTACAGTACCTAAGTTTATCTTACCTTTATGGAAGGCTCTTGAAGGCGTATGGAAGATGGTGATGAGTTGTGAGGAGGAGAGTTGTTACTGTTTGGAAGGGGAATCCCCTTCCATTATCACATCAGGCAGTGATGTTTTCTCTGGTGGTACTCTCTCTCCTACATTTTGCCTGAATACCACTAGGACCTAGTTGTGGTTCAGTGCTTGTTTGTCTCACTACAAATTTGTCAAGATACATTTGTTTTTCCCTTCGTTTTAACATTTGTCTGTAATGATGCATCACAGTGTCATTGAATAGATTAAGGCAACGGCCTACTGCAGCTTGATTTGGGTGAGTCGTTTCAGCAAAGGTTTGCAATTCTCCCCATGCTGCACACATTTTCTTAATTGTTGAGGAAGAGACATTCTGTACTCTTGTTTCTGCTCTATGGTCATCCTTACATGGGTTTTCATATGTTGAGCCTTACCACTGACTTTCCTGGGACTCATGGCGTGATATATAATAATTACTTTAATGTTCAAAATGCAAAAAATCACCACAAACGCTGAATTTCTTATAGGCGCGATCATCACTAAGCGGGTAGCTGTAGTAAACTGAGGCAGGTTGGACCGCGTGAGCAGGAACCATGCGCTCGGTCGACCTGAACGTGTACCAACAAATATCGGAAGTCGACGACACCATTGGATGTCAAGTCGCATTTTTCGATGAAATTTACATTGTAACTCGAAATTATCGTAAGTAGGGGCAATCGTAAGTCGAGGTGCCACTGTATTAACTTCCTGGCTTGTGGTGACTTCATTCCCATCATGATGGGTTGTAAGCTTTGAATAAATCCATATGAATGTGCTTTAAAATTGGAACCCCCCCCCCCTGCAGTGTTTCAAATATACTATTCACATTTAAGATATACTGTAGTTAAACTTGGGTTAACCCCTTAAACTGCACAAAATGTCATATGATGTGTGACATTGATTCTCCAGGGAAAGTGCCAAGCTATTTTGACTATAGCACTCAGGATAAAAATTTGGATGGGACAGGGGAAAGGAATTGTGCTCAACCCTTTGGTCGGTCAGGGATTGAACGCTGACCTGCATGAAGCAAGACCGTTGCTCTTTGGTCCAGCCCAAGTGGTTGGTGGAGAGTCAGGTGTGGCAGGCTGACTCGAGCTGCCCCAAAACAGCCCCGAGGGGCAGTTATGGGGAGCAACTGAAGCTGCTTGGCAAATTGTACCTCTGAATTGGAATGAGACAGCCAGAAACCTAACGCTTGAGGAAAATTGAATTCAGTGACTGGAAAGCTAGTCCAGTGCCACACATATCCAGTGAGGGCAAGTAACATACAAAAGATAATGAGCGGCCAAACTACTTGGTAGATCACCAGAAATCCCCTAGTCTGAATTTTAGTTGTCCACATATTAGTTCGTTGTTTGTAATCAGATATAAATCAGACTGGATGAATTGAAGCACCCCCACAGGAAACCTTTGAAACCTGGCCTTTGACCAAGACACCAAGAGAATAGGACTGAAAAAAGAGCATCTTGGAATATGGATGCTAGAGGTGTTTAGTGCTGCTGCCTAGTTGTGGTTAGTATAGATGATAAGGTAGGCCAGTTGATAGTTAACAGTTCTCCTCCTTTGGCAGTCACCTGTGATACCAATGCAGGATTTAGAAGTTAGCATTCATGTGAATTTATCACTTTGTGGCCAGTCAATGCTGGATTTAATGTTCTCCAATGACTTCAAAACACTTTTGACCTTGCAGAGATCATTTAAAACCACAGGTTTCTGTGGTGCCAATCACAGAATATTTCCTTGCCTGACTATGAGCACAGGATTTCAATTTAGGAAGCAACAGAATGACTGCTAAAAAATAAATACAGTTTTGTTTCTTTATATTTTAATGCCTCTTTCATGATACTTGTCTCATTAACACAGCTCATGTTCTCCTTTCAGATTTACCTTCACTGACAGAAATTTGGATCAATGTAGACGTTACAGATGAGGCAGGAATTGCTCTCATTCAACAGGCTATCAAGGCAAAATACCGTGGTGTTGACAGCGTCTACGGTGAAACTCCAGATGGAGGAAGATATGTTGTCGTCAGAAAGAGAAAAGGTAAGTTGTACAAGTGAATTATATTTGTATGGAAGTATGCTGTTTATGACTTGCATTTTCCTAGTTTAATAAATTTCTTAGTGCCTAATTCATCTACTCTTGTAGATTTCTTCAAATTGCGGTATGGATGACGAGTTTATGAGTACTGTATCTTATTAATTCTTCATTGCCACAAGGTAGGATGAAAGAGACCTCGCTTGACTATCTCTTCCTTGCAAGAAGATAATGTCAGCAACTAGTTGTGTTAGGTCTAGCAAAGTGTCTGGAGTATGTCAGGGAAATCACTACATACTGCTATACAAAACTACACATTGAACAATTCTGCATGACAGGAAATTATGAATTTAGACAACAGTTTATGCACACATTTACTTATTTAGTACAAATTATTATTAACAATAAAAAGAGTAATTCTGTGTTTCTTATGATTTTACATGTTAATTTTTGGCCTTCTGGCAGGTTGTCTTTTAATATTGTGAGAATATCTTATCATATTGACTTTGAAACTTGAATACTAGTTTAAACAAAAAGGAAATGTGGATTACCTGGGGATAATTTCCAGATTATTTGTTCTGCAGTCTAGCCTGGTTTCAAGCTTATCTGGTGATGATCTGGTAATCCATTATAAACTTGTCAAATTTTCATTTGAATGCTTCCATCATTGTTCCAACAATACTTTGTATATTTGCTGGTAGGAGGTTGAAGAGTCTTGGACTTCTGCTGTTCACTGTTCTTTAATTATATTTATCTTGTACTAACCTATCATATCTCTTACTTTTTGTAATTTTATTGTCAAGGTTTGTAACCTGATGTAACCATGTTTTTAAAGTATATGAGATCCCTGTTGTCTCTTGTCCCTGTTTCAAGGAGTACAATTTGACTGCTTTGTAGTGGACCCAGTTATTTGTGGATAAATAAATGCTTTGAGGAGCACTATTATTGGTGTAGCATCTACCCTTTCATTTTCCTGACTTTTTGTGTTTGCTATAGTGTGCTTTCTAACCCTTAAACTGCTCCAGTCATCTCCAGGCAATTAGCCAATATGCTCCAATCTCCTGGAGATGATTTTTTTAAATCCTTATAACAGTGTATTTCCACTGTTGTGAGTTGCAACAGTGAAAGTATGTAGCATGTGTGTGTTTATGTATGTGCATGACAGGGTTGTGAGTGGAGAGTGGTTGAGTACAAGGCAGGGAGAGCCTCTGTGTCAGTGTATTTCAACAAGGAGCCAATTGTCTTTGGTACGCCCTTCCACGGCTAGTTGGAGGAGCCAGAGAGTGTCGACTGTGGGACATGAGACAGTGAGAGACAGAGACACAGTGAGAGAGAGAGAGAGAGAGAGAGAGACAGACAGACAGACAGACAGACAGACAGACAGACAGACAGACAGACAGACAGACAGACAGACAGACAGACAGACAGACAGACAGACAGACAGAAATAGAGGTTCAGGTCTCCGCTCTGGCAGGTGACCAGTCATTCACTCTCCCACTTTGGGTGACTATTCCATCTGATTAAGAGGGGAGAGTTGCACAAGAAAGTTTGTACTCGCCTAGTTGTTGTACTTGCGTGGGTTGAGCTTTGGCTCCGTGGTTCCGCATCTCGACTGTTAATCAACTGGTGTACAGATTTTTTAGCCTATTAGGCTCTTTATCAGCTTCCGCCGCCCCTGCAGCAGACTTTACACCCAACCCAACAACAGGGGTGTCCTTCATCCTGTGGCCTCCTTCTTCTTGACCAGACTCGAAACACCAACGACCGACATCGTGAAGCCTTCCAGCGACAATGCCAGCAGCGAAGATATACCAGATGAGAATGATAAGGATAGCATAGCACCTGACAAACCTGACAAAAGATCCAGCACTGTACTCTACATCAAGGACCTCGGATTCTGCAGAGATGCAAAAACCAGACGAGAATTGGCCCACAAATGCAACAAGATAACAAGCACAAAGAACCACAAAAAATATCCACACCCCATGTACATCTACTGTAAACCATATAACTCCACACTGATCTTTACCAATTATAACCCTGAATGCTACGTAAAGCACAGCTTCCCACAATAAGGGGACAGTCCGATTAGCTGAGCCTCATGCTAGACATAAACTGCAAGCGACCAGAGTTTTTCTGTTTTGTCTGGTTTCCTTCAAGGCATTCTGCTTTGTGTCTGGAGAGTTTTTCATGAGAAGGTTGGCCGTTTTTTTTCATGGGTAGGTTGGACGTTACTATAAAAAAAAAAAAAAAAGCCAACCTACTCGTGAAAAACTCTCCAGACACAAAGCAAAATGCCTTGAAGGAAACCAACGTCGTCTATGCCTTCAAATGCCCACTTGGGGACTGTAAGCCCCAAAGAACTCGGTATATAGGCAAGACAAAAACGTCTCTTTCCAGGCGAGTAACAATGCATAAACAACAGGGCTCCATAAAGGAACATATAATCTCCTCTTACAACCAGACCATCACCAGAGAAATCTTAACAAAGAACACAGAAATCATCGATTGATACAGCGATAGCAGGCGGCTTGACATCTGCGAGGCACTACACATCAAAAAGTCAACACCAGCAATCAATAGCCAATTAATGCACAACTATATTCTACCCACTTCAAGACTTCGAACCAATATAGAAACATCAAGAGGAAGTATGGGCCAATAGGCCCTCTGCAGTTACTTCCATTCTTATGTTCTCATATCCAATTAATACCCATAGTTTTGTGTTTAATATAGTTTATTATAGTATATGTGTTTATCATAATTTAATACCAATGCAATACTGGATGAGCAGGATGAGCCTTTGGCCAACTGTGTGCCAGAGCGTTCATGTGATCAGTTGACCTGATCTCCCATTATCAACCTATTGAGCGAACAAGTTCCAGATGCTCCCTCCAGAAAACCAGTGTTGAATGCAATGAATTTCCTCTTTATGCAGGAGCCCCAGTGGCTTCCTGATTTCACCCCCTCCCTCACTCCAGTTTCGCTGGTTTGTTGTAGTGTTCCTCAATGCCAGAACTGACCAGGGAAGCTGGCTGAGGGCTGGAGCCAGGCTGCCTAGTGGTGGTAATAGGTATCAACATGTTTTGAACTAGTTTGAGTGAATTCCTTGTTCTGCATGAATCATTTGCAAAGTTGTTGGTGGGTTTTGATGCGTCATTTTCTGTGAACGCTGCAGTTGTCTGTAAAGCTTCGCTGACTTTCTGGAGGCTTTTTCTAGTGGGGTGGTGGATTATCACTCACTGCCTGCATCTCTGAGGGAGGCCAGGTTCTGACTCTGGTCTCTGATAGGCCAAACAGAATTAATGTGACCGATGTGACTTTCTAGTGTGGAGCAGTCTCAGCAAGGTAGCTTCAGGGAGCCACCAGGGTTCATCCAGAAAGAGGTGTTTCATTACATTCAACTTTTGAGTTTTGTTGGACCTCGCCTAAAGCATACCTGGTAAGTCCCATTGTCAGGTTGAGATACTTCACGTTTTCCTCTGGAATCGTGCATTTTGGTCTTTTGGTCCTGCAAGTCATTTTCTTAAAATATAGCCCTCTCTTTTTTGACTGAGAATGAGATGGCTGGCTTCCAAAAGTGTCCTATAGTGATCGATACATGGTTGGTTTCGTTGGGGTGCATTTTTACTACAGTATTCCCATTTGTGGCTATCCAACATTACCTCTGCACAATTAGTAGTGCACAGGGGGGATGCTCTGTTCTTGGATCTGGTGTCCCTGGTTCCTTGTTACAGGGTCTGTCTGTCTCAGACTGCAGTGTCATGAAATTTAGCCAGCCCACAGTCTTCCCTTGGAGCTATGATCATAAGTTTGTGGCTCTTTCTTAGGTTTTCTAATATATCTTGATCAGATATATATGTGATGGGGATGTATGGGGGTTTTGGTGGTCCAATAGAGTGCTGGCGACTCGTTACTTAGTGAATGAACTTTGTATATGCCGTCCTTGTTTCGCTTTGGGGAGGTTAACTCTCACTGACTTACCCTCGTGGGAGTTATTTTCTGTAGCTCTACTACACCCCTAGCAGATACCCCCCCTTTTTTTCTTCTCCTTGGCAACATAACAAGGGGCCACCTAAGAGGCTTTTCCAGAAATTAAATGTTGAATGTAATAAAATCCCTCTTTCTGGTGGGTCCTTGGTAGCTCCTTGGGACCCTCCCTTCCTCATTCTGGGCTTCGGTTTCCCATATACCTAGCTATATGAATGAGGGTTATGGTTGGTAGCTCGAGAAAGAAGGTGCACGGGTGCAATTAAAATGAAAATGCTCCTCCACCGAATTGTTCATGTATCTAAACATGCATTGACCAATGTATTTTGGGAAGGAATGATATGATATATGAGGAATTCATACAGGTAATTGTTACTGAAACAAGGGGGGAATATTAATATTCACACATTTTCACAGAAATATTCATATTCATATGAATATTTGTGTGTGAATATTCATATTCACACAAATATGTGAATCCAGTTGGAAAGAGAATACCGTGCCTAAAATGTGCTAATTTTGTTGCACTCGTGGCAATTCTAATCTTAAAGTGAACATTGATAAGTCCTTTGTGTTGTTTAAGGGGGGAGCAACGTTTTAGCTTAACCACTGCACTGCACTGAGGGTTGTTTGATTTTTTTTAATTAGGCCATATTTTAAGGTTTTTTAATGTTTTCATTGCTCTTTGTGATTTCAAATGAAAATGATTGGGTATGGAAACATTTTGACATTAATATTAGCTGACATTTATAAAAGCAACAAAAATATGTCCTTAACAACTGCACCATGAAATTTTTGCCAAAAACTGGTGCACAGTGCAGGGGTTAATAAAAGTTGTTCAATGTCAACCAATATTTTTTTACTAGTTGTATATAAAAAGGGCTGCAATTGTTCCAAGTTTCAGTACTGCAGTCTTAAATAGAAAGGGAGATTTTTTTTTTTTTATTCAATGAATTTTACACATTTTCAAAAGAAATCATTTCTATGACACTTTTCTGACACATTAGCGTATAATA